AGAATTCGGCATCTCGAGATATCAACAGCTGCAAGGAACAGTCAGGGAGAACGATTACCGAGGGTTGGTTATCAGTAAACGATTGCTATCGACCGTCGATGAAGAACACGGCATCAATACCGACATACCGACCTATCGATGATACTGACCAAGCACTTCCCCGGAAGCATGCTACAAGCCATCAGCTGGTCGTCGGTCGGCAGGCCCAATACTACGCCGGTCACGCGTTGTCTCGCCCGGTCAAGCAAGGGAGTTCGCCAAACCCCAGATACCTTACGTTCGCCTGTCTATCTGATATCCTGACGGCACACGGAGACCAACGCCGTGCCACCGACGTGACATGTCGCTAAATGTCAATTATCAACTATCAGAAGACATGCCGTCGCCACGACAAAGATAGGAGCATCCCCGGCGTCAATGGGATTCGGAAACGAGCTAGGCGACCGCGGAACAGAAACCTGATGGCCCGGTTCGGTTTGCTGGGGATGGCACCGCGCTTGTCAACTCGGTGAGCCGGAAATGGGCCTCGCGTGGGGGTGCAGAACCCGAACCCCAGACTCGGGCTTATCTCCAAGGCTAGGGGGTATTTCCCCTTTCCGACACTTGCAGCCCGGCTGCGGTTCGAAGCAGCAGATATCTATCGTCCATGATAAGATAATCTCGCGTTCGTGAGGGGAGTGAGTCGTCAGACAGCCCCGGGTCAGCCAAAAGACGTACCGCAGCATTGGCTGCCGCCGAGGAGGAGTGGAGAGAGGTCGGCCGTCACAATCTCGTGCCTCTAGGCGGACGTCTACTCAAGCAGCAACAGCACAATCACTGTCGCTTATCGCTCACCTCACGGCACTCGACTGACTTTTGGCTTTCGGACAGGACACCGCTTTACCGATCACGTGTGGGTTCGGCCATGCACATCGCCGCTGGTCCTGTCGAGGATGTCGGAAGTTGGAACAGTGGCCTCGCCCTCAGCCAGGAGACCCAACGCCGATCGAGTCGGATCGGCAGTCAAGGTCAAGCCAGGAGAGCTGGCCAGCAACGGTCGGGTTCCCTTCCTTGGACGTGCAATTTGGCTCGGACAAGAGGGCGCCGTACGCGCACCTTTTTTACAATGCTGCAGCAGGCCAACAACACCGGATTACGAAACAGAAAGACGACATGGACGCAATGCATTTGCGGAGCAGAGCAAGTCCGCTTCTTTACCGCCGCCGCTGACAATCCAAGGCCAAGGATGCGCGGGTTCGGTCAACGTCCAACAACACATGATCCATCATCCAAGCAAGTCACTTCCAAGTCTCTCGTCCTCCACGTCGCCGCCAGCTGGCAGATGGTCTCCTGTTCTGGTTTTCAGCGGGTTTCCAGGCCCAAGCCGCCTGTGCCAGGACCCGGAATGCGCGAAATACCGCACATTTCTGCACCTCGGCCCAGCACCTTGCACCTGCTAATGCGCTATTATGCAGCGGCTGGACTGCTCGCGACCCCCTGTAAAAGGGAGGGCCCATCGCCCCAAAGGCTAAGGCTGCAGCACTGCAGTTTTTTAAATGACGGCGCGTTCCAACAATTTCAGCGAGTGTAGCATCTGGGTGGGGTGCCTCTCGGGCTAGCAGTCAGCAGGCAGCCAATCAGGAGACGGCAGCAGCAGCGATTAACCACTGTAAGATGAGGCCGTAGCGTTTGCCTTCAGCGAGGTGGGTGACCTGAGGTGGTGAGTGGACCCCTACGGCGACGGGAATGAGGGGCCTTTCAAGGACCTTCAGGTGAGGTCCGGGCCCACATCCGGGAATGAGTCGGGACACGCAGCCGTCTGTGCACCCAAACGGACGGTCCTGGTTGGTCAGCGGGGTTTTGTCGGCCCCGGCCCCACCAGTGCAAACTTCTCACAGGTCCTTCGTATCCGAGAGGCTCCGCTTTGAACCGTTGGAAAGGCCTTCACGATGGTCCACTCTCTCGGTCCCTTCACTGCGAACAGTCCCGATCCATGGGAAAAGAGCGCATCGGCGAGCATCACCCGACTGGGCGGTATCGCAATTACGAAAAAAAGGTACATCGGCAATGTGGATAAGACACAATGCACAAGAGGCAAAAGATGAAAGGGACGAGACTCGAACTCGCGCGGGTTGCCCCACCAGGAAACAGATGTTAAGCTGACCTTAACCTGGCGCCATAACCAACTCGGCCACCCTTCCGATTGATACCGGAATCCTCACCAAAAGCCTTCTATGGATGCTCACGCACCAGCGAGGAGCATTTGCTATGAGATCACCGGTATCGTCATTATCATTATCGTGGCTTCTTATCTTCTTCACCCTACTTGCATAGGGCACGACTCACGATAAACACCACATCGCCCGCCGTTAGGGCTGTCTATGCTCTAATTATTCGTCCGCCGCCGCCGTCAGCTGCCACAACGTCGTCCGCCCGTTCGCAATCTGCGTCGCCATCACCCGATCGCCAACCGCAATCGCCGCGGCCACGACAAGCGGCGTCTTGCCCGTCTTTGCGATTCCCTGCGTCGACTGGTCGAGGCAAACCCCGTTGCCGACATCGCGCATCCTCAACCGCCCGCCGTCCGCCTGCACCGTCGCGACGAACCGCCCGTTGCGCGGCACACACGCGAACGCGCAGCCGTTCATCTCCAGCTCCGCGCGGCTCCCGTTCTCCGGCCACCACGTCGTCAGCCGCCACGTCCAGGGACTCGTCCCGTCCGTCTGCCGACACGCCGCCATCACCCTCCTCCCGTCCGCCACGAGCTGCATCGCCTCCCGCCCGACCGATTCCCACGATGCCGTCTTCGCCCGCGACTCCTTGACGTCCGCCCACGTCGCGACATCCCACGTCGTCATCCTCCCCGCGCGATCGAGCGTCGCGATCCGGCTCGAGTCCGGCGTGAACGCAAACTTGCACACGGGCAGCCCGCCCGTCTTCTTCCTGCCCTCGCGCAGCGTCACCACGTGCGTGTTGATCAGCGTCTCCCACACGTCGATGCACCCGCCCGCGATCCACGTCAGCAGCCGTCCGTCCGGCGAGAACTGCACCTCGTGCGCGTCCGCGCCGGCCTCGAACACCGCCTCCGCCGTCTGGCTCGCCCAATCCAGGCTCCACACCTCATGTCGCGCGCCCGTCCGGAAAGACAGCGCAATCACCCTGCTGCTCGTCGGTGAGAACGCGATCCCCGTGATGCGGTCCATACGCACCACGTCGAACTCCACCACCGTCGGCGGCACGTTGCGCTCGAGGCTCCATATCAATACGTCCCGGTCGCCGTGGACCGTCGCGAGGAGCGTGTCGCAGATGCTCAGCAGCCGGATCTGCGTCGTGAGGCCCTGGCCCGTGGGCACCGTCCGCGAGAACTTGTACTGCACGCATATTGGTTCGGAGCTGACGCCGTCCCCTCGTTGCGTGAGGTCGCCGTCCCGCGGCATGGTTCCCCGCTGGCGTGATGTTCGTAAACATGAGAAGATATGTCTGCTATGCTCTCCCTTCGTGATATGTATGAGCTTGGGAGGTTATGATGGAAATAGCCCCATGCTGCAAGCCCCTTCAAGCTCGGCTGAATTTGGCTCTCGATGCGCAATTAACCCCAAATGCAAGGAGCCGCAGAAAGGCGTTTAACAAAGCCGCCAGCTGTCACTGCAAAGACAGAGTTTCATGCGTGCGTTTCGCCAGCACCCCCGTTTGACTTCCTGCCGTAAATAGCCCACATGGGCAAAATGGAAACAGCGTGGCAAACCGTTGTTTGGATTCGAAGCTGCAGGCTGCAGCACTCTCGGATGCGCACGCGCCCGTCGTTTGCCCGCCTCGGTTCCTGGAGAACATCGGCTGAACTGTTGAATTTTGTTTTGTGTCAAAATGTGTTCGGGTGTTTGCTACCTGTTCAAGAAGAAACGGTCGAGAATGCAGTAATGTCGGGCTGCTGAGTCTCCCCGGATCCGGAGCTGGAGCTGTCCACGCGGGCGAGATGGTTGCTCTGTTTTGATGTGCGTCTTGCATACTGCGCGACGATATCGCGGGGTAAGTATGCAGAAACATGGGTTTATGAAATGCCCAATTCGTTCGTCGGTGGTATGCAGTCTTGCTTTGACTTTCCCATCACCGATGGACGAATTGCCGATACGCTTCCGGGCATCGTGGTATTTTTGGCAACATGTCCTAAAGAGGTTCATCTCAGATGCTATACCATACCATTTTGACGACAGCACAACGTGTAGGGCACGCTGCGGGCGTCTCGCTCTGATATGTAGTCCCACGAGTTGGTTTCCCTCACCGGTGTCAAGCTTTTCTGACAGCCTTGACGGCCGCAGTGACAGGGACAGAAATTCTGCCCTGTCTGTGAGGTGTCGTTGCTGTCGTTCTTTGGGGGTGTTTGATGTCCTTTGACGTCTGTTTGTTCATGACAAGTGCATTCTGCGAGGAGGGGTTGACGGCATGTGATGCTCTCTGGTACGTCGAGCTCGCAGGTAAGATACGATGTGTCGGCGGTCTGAGTTTCTTGTTAGACACGCTCAAATCCCGCGATATCAACTCAAACCCCGTGATATTGATCTTTGGCCCAGGATGAGTAAGGAGGATGTTGGCCGAATGAAGCAAAAGAGACGCGAAGGTATCTACGAAGACGGCAAGTGTTTCCGTACGTCGTTCGATTTGTAATACCCCATTGGTCGGCCCTACGCCGGCGTGAATCCACAACAGAAGCATCTAAACGGAGGGATCCGCTTGCGCGCACGTAGGTTGAGGAGGATGATTTGTAGTTGGAAAATATATTCCGCCTCGAGTCATACCGTTCGAGTGTGACCGGTCCATGTGCTTACACATATACCCGGACATCACAACGCCATGGAAAGGCTTGGTTGCTAATGGAGTGGAACCGCACCTCAACGCCGGGTCACCATTATCCTGATATCGAGACTCCATAGACTCAGAATTCATCGACTTAAATGCGTTGACATCAACGCCAATCTCGCCATGTCCTCCCACTCCAAGCCCAGCAACACCCCAAACCCACCACCATGCCGTACACCTCCATCACAATCATCATAGCCCCCTACCACACCGGCCTCTACAACCACCGCGTCGGCTCCGGGCCCCTGCGCATCCTCTCCCACAACCTCGCCTCCAAGCTCGAGGCCCTCGCCCCCATCTCCTTCACCAACATCGGCCCCGTGGACGCCTTCGAGGGCGAGATCGGGCGCACCTTCGAAGTCCTGCGGCGCATCGCCACCGCCGTCGCCGCAGCTGCCTCGCGCCGCTCGTTCCCGCTCGTGCTTTCAGGGAACTGCAACGCTAGCGCCGCTGTCGCGGCTGGGTTGCACTCCTCCGTGCCGGATTTGAATGTGTTGTGGATCGACGCGCATGATGATTTGGATACACCCGATACGAATGTCAACGGGTACCTTGACGCGATGGCCGCGTCGATGATGTGCGGGCGTAGCTGGGCTGCGCTGATGGCCTCTGTGCCGGGACATGTTCCCGTGAGTTTGGAGAGGGTTGCGTACTGCGGGTTGCGGGACGTGAGCGACGCGCAAAGGAGAGCTGTGAAGGAGGCGGGGGTTGATGTCATCTGGGGCGATGCGCGGAAGAAGGTTGCGTTTGGGAGGGAGCTGGACGGGATGTTGCAGCGGAAGGGGTTCAAGAGGACGCATGTGCATCTGGATCTGGATGTGTTGGACGAGTCGTTGGGGAGGGTGAATGAGTGGCCGTCGCCTGGGGGGCTGGATGAGAGGGACTTGGTGGAAGTTATGGAGGTCATACCGCGGCGGACGGAGCCGACGAGTTTGGTGGTGTGTTCATTTGATGCGAGGTTGGAGGGGGGAGATACGGTTGCGAGGCTTGCGGGCGATGGGATTGTAAGGTTTGTGGAGGGGTTGAAGGAGCGTGGGAGCCTGAAGGTTGGAGAAGCATGATGGCGATCATGGAGAGATTCATGTTGGTCTCACTAGCAGACATTCCGAACCATTCTTGCTCCTCAAGACGTAAAATATGGACAAGGAAGAACGAGCTTTATGTACACCTCGAAAACAGATTTCAAGCCGCCGTAAACGACTCAACTTTGATCGAACCTCCCAGTGCCTTCGTCGCAAAGTTGAAGATACCAAACCTGTACGCAATGAAAAACGCCCAGCCGCTGTACAACTCATATGTCTCCCCCAACTTCGTGAAGCTCACCCCATCAAAGCTGTAAAAAAAGTCCGCATCCCTCGTTCCCGTCGGCCGCGCATCCAGCTCCGCGCGAAACCAGACCTTCTTCGCCCCGCTCGGCACCGGCGCAGACGCCACCTCCGTGCCGTTAGAGACCGGGTCGCCGGACCACTCGTCGATGATCAGACCTTGCACCGCCTTCAGGGTGTACGTGTCGCCGACGCGGTGGATGCCGATGTACGCGCTCTGGTCGCGGAACGCAGCCAGCCCGAAGCGGTCACCGTCGGCCATGTTGTTGAAGTTGATGGCGACGGTGCCTTTGGGGAATTCGCCGTGAATGCGGTGTGTGAGTGTATTTCTTGCGGAGTACAGATCCTCCGTCACACTGGCCGTCTTCAGAGTCACACCATTGTTGACTTCATACGACGCAACGTCCGGGTTGTGATTCCACTCCCATGTCGGCCCCAGCTCGCTATCAAAGGTATACGTCCTAGTCCAGTTATACAACACCTTCTCCGGCAACGGCATCGGATACTCCGCGCCCCAGCCGCCGTTCGCGCCCTTCACCAGCTCCGGAAACCCGTCCGCGCCCCATGTGATGGGCGCCAGCACCGGCATGCGGCCCGCGGGGTACGCCCACGTGAAGGACATGTAGTACCACTGCCCGTCCTTGGTCTTGACCAAGCTGCCCTGGTGCGGGGAGTTGCCGCCCGCCAGAGGCGGCGCGACGTTCTGTACGAGAATCTTGGACTGGTAGGGACCCCACGGGCTGCTGGACTTCCAGATGTAGGTCGTGGAGCCGGGCTGGTCGTTGAGGATGTAGTATGTGCCGTTGATTTTGTACATCCTGTTCCCCTCGACGGTCTCGGTGTTGACGTCGGAGGCTTGGAGGACTTGTTGGGTCTTGACGACGCTTAAGGCGTCTGCGCTGAGTTGGGATACTTTGACTTGGCCGTTGCCGTAGACAACATACATCGTGTCATCGTCGTCGATGAGAAGGCCGTTGTCGTACATGCAGAGCCCATCCCATCCGTACACACCGCGATTGCTCCACGGCCCCTTGACGTCCGAAGCGGTGAACACCCAGGTCACCCAGAAATTAGTGCACCCGATCCAGTACCACAAGCCATTGCTCTCGCGGTAGCGCAATGTGGAAGCCCAGGTGCCGCCGCGGTAGGCGCGGGGACCGCTGGGAGGCAGGTCGTAGCCGTCACCGAAGGTGAGGCGGGGGATGGAGTGGCCGACGGGTTCCCAGTTGACGAGGTCGAGGGAGCGAAGGATGGGAGCGCCGGGGGAGTAGTGGAAGTTTGAGGCGGAGAAGTAGAAGGCGCCGTCGGGGCCGACGGAGATGTCGTTGTCGGGGTAGTCTTCGTAGAGGACTGGGTTCTGGAAGGTGTCGGCGCGGCGGAGGGGGAGGTGCGCCGCTGTTGCGAGGAGGCTGGAGACCAGGAAGAGGAGGGGTGTTAGATGCATCGTGGCGGATGGTGGAGGTTGAGAGGGCGTGTCGCCATGACGGATTCTGGAGAAATTGTCGAGGCAATTGGAAGTATGATATAGTTCATTTGTTTTCGGGCCAAGACGAGTTGTGTCATTGGAGGTGGAGTAATGTCATCCGGTCGCACGGTGTTGTTCGGCGGATGTTCGTCCGTCTTCTTAAATTGCCTAGTAACACATTGCGTTTTCGCGGGGAAGACGTGCCAAGAGTACAGCGGCTCCCGCACTTTACCCCTTCGCATTCGGAAGACTGCCGGATTGATGCGAAATAAGGCTGAGGCGTCCATCCTAGAGTCCAAAAGAGATAGAATACCCGATCTGTTCTGCTTCTAGGTAAGTTGCCACTCATGATGTTCTTTGGTGGGTGTTTCCTGACACAGTAAACAGATCGTAAGAACAAGTCCGCATGTTTTCGTCCAAACAAAGGGCACGCCTTTGTACATTGCGTTGTTGTATTGATCCATTCGGGATGACGTTTCTCTGCAAAAGGAAATGCAATGGAGACCCTGGAACAATTGCGATTGGGGTTTCCATCTTCGGCGACTACAAACATCTATCAACGACCTTAGCAGTGACCACATTGAAGTCTTTTTAGCGACTGGCGGCCCAGGGTCCAAGGCGTCCCAAAGGAGCTGATATCCACCATATGCGCATCGTCCGCAGTTGGGGTCCAACGATCCAACTCCATTGGCTGAGGTCCGGCAGAAAAGAACTGATTGATAGGTAGACCAGCTCACCATTATGCCGCCGATACCCCGATTTACGTCGCATCTGCCCAACTGTGGCGCAGATTCTACCCGACGCGTGGATACGCGCAGAGGGGTTGAGGTCTTTCGCGCCAGCCTGATTTTGTGTGCGAACCTTTTCCTTCAACTTCCGTCTTCACGGTCTTCCGAAACCAACAATCGAATTTGAGTGAATTGCGAAATCACCTTGCCATGGCTGACCCACTGGGCATCGCCGGCACCGCCGCCGGACTGGTGTCCCTGGGGCTGCAGCTGTACGGCGACATATTCAAGTACATCAAGGCCGTCAACGGCAGAGAAGACGACCTGGAAGCGGCAAGAAAGAATGCTGAAATACTGAGAAAGTGCCTGATTGCCATCAAGGGGGCCACAGCATCGACGAATATCGCCCAGATGGCAACGAAAGACGCAGTCGACGAGTGCGTCGCCTCTTGTAAAGATGAGCTGAAACAATTGGAGGCCTTATTAACACGCCTACGAGGCCCGGAAGCCCCCGCAGAGACATTGTCTGCCAGAACCAGGGAAAGAGGAAGACGATTGATGTATCCTTTCCGTAAGGATAGCATAGCCGAGCTCGAAACAAGACTGGCGTCAACGAACGCGGTACTCCAGACAGCTTTGAATGCCCTAGGACTGTAAGCGATCACGATGGTTGCTGGCGCTCAGGTGTCATTGCTTCAAGAATGACGCTGAAAGATTCAAATGACCATAGGAATGTATCGATATCAACGCACGGCGTTGCGTCCGACATTCAATCTGACATTACAGCCATGAAATTATCGAACGAAAAAAGCAATAATCAACTCTCGGCCATGTCGACCATGGTGAAGGATATCAGGACGATCACTTGCAAGTCTCACCATCTGATACCAGAAATACATGCAAAAGCATCGGAAACGTCGCTCCTAATGAACAACCGTATGAAAAGATGCGAAGAGCTTCTGGAACAACTGGTTGCAAGCTCTACAGGACCGCCAAAAGCCCTCCAACAGTTTGGGCAACTACTTTCATGCCCGTCGGATCTTAGTACCCTCTGCGATGGGTTTTTGGACCCCAACCCACCCAGGGCTTCAAGGGCAAGCCTCTTTGCGACCGGAAACAGTTCCGGGATTAGGAAAACAAGCGTGGGACTCAGACCTTGCCCTTGCACGAGACGCCAATTTGTGCAGCGTCACAGACGAGCATTGGGTCCGTTGACCTTGGAGACCGAAACTTCTGAAATGAAATACCACGCACCTGACTGTCCCCTTTCCCAGCTAAGGCCACCAGAGCATCAAGTGAGAAGGGGACACAGCATCACAGTTCCTGGAATGCAGAAACTTCTGCGAAGAGTAATCCGCTTTTCCTTATCACTTAGCCACGGAGCTGGGGGTTCAGCTTTGAGCCAGAGTCTCTCGTGGGTGGCGACTGTGGATGCAACGCGAGCCCCGGCGTTTAGAATTTGTGACATTGCAATCTCGGCGATCTATCTCTCCACCCTTACAAACGAAAGGCGCCGGGCTGTCTTGAATTCATGCTGGAGACGATTGTTCTGGTGCTTTGCTCAGAAAATGGCTTCTCCGACCGACGTGGATGGAAATGGCATCACGATACTGGGTAGAGTAGTCACTAGAGTTGAGGTATGGAACGAGACAACATCTATTGTGAGCTTGATTTCACTGACACGGCTACGTCTAGCCTTTAGACAAAGCGGATATTGCACCCTTCATACTGTCGCTCATGGCTCTAAAGATGACGGCCAACAGTCCAGCCTCGGCTTGGGCAAATGAGTGAGTGCCAATACCATTACGAAACTTTCCCTTCCATTAGCAAATATCCTTATTTAGAACGAGCTCCTGCGCGTACTAGTCAATAACGTGATAATAGATCAATTTTTGCATGGATCATGGGGTCCAACTGGCTTAGGCAGCGTAATGCAGTACCTACGCTTCTAGATGCTTTAAGCCACTCTTATGACCCAGGAGAATACAATTTGAGGGGCGTCGCCACTCTACCAGATATCCTGGATATGTTTCTACTTTTTAGAAGCTTTCCGGAACTTGCGAAGGGTACTTTCAAATGCGAACAAAACCGAATGGCAAAATGATTAATTTATACCCAGTGCTGCAGTTTGGCCCGCTGATGCTTGGCATCATCCAGCAAGACCTAGGAACCGTCAGCCATCTACTAAAGCTGCAACCTCAGTCAACATTGGAGGTAAACCATGCTGAACAGACGCCAATTCATATTGCCGTATTGACGGGCAATGTGTCAATTCTTGAGCTAGTCCTATCGTGCAGTAACGAGCAGCTACTCAGCACCTCCGACTCCTATGGTTATTACCCGATAGAGTATGCAACTATCGAACAACTTCACAAAGCTTGTTTAACCCGAGAAGAAGCAGCGTGCCAGGGCTGTCGTATAGTAGGGGCTTTGCTTCGAGCGCGCAGTGTTCTTTTTCCTCGCGCTATTCGGCTGGCGTTCGGGCATTTCATAGAGGCCGACAATCACCCCCTATCATTTGGCGCTCGGGCGATGTTGCTACACCATCTCAGAGAACAAAGGATCGAGCTCAAAGCCTTTGCAAAACAACACCTCCCAAGAAAACAGAGACAACTCCTGAACTCTCCCACGAACGGCGTTCTAGACCGGAACGCTCTCCAAGTCCATAAGCTCCTGGAGGGCCAGTCAATCTGCATCCCATCATATCTCAAAGTATGCGATGAAACAACAAGATCGATTCCTTCAAATGCTCCAAAGACAGTATACAATTACATATACGACAGACGAACCGCAAACCTTGCCTGGGAACTAGGCTTTCGTGATATAGACCCTATGGATGGGCTCTCTCAAATGGTAGATGGAGCCCTCAAATTCCAGGGGTTCAACGACCAGGTCATACAAGGATTCATCGGCTATGTCTCCTGGCTGTTAGATCGAGGACTAGATCTGAAGTCGCCCATCCCCACAGCACTGCTGGATGAAGACTTGAGGAAACGCTGGCACCTGAGAGCCACGGGCGCCCACTATTGCATGAAGCTTCTGGGGCGCTACAACACATTTCCCTTATCCAAGAGCCTCGCAGAAGCTGTCTTTTCCCGAGTCGCTAGCGACCACTGTTCATGCCCTTGTTCTCCATCAGGCTGCACGCCGCTGATGAAATTCTTTGAAGAGCTTCAACACACGAGCTGGCGATTCTGCGGTAATGCACTGCACAATCTACAGCAAATGTGTCGATTGGCACTTAAAATGATTCCGCACAACGAACGGAAAAGTCAGTCGTACAGTTGGATATACCAAGCTATCCTTCGACGTATCACGTTCGATGCTTTGTCCCTGCGGCATGCCTGTTGCAGCCTGGAGAGGTGGCATAAAGAGCGAGACGAAGAAGATATAGCGGAAATTCAGATGGTTAATGAAGAGCGTTTGTTGCTTTTCGAAACCCTATGTGAGGAGTTTACAGCAAAATGCGGGAGCAATTTGAGGCTGTTACAGTTCGTGCGGGACAGCTGGGAACCTCGTATGAAGTACGAAATAGAAATGTTGGAAAGAAAGGAATCAACGAAAGAACTGACAGCAGAAGAGCGTCTAGCGGCGGAGGAGATCGGTGTCATTTGGAACTCTGACAGCTCTGATATCTCCAGCAGCGAGAGCGACCACGTTTGGGAAACGCCACAAGGTCTCTTACAAATGTTGGATGGCATAGTCCCAGACCCTAACATACAACTTCCACATGTCTTTGAATTGAGATAGCAGCAAATTCAACGACTGGCTGTCATCAGTTTGGGCCACCATGGAAAATATCATGGCGGCTGGTCTCTGAATTACACCTGTAGAGAACTATGTGGGAAACGATCTAGCGTCCTTCTGTGACCGAAGAATCCTGCATGTTCCATGTGATCTTTGATGACTCAACACGTTCCAACGACAAACTGAGGCTGTATCGTCGGAAAGTTACCTTCACGAAGCGTATCTCTTTCGTCAACATTACGACCCCTGATTGTCCCTGCGATACAACGCTTTCCGCCGCTGAAAAAAACGCCCTTGGTAGTCTTCTGCAATCAAATTCACTCCAGCAGGGTGTAAAACTGGACCTGCGCGATCATCGGCTCGATGGTGGGCATGCGTGCAGCACGGCCGCCGTGCGTCTCTTCACCACAGAATTGGCGAAGAGGACGCAAGGTGCCGGTGCCATTGGCCTCGACTTCTTGCTTAATGAATTCGAGAACTCTGGTGAACACCTCGCGAGGAGAGACGGACTTCGCCTTGGCCTGAAAGCCGTAGCCGATGAGAAGGATCTTGGATCCGGGCTGCTCGATCAGCAAGCCACAACCGCCGCCGTGATATCCATCTCCCAGACGCTCGATGGTGATCTGGAGGCTGTACAGCGCAGTGGTCACGGACGCCTTTGCGGTGAGACCCGAGATGTTGGCGGGGCTCAGGTTGAAGCCGATGGTCTTGCGGTGGGCAGACCGAGCGTCGAGAAGGATGGGAGAGATGTCGCGGATCAGCTTGAAGCACTTCGGAACTTGCGACGGCGCGGAAGCGATCTTGTCCAGGTCCTTGATAGCGACACCAATGGCGCCGTAGCTGCCGAAAGCAGTCCACATATCTTCCGCTCGGCCCTGGCTTCGGGGATGGTCGACGACAAGCAGGGGGTGCTTGTTGTCTGCGGCTGTCTGACAAACCTCTTGGTACGGAGCGTCACTGGCGCTGGGAGCCCAGAAGTCGATGTGCGAGGCGAACGTCTTCCAAACGGCCGCGGTTCCGGTGGTCTGCGGAGCGCCATTGAGAACGCGCTTGACCGGCACGGTAGTAAAGACAGGAACGCTGATGGCCTTCTTGATCATGATTGCCAGGCCGTTAATGTAGTTGGCGAAGTGGTAGGCTGAAAAAAGACTCTCGGCAGCCTCGACATCCAGTGCCAGTTGGTCCCAGGCCACTCGTTCGTTGGCTGCCATGGCCGAGCCCAGTCCCCGAAAGTGAGCAACCATATCCCGGGGGACATCTGCGTCGAACGCAGCGGTTGCTCGGGGACTGCAGTCCCGGGTGTCCCTGGTAAGGCCAACACAGCCAAAAAGTTGAACCATAATGATGGTGTTCTTCAGGTCAACCTTTCGGACGTGGTTCGCCAAAGCGGCGACCGCTCGCTGCTCGACTCGGGCGAGCTCTGGGTTGAAGATTGAAACGGCGTCGATGGTGCGCGTGGTCTGGCCGATGACCTCTCCGTCGTCGTCGACCACCTCGTCACGGATCTTGGCGCGCGGGAAGCGGTTGGAATCAAGCTTGATCCACGAGGGGGCGTGGTCAGACATATCTGACAGTAGTGTTAGTCGTGCTCAAAGTCAAAGGCGCTTCTCAGTGCTTTGAGAGCTCGAGCAAGCTGCGCGGCCCTCATATAGAGAAGTAAACACAGCACAGGGAGATGAAATTGCCAGGCTTGGGCGATAAAGACGGCGGATGAAAGGGGCAATCCATTTCCAACATTCTGACGATAGCGGAGAGGACAAGATGAAAAGGTAATAACTTACTGTCCGTTGAGTCTCCCTTCAGCGATCCAAACCATTGGATCACTACACGCAGTCCATTGGCGTTTGACTGGGCGATGAGGGCGTCGAGAGCTGAGAAATCGTAGGACGCCTCGACGGGTTCAATGACTCCCCACGAGACGGGCGCGAAGATCGTGTTGGCGCCGGTGTCACGAAGCTTCTCCCCAAAACGGGAGATGTAAGGGGCGGAACTGGTGGACGAAGCTGCCAGCTGGCCTCCCAAGATGAGGAAAGGCTTTGAGTCGACGAAGAGCTCGTACACACCGTCTCTGTGGACGATGTTAGATCTGGGGTCGTGATCATTCATCGTCAATGTCGGTGACCGGCGGAAAGATCGCAGAGTGGTGGTATTTTGAGATTTCCCTGGGTTTGTGGGCGACAGGAAGTGTTTTAACCTTTTCCTCAGACAGGCACGAAGGTGAAAGTCGAAGAAGTAAACAAAGTCCGCGTGGGCAGTCGGCCAGCCCTAAGCAACGTGGGTGGGCGCTCAGGAGGTCGGTCGGTCTGGTGCTCTCCCAGCGAGCTCAAGAGATCCCCCTTTCTCATTGGACGTTGACCGGGCAGCCTGCCTCCCTCCTCAAGGCTCGGTGCGGTGGTCTGCATTCACCTTCTTCTTCCCGCCTCCCTCCTGTCTGCCGGGCTCTGCCTTTTACGCACACTGCCTGACTTTCTATCGGAGGATTTTCTCTCGCCACAAACACACCTCTCTACAAAGCATCGATAGATCATCGACATTCCGACAATGTCCAACGTGCCTGTAAGATATCCCCTTTCCTTCGTTCATTCACCTCTCGCAGTCTGACCTGTCCCGATCACCAGACCAACGACCCAATGGACGTCGACGATCATTCCGACAACAAGTTCCTGGCTGCCGCCAGGGAGAATGACAGGATCGTCCAGAGCTCTCAAGAGCAGATCGATATCCTCCGCGCGGCCATGGAGAAAGCACACAAGATGATCAAGACACACCTCGAGAAGATGGAGCAGGCCGCCTCCGCCGCCAACGAGAATCGCAAGCTGGACATCATTGAACAGGCCCGCCTTCAAGACGAACTCGCCGACAAGCAGTGGGAGGCTACCAAGGCCATGGCCACGGGCAGCCTCGCTCTGTACAACCAGAACAAGAACTCATCGGACGCCTTTGAGAAGGCTCGGCGCCTGGGTCCCAAGATCCGTCGATCTGGGGCCCAGGGCAAGGTGAAGACCTGTATATATTGCTACCAACGATTCACGGCGAACGACGAGTGTCGCCGTCACCTGAAGCTCCAGCATTACGCTGAGATGTGGCCTGATTGGACGGCCGCCGAGGCCCAGGCCGCCGCGGAGCGCGATGCTCCTTGAGCTCCCTTGCCGAAGTATGCGATGACTTACCTTTCACATCGACTATGGGCAACATGATTCGCCATACCTACGACGACACGCCTTGTTTCTTGCGCGAGCAAAGCCTCTGTTCTGCGGACGCTCGGCGCGTCTCGGTCTCGGGTCGGGCGTTTGCTTTGTAGTACGGAATCGGTAAGCGCTGTCTTCCAGAATTTGAGGTCATTGACGCTGACGAGGTTGCTCAGGTTCACCATCATTAGCGATCACCAGGGAGTGTATGTCAAAGATAAGCATCGGGACTCGGGAAAGGTCGCGCGGAAACTGAAGCAGGGGTTCGCTGGGAGATAGGGCGAGGACGAAATTGAGACCTTTCAGACACAACCGACCATCGTACCAAGTGAGCAAATATGTGTGACGTGCATGCGGGGTGCATATTTATCCATGTCCAAGTACTGTCGAATACCAGCCATTCTGTTCTTGAACAGGGGTGCTCCGTAGATCTCTGGATCGCGATACGTTGGGTTTCCCCGATGACAGATTCGGATAGCTCCGATCCTTGCCAGCTTCCTGTTCGAACCTCCCATCTTCATACTCTTCGAGCGAGATTGATCGATTGCTTCGCGTATCTGTGAGTCTATCTTCTTTCGGTCCCGCTGACATCACGCCAGATCTGGGCAAACAATGGCCACCACGCGCCTCGGTCGAATGCGACGCGAGGGCTTTTTGCGACAACACGTACAAATACACGAGCGTCAAGATCCAAAGAAGACATGAAGCGAGTCCCTACCGACTACGAAGAACTACAGGCTTCAGCCGACTGTCAAGATGAAGGCTGCCATCCCCATCCTCCTCAGCGGCCTCGCCGCGGGAGCCGACCTAGCCAGCCAAGATTTTCGCGTCAACATCAACGACAAAACCGGCGCCATCGACAAAATCACCGACCCGCGCTTCAAGAATGCCATGAACTGGGTGAGCACCGGCTCCAACGCGCCCTGGCTCCCGACCGGCAGCCGTTGGGGTCTAGGCTACGCCGACCTGGGCCAGGATTCCCTCCACCGCCACTTCTGGAATTTCCTCCAGATCTCGAAGCGCGACAACACCGTCGAAGCAATCTACAGCGCCGGGACATTGGAGCTTTTCGTCAGTCGGAGAGTCGACGACAAAGATCAGTCCTTCACCGAGTCGTACACCTTCACGAACAAAGGCGCCGCGGCGCTGGACCTGGACAGTCGAGGGACAACGTCTTTGGCTATCTACACCCCTTTCAACGACCACTACACGAACACAAGCGATTGTGTCGCGGCGCGCTCGCATGCGCACGTCTGGGCGTTTGGAGGAGCTTCTTCCTGGGTTAAGCTGAACCAGATGGGTGGGAAGTATCGGAATCTGGGGCTCGTCCTGACGAAGGGCGCGTTGGTGGGCTACAGTATCGAGGGGCGCGACCCAGTCACGCTCTCCAATACGCGTGGCGTCTTCCTCCTTCATCCTTCTATCCCGACGCTCAAGCCGGGCGAGTCGAGCACGATCGCGTGGACGTGGTTCTGGCACAGCGACTGGGACAACTTCTTCGAGCAGAGCGCCAATCGCTCCGAGCAGTTCGTGAGGGTCGAGACAGATAACTACACGTCCGTCACCAGGGAAACGGGCTCCATTTCCCTCAGCGGTGCCTCCGTCAATGCAAACACGAAAGTAAGCGGCCAAGCAGTCCAATGCGACGACCAACTCTGCCATTACAACTTCACCGCCGGGCGTCCAGGGCGGATGAACCTCGTAGTCACGACAGATAACGGCTACAACTCGACAATCTTCCTCAACACCGTCCCGAAGTACGACGACCTCATCGACAGCCGCACCAAGTTCATCATCGAGAACCAGCAAGACCACACGCCTGATACCCCAGCCGAGGGTGCCTACCGCGTCTTCGACAACCAAGCCAACCTCATCGCGACGTGGGACACCTCCACCGACCGTAACCCCGGCCGTGAGCGCGTGGGGATGGGCATCCTCATGGCGCGCTGGCTCAAGAAGAACCCCGAGAATGTGGAGGTGCGGGAGTCCCTGGAGAAGTACTACACCTACGTCTCGACGAAGCTACAGGAGGAGAACGGTTTCGTACGCGATAGACCGATTGGGATGGATGGAAGCAAGAAGCGGTTATATAACTGGCCCTGGGTTCTCCAGTTTCACATCACCGTTGCGGCGCTCGATCTCAACTTGACTGGCACGGTGGCGGAGAAGACGCCCCTGGAGCGCTTTATGCTCACCCTAGAGAACTTTTACGCAGAAGGCGGTGGCGAGCTGTACGCCATCGGTCTGCCTATCCTCGAAAGCCTGCGAGCGCTCGAGAAGCACGGGAACGAGGAGTGGCTACAGCAAGCCAAGGAGCTATTCCTCGCTCACGGAGAAAACATCGCGGCACGAGGGCTGGACTACCCATCCTTCGAGGTCAACTTCGAACAATCCATCGTCGCTCCCGCTGCCGTGATGCTCCTCGAACTCTGGCGCTACACCAACGACGACAAGTGGCTCGAAGCCGGCCAGCTACACCTCGACACCCTCCTGCTCTTCGCCGGCAAACAGCCCGACTACCGCCTCCACGACGTCGCGATCCGCCACTGGGACGGGTACTGGTTCGGCAAGGACCGGATGTGGGGAGACACGTTTCCGCACTACTGGAGCACGCTGAACGGCATCGCGCTGCATCACTACGGCAAAGGCTTGAAGAACGATACCGAAGGCCAGGCGGCGGCGTTGAAGACGGCTGGTGGCATCATCCGGAACAATCTTGCTTTGTTTGAGGCGAACGGGCGCGCGTCATGTGCGTACATTTATCCGACCTCCGTCAACGGCCGCGCTGGGAATTACAAGGATCCGTATGCGAATGACCAGGATTGGGTGCTGGCTCACTTGTTGCAGATTGAGGAGGATGATGCCTTTAATGAGGAGTGAGTAGGTAGGTAAGACACAGAGATTACAGTAAATTGTGGTTTCAGAAGATGAGAAGGGTCTTTGTGTCTATGCTTCTCGCGAAACACTGAGCTGCCTATGGCCAGGCAAACGCGAAATGCCTTGGTAGACTTGAGTTGATCTCTCATATTTAGGCCAGTCAATACAGATTTCCGATCAGCCAGGCTCGGCTTTCAAGTGCGCAAGCTCCGGTATTGTGAATGCCGGCTTGACGAACCTCGTCGTCTCAGGATGACTTTAACGCGCGCCGCAAGCATCTGCCAACTTCCTCAACACAATCTTCGCATACCTGTCAAAATGATCTACCTGTCATACGAACTCCTCGACGCCATCCTCACGTACCTCCCTACACGAAAGAAATGGCTCCTCCGACGCACCTGCAAAGCCTTCAACGACGTCCTCCTCCAGCAGCTCTTCAAAATGCTCCGCAAACTACAACGCGCCTGCAAGACTCTCCCCGGAAACGTCAAGTTTCTCCCCCACGAGATGGAGCACTTCCACAACTTCCTCCTCCAAGCCGGACTGTACGAAGGACTCCCCCGCGTCACCGAGTCGCATCGATACGAATGGGGAGACAAGTACCAATATCCGCACGAACCCCACGATCACCTCCCGTTCACCCTGACGCAGGCGAGCAAGATGCACAACCCCCTGTACGCGAGCGTGTGCGGACTGATGATGCTGTATCTGTTCGACATGCATCGCGAAGAGGGCGTGATGGGGGTGTGCGGGACGTGGGCTGTGTACTGCAGTTATTGCAATTTTCGCCGGAGTGCGGTCCGCGACTGTCCTGACGGGTTTAGGGGCTGCGGCGCGATGATGAGCCTGAACAGGAATATGCCGCGGTGTGCGTACTGGTACACGGCGAGAATGTTCCGGTCTGTGCAAATGTGGGAGTATCAGTCCTATCTCGAGGAGGCGTTTGGCGTGTACGAGGCGATTGAGGACATTGAGAGGAGATGTGAGCACTTTGATGCGGTGGGAAGGCGTGAATATCAGGAGGCAAGCATTGGGGGAGTCTGGAAGCCACCACGCTGGCCATGAGGATGCGGACTGTCACTGTATCGTACCAATAGCATGCGTTGACGAAGTCCATCTAGAAAAAAGCCCTTGTTCGATTAATGAAAATGACTCAAGAGGATTGCACAGAAGAAATATCTATAATATGCACATGAACAATCTATCTACTTGGATATTTTCTGCTGTATGTACATCGTAGAAAACACTTTTCAATCCACCATCGAGCTGTAAGTCAGGTAATCATATCATCTTTCCTCGCGTGTTTACTGTGTTTATGCCGCAATGTTGGGCCGATCTGGAACCAAATTAGCGCCTATACGAAAGTTCAGCACCTGTCTGAGATACTGACCTTCCACAGAACAATCGGAATCGGAATGAAAACAATGGCAAGAAATGCGAGCAACGAACTTGCCCAACCAACACCCAGCCTGGTGTACATGGCCGTCGCAAACATCGGGAAACCTGCACCAAACGCACTCCGGAACAGGTCGTTTCCAGCAAGCACCGATGCAGCGTAGTCGGGGTATGCGTCTGTGAGGTAGTTCAACACCGGGTTGAATAATAAGAAGGATCCGATACTGAACCAAGCAGAACCGATGATAGGCATGATCCAGTTGATGCTCTGTCTTGAAGACCAGCCGAACCAAAACAAACAGATTGGAATTGCGACGCCACCTAAGAACGCTGGGGGGAGCCGTTTCTCCGGTTGGATGAATCCATTCTCGTCGAACTCTGGTTCCAGGTACTTGTGCAGGTACCAGAAAAAAGGCGGCACGATAATGATGGCACCGACAAAGATTCCCAGGAATGAGAGCCCAATCAACCCGGTATTGAAGCCGTAGATGCCTCGAAAGACGACGGCAAATGACTCAAACCAGATGTAAAGCAGTCCATAGATGAGAGCCGTATAGAGATTCAGGAGGAAAACCATCGGCTCTGTGAAGTTGAGAGTGAATGGGCGGACAAGCAGCATTTGGACGACGTCCCGCCTCGTCATAGTTTCCGCCATTAGCTCTCCCCTGCTGATGAGTTTATCATTGCCAGTCAGTTTTCTGATACGTCGTGTACGGCGGAAGAGGATATTGCTGGAGCTCGTCTCTGGGAGAAAGACGAAGAGCAGAATGAAGGTGAACCCTCCGATCCAGATAAGCTCCAAGATGGTCCAGGTCCAGCCGTTGGCGTCGACTGCGAAGCCGCTTATCACAGGTCCCATGGTAGGACCGCAGACAGCAGCAATGCCTGAATTTCCATGGTCAGCTATCATGATTTGACTGGCAACAGGATTGTCCCATACCCCAAATACAAATCGCATAAGCGCGTTTCTGCGGCCTCCAAATCTCGGCTAGTGAAGCGCCTCCAACAGCAAGGACAGGCGATCCGACGAAGCCAGTGATGAAGCGGAACGCTAGTAGCATACCGAAGTTCACTGACAGAACCGTCGGAATCTGTAAAAGTACGAAGAGGGCGATACTACCGATATAGACGGGATTGCGGCCAATCTGGGGAGCTTCCGAGATGGGACTCCAAACCATCTGACGCAAAGGTCAGCAAGAAGCGGCCATGACGCGACAACCGAGGAATTCATACCGGTCCAAGCCCGTATCCAGCGACAAAGAGCGTGAGGCCCAAGATTCCAGCGACTGGACTGACCCCAAATACCCGCGAGACGTCCCTCACACCAGCTGCGTAGATGGCGGAGCCGATGTAAATGGCGATGGTTAGGAGACATATCTGAAATGTTGCGAAGGTCTTTTTTGTGAGCGACCAGTTCAAGGGGTTCTGCAGATCGTTAGCCCGCGTCACCACTCGCAAGTCCATCCCAACGAACCTCTGGATCTCCAGGGAGGAACTCGACAAGGCGCATATCCTCCCCCTTCTCGGAGTCTACCCTCACATCTGTCACCTCACTCTGGACCTGACTAGCTCCTTCTGCTTGCTCGGGTACTCCTTCTTGCGACGAGTTCGCTATACTCCTGTCGCTTGCGTCGGGCTCGATGTACCTCCTCCATATCTCTGGGTTCTTTTCTTCGTAATACTGAAGCTGCTTGATCTTCCCGCGGGCCAGGAAATTCAGCAGGATACCGAACGGGGTGTCGTGAAGCAGGTCCATGGCGCTGGACCTCTCACCGAACCTAAGTCGTCCCAACCGTCCAGCTTCCGTGGAAGCGGCGGCTGGAAATGCAGGCACAAATCACCGTGAACAGACAGTAAGCGCGGGCGGCGGATGGTTGGGTTTGAACAACATAAACATGTCATCTCGAAAACGATGCGTTGCCGTGGATGTTGATGGTATTGGATAGTGATAGACGGACAGGTGCCTCGAAAGAAATTCCGAGGCCACCCCCTCTCAGAAACATGATGCTCGGGGCATGATGTAGACTAAGTAGCGAGATCTCGAAGTTGGGTTAAATTGCCCGCTTGAACCTGACAGGAGTCTGTGCAAAAGCGCATGCAGGAATAACGCTACATCAGGTGCAGCCGCTGTGACTCCCGAGCATCCCGCACGTTGATGCACAGGTGCGGCCCCGATCATTATCCCCCGCTCGCGGCTCGGGGAGATTCACAAACATCATAGATGCATTGATCTCGGACATCGCATCTTGTGCCAGAATATGGCTCGACGAAAGCTTCCCTTTCTCGTCGGATCGATTGAGTCCCCATGTGGTAAACTTGACCGATGTCTTCTTCTTTTTGTTTTTCTCTGATAGGAACAAAGGTGTCAGAGCGTCATGTTCCGAACAGAATACCCCAAAGAAATCAGTCTGCATTCCGCGTGGGATGGTCCCGAAGCAGCGGTTGCGGTTTCTTGAGCCTTGTCAACGATGTCTCCCGATATGCATGAATAGAAGAATGAGGCGGCTGTCATCGAAAAACAGAAACTCAATCAAAATGGTCAAGACCTTTCAGGGTTCAGGGAAAGAGACTGCAAACCTTCGCGATCCAGTAAACACAACGTAACACGAGATACAGGGTATACTTCATTATGCGTGCCTCGTACGAGGCAAAGGGCTGTTTCGAACACTCCAGTTAGCAAACATTTGAGAATAATGCCGTTGTCTGTCCTTCTCTGACACTTCCCTGTCTTCGTTTGATGCACCTGAGTCCACGCACTCAACTCTGCCTACAGAATTGCATTGAGGAGTCGTGGCTTAGTATACCAGCCGGATGGAGTACCATAACGCCGAGATCTTCAAGGCTTTGTGGGATGTTTGCGCTGTCGTCCCCTTTCAGGAATATGCTGGGCCTGCAACATGTTTATCACACAGAGCGATCGTCTATCGTACACAATCTCCAAAGCCCAGCAAACTCGATTGATGTTATATTTCTTTACGACGTGTTAATGAAAAAGGGTAGCCACCAAGCTCTGACCTCTTGCATTCAAGTGAAAGACTTTGCATCGACTTGCTGCCACGCTCTAGCAGACGGAAAATGAGACATTCCAGATGAGAGCGACACATGAACCAAGGCTGGCTACAGTCATGGGACGGTGTCGGATTCCCCCCAAGTCGTAAAAGATTATCATTTCTGTGGCCATTGAAGCGCATCGACTGCCCAAATATTTTCTTTCTGGCTATGTCTGCCAATTAAATTGGCTTTGTATCCTGGAAGAGATCCAGACGAAGCTTTTTACAAACAATTATGAGTGTGCAGGAGGCATTTGACCCCCGAATGCCTTTCATACTACAGCTGGGTATTTGGGGATGTTCTATTGTTTCCGACACCGGAAAACTCGCAGAACAGTACACGTCCATACAGAGCCGAACACCCGGGTTCGATATTGCAGAGTCCAGAACCACCAAATATTGAGTCCACAGTGGGCTTGGCAGGGTTTCCATACACCAATCCGCCGGCACAGGCTAAATAGGAATATTCCCGGGACCAGACGGGGTCAATTATCGAAATGAGTGTTTCGACTTTTCGGCGGTGTGAGCAGCGCTGAATCTGTTGGAATCCGGTTGATGCAAACGGAAACACGGCATTACTGCATGCATGCAGTTGCAGTCTGCAAATGGAACCTCGCATTCCACCCGCAAGTCCGGGGGAGACGGAAATTTTCTTCCATATTGGCCCCCAACGGAGATAAATGTGTCCTTCGGCCCTTTATCATAATAGTTACATTGCGGTGCTTTCTGTTCATTATGCGGCAAAATCCTTTGGCAGCATCACAATTGCTTGTTCGTGCCTGCCTAATCTGCAGCTAGGCCCGCCCGTCAGCCGGCATTTACCAATAGAGTTCACTTAGGGCTGACGGATTCGATGTCTCATTCTGGCGAGGCCAATGACATGTCTCAATTGAAGCCATCAGGATTCGGACTTCCGCGGCGATGGAATGCTAGAGGTGCAAGCTCATCTCATGGCTTACGGCGTGGAAACCACGCGAACGGCTTTGAAATCAGGAACTCAGGACGAACTGTGATGTCATGTCTGTTTTTGGTTCTGGGGGATGGCATCCGAGGCATCTACATCGAGTGCAATGCCACGAACTTCAACTTCAGGGAACCTGGGTTATCACAGAGATCCAGCAGATACAGCGCTGCTTGATTACCTGCATCGCAACAACGGCAATTCACTGTCACATCGTGAGGCATCGCAATGACTACCGCTAGGGCTCTGTTGTTTGGCCTCCTGGCCGCAGCCGCCTCCGCAATTCCCATGCAACGACGGGCCAGCGCGCCTTCGTTCTCCAGTATCGTAGTATTCGGGGATTCGTTTAGCGATAATGGTAAGTTGATCGTCGCACGAAGTCGATGCAACGATGATTGACCATGAGACCAGGCAACGGCGCCGCGAGAGTGTCGAATGGAACCTGGCCATCAGACAAATAGTTAGCATCCCACCGATCGAAAGAATCATCAAAAGACACTGAACTGACCGTAGTTGAAGCTACAAAGGGCGCTTCTCGAACGGCATCGTCTGGGCCGAGTATGTGGCAGGCAATCTATCCATCCCGCTCTACGATTATGCCATAGGCGGAGCGACGACTTCCAATTCCCTCATCCAGGGGTACACCGGGCCGAAGAGCTCGATTGCAGTGCCATCGGTCGTCGATCAAATCGTCACATTCTTGGGACAGAAGACTCCTCAAGGCGACAGCTTTTCGGCTTCTGATTCGACTGCGGTTACGACGCCGCTCTTCGTGGTGTTTGCGGGCGCCAACGATATCCTGTTCAATGCCAACATCAGTGCTTCTCAGTCATACCAAGTCCTGGCACAAGCGGAAGCAGAGCTCCGGGACGCACATCCCACAGCCGAGGTCCTCACGATCACACCGCCAGACCTCGCGAGGTTACCGTATGGATTCTTCATAGACAACATAGCCAAACAGCAGCTGCAGACCTACACGGATCTTCTGGGGGATTTGTTGGACGGCTCGAAGACAGGGGCGGTAAACGTTGACCTGCGACCTCTCTTCGACGACTTCGAGTACTATGCCACTCCCGAGGCCTACGGCTTCGCGGATCTGGGGAAGTATGGAAGTTGTCTAGTTGGAGCGTATGGCGAGACGCCGAATGTGACGATCTGCGGGGACGCCGAGAAGCAGGTCTACTGGGACGAATATCAGTGAGTTTTACTTTCTTTTCCCCCCTTTCTGCCGACGCAATGTTTTCGGGATAAACGTCTGACGTAGAGCAGCCCGACAACGCACACGCACTCGTGGATCGCCAAGCGAATTCTGGATATGCTGAGTGGCCCGTTCTGATCTCTCCTCGGGACCAGGTCTGCGAGTTCTGCGAGGCGCTCGTGGTGTTCGGTATTGCGAGAGGCAACACGCCTCGGCTGTCTTGAACGGGCCTTGCAGGACTGCAGAAAGTTGTCTTGGGTGCTGTATCACAGAAACCACCATGGCGAAAGCGAAAGTCTGAGGCAGACGAAAGAAGCAAATTTAATAACCCGGATCCAGTTGTCAGGCCGGAAATGGTGTCTTGGACCGGGGGCCCCTCGCTGACGTTTCCTAAATAGCGATGCCTTCCCCACCCCTGGCATCATCAACCGCTCTGTGTCAAACAAGCACAGACGAGTTGTTTGGAGCGGTAGTCCCCGTCGCCGCTGACAAAGGGACACTCAGGGGCGATCCAAGGACTTGATGTCTGATAGTCACGCTGGCGTGGTCGACAATGGCGACATCCACCGCTGGCCAGACCGCACGGCACTGGGCTCGGGTTCGCCAGATATATGTGATGTGGATAGTTAGCAGTAAACTCAAAGTGTCTGCCCTAAAAATGGGTGTTTGTATGTCTGGAGCTTCATGCTCCGCATGCACGACCAAGAGATCCCCATCGGTCCCATATTATCGTGAATTTCAAGTAGAATATCGTGCAGAACCGACGGCCCTGCTAAGACGCGTGGCGGTATATCATCACAGGCAGAAAATTCAGGCTCATCACACAGTCCAATCTGGAAGATTCTGTGACTCCTGAGACTGATAAGTGGAAAATTGAAGAATGACGTGGACTCAATTTGGCTTTAAGCGCTGCCCATGGGCCGAAGCCGGACTTCCGGCGAAGCGGACGAGGAGGTTATGGTTATTGCGTCCGATGTCCCTGAACACGCAACGCAAAAAAAAAAAAAAGAAGAAGCAAATCTCGGAGATGTCTCACCGATCGATGTTGCAGGACCAAGGACTGGACGAGCCGAGGGAAGCCATTCGTCAACATCGCGGATATGACTTCCTGAAATTCCGGTCTTGCACCAGGCGACAGACGGGTGCAACCCTTCAGCTTTGGCGCCGTGGTGTTTGTTAAGGCTAGCCAACTGGTTGATGTTAGGCGGTGGGATGCAGGCATGTCCCCTGGCCTCATTTAAGCGCGACGTCTGCCATCCGATGGACGCGTAAGTAAGACATGGTCCGTACCCATTGGAGATGGGACTAAGCAGCACCCCAACCCCGAAAAAAACAAGAAGAAACCCCCGAACTGGGAATGATAGCCAAGCTTCCCTCGCCCTAACATGTCAAGGTGAAACAGCGACGACGACGTCCCTCATTTACAGCAAACTGTCCATGGTCGGAAAATAAGGGATAGGTGGAGCATCAAGACCCGTTTTTCTCTTGAAACGCACCCAGCGATCCCCGTTTCTATCCCATCACTTGGATCGACAGAGCACCGTCCAGCCAGTGGTAGCCACGCACACACACAGCATCACCTCAGTCAAAGTTCAATCCTGGAGAAGATCCATGGTTCCTTGACCCGGTCTAGAACTGGCTCAGTCTGTGTTCTCGTCCCTCTGAATCCTCCGTGAGCACAGCTCCACCATCCGCACCATCCACACCCACGCAGCATCCATCATCCCGCCCGCGGGTACAGACGCCCCCCCTTAACCCCTGATGGACACTCGTTGGAAATTGACAACAATTTGACACCCATGCTCCTCACCACTGTTCTGTCTTGATCGAATGCGGCAAAGTCGGGCCATCAACCTATCCAAGCTTCACTTGAGCCGCAGACACAGGCACTTCAACTACCGAATAGTGGCAACTTGCCTGGGTTCTGCCCTGTCACTTGGGTGCTAAACGCCCACATCCCGCACTTCTGGGTCGGCCCCTTGCAGGTGCATCTCTCTCCTCCGATGGCGCAACGGTTCACCATGTTTGCCATGTTGCAGTGTTGCTGAATCAGTTGACGCCATCTGGGCGGTCCATGACCCAAACAAGAGTGGCCGTCCGTGGCAAGGCCATCTCGATATAAAGATTGAGTCTTTCTCCTTCCAAGAGCCATCCCTTCTCCTCTCCATTCCATCCCATCTCCATCACTTTCATTCACAGCATCGAAGCTAGTCTTCTGTTCCGTTCTTGATACCAAGCTTTCATTCGTTCTTCGACACATTCCTTTCCAACCTACCCAACTCGAACAACCAACCCACCGACTCCTCAGTCAAATCCTCAACACACTTTTCAAAATGAAGGCCAACGTTATCGCTGCTACCATCCTCGCCGCCTTCTCGGCTGGCGCTTTCGCCCAGGACAACGAGGAGCTCCCCACTGGCTTCCCTACTGGCTTCCCTACCGGTTTCCCCACCGGCTTCCCTACCGGCTTCCCTACTCAGGTCCCCGGTGCCGCCCAGCCCTCCGGTGGCTTCCCCGGTTTCGGTGGCGGTTTCCCCTCCGGCTTCGGCGGTGCCCGCCCTACCCAGGTTCCCGGCGCTGCTCAGCCCTCCGGCGGCTTCGGCGGTGGCTTCCCCGGCTTCGGCGGCCACCACGGTGCCCCCTCCGGCTTCGAGACCCGCATCAACACCCGCTCCGACGAGGCTGCTGGCTTCGGCGCTGCCGCCGCTGAGACCGGTGCCCCCACCGGCACTGGTGCTGCTGGCGCCCGCCCCACCGGCAAGGGCAAGGGCCGCGGCAAGGGCAAGAACCACGGCACCGGCATTCCCTCCGGCTTCCCCTCCGGCCGCCCTACCCAGGTCCCCGGCGCTGCCCAGCCCTCCGGCGGCTTCGGCGGTGGCTTCCCCGGCTTCGGCGGCGCCGAGCCCACTGGCTCTGCTTAAGCGACACAACACAAAGTGCGACAATCTTGGGGGATTTGACATACCACTTGGTCTGACAATCGGAGCTTCATCAGGAGCGTGCTTGAATGTGATGGAAGATGTTTCTTTTTTTCTTTTCTTACTACTCCTAGCGGAGCTTTCTCTTGTACAAAATAGCAAAGCCGCTTGGAGTAGCTGGCTGGTACATTGCATGGGCGTTTGCTTTTTTGTAGACTTATCAATAAGAGCACTCGTCTTTTTCTAAACTTCTCCATCTTCCAATTTGTGACCAGTGTGCCTTTATCTTTGATGCATGAACCCTAAACACCGTCTCCGAGATTTACTTTTGCTTCTCTGCGTTGCACCCTTGTCAAATTCGAGGACTTAGCCTTGAAAGGCTTCAGCGACCGCGAGTTGGTAGCATCTTATGAGTAGAAGCGGAAGTCGAGATTTCAATGTTGAGCAGGTTCATCTTCTAACATCCGTTTTGATTATTGATATCATGGAATCATCTACTTAGAAAGAATACGGACTAGAATCAAGTAGTGATTGACCAAGATGTTCGTGCGGCAGACGAGCGGTTTTCCATACAATCCTAGGCTCTGTTATGGTCTCGTCTTCTCCGGAGGCTTCAAGGACGTGCTCGTGAATTAAAGGAAGAGTCTAACTCAGTTGAGGCCAAGGGTAATGGTTAATGAATCATAAAACATATCTCGAGCTGGAAATGTATGTTCAAATTACTCAATTTTGTTACTATCATGTACTTCTGAGACGATAAATCCCAGTCAGTCTATCATAAACTTGTAATATGTACATGTAAAGTGCGAAGGTGTCTACATTGCGTTGCCAACTAAACATCATCATTCCTCATTATCCCATCTCGTCGCGTCTCATGACCAAAGCTTTACATGAACTGAACAGCAGCCAAGACAGCAGCAGCGAAAACGAGAGTCGCAGGCCTGTTCAAGTTGGCGATGCTAGCCTCGTCAGTGGCAGTAGCGCTCTATAATCGAATTAGTCTCTGGTTGTGCCTACGACTTGGGGAGGATACGTACGGTGCTTGACGTCGGAGACGACGTGGATCCAGTTGCACTCGTGCCGGAGGTTGTCGTCGCATTGCTTGAGCTGTTCGAAGCCGAGACGGGGGTGGCGTCCAGGTTGCACCCCTCGGCAGCCTCCGTCACACCATCACCGTAGTACTGCCAGATATCGTACTTCTCGGCACACTCAAGGCAGCCCTCCAGAAGACCAGTCCAAGTCTCGTTAGTGCAGTAGTTGTCCTGCTCGGCTCCGAGAATGGCGTAGCCTGCATGCTGTCAGTATCTGTGTCTGCACGTCGGAGTTTGGGTCACGTACCGCAGTCGGCGTGGCATTCGTACTTTGGCCCGCTGGTCAACTGACGCGCGTGGAGAGGCACGACGGGGAGCCACTCAAGGGCTGCCGCCGTGGAGGTCAGAGTCGCGATGACGGTTGTGAACTTCATTATGGCTGCTTGGTGTTTCGACTGCAGTGCTGTTGAAAGCGGATCGAGCAAGTTAAGATGAAGAAAGTGCTCACATGCTTCATTGGGGACTCGATACCACTAAATAGTGACAAGATCTCGGAACGAACAGGCCACTGCATACGCAATCTTCTCCGGGGATCCTCTTGGTGGATCGATAACCTGCAGGAAGAGGAACTCTTGGCCGAGTGCCTTGAACCGATGAGCGAATCAAGTTGTGACGGCCGAGGATGCCGAGTTCCCAAGTCGCATCGGCTCATCTATGGTGGAGAATCGGATTCCTTGGGTAGCGTTAAAGATTGCTCAAAATCTTCTCACATGTGACTCGAGTTTTCACAGACTTTCGCAACTTCAAACAGCGAGTTCAGTGGATGTTGCATGTTAGACTGTTATGGCCAGTCGACATGTTGCACCTCGGAAGCCTCGACGCCAGACCACAATGAAGGAAACATTGCCTTGAAAGGTCTTGAATTGACACAGCAAGATCAGAGTACAATGAGACTAAACAACTCAAAGCAAGATCCAAGAACTTGGCAGGGATGCCATGCCGCTGGAGGAGGGACCGAGATCTCGGCGCATGTTTTGATTGGTTGATGCCATCTTATCAGATGATCTGATATCCGCTCGCAATTTCGAGCTTTTCGCCCACCTGAATCATGCCTGAGGATGTCTTTATTTGCCAAGCTTCAACGGCTCAAAGCCCGATGCCGAAACCCACCGACTCGGCCGGGACCGCCTCCGGACACCGGACGAGTCTTCCGCTTCAATTTCCCGCCGAGAACCACCGGCCGGCCTCCTCACAGACGAACAAAAGGGTTGGGCACGAACAGGCCCGGCACACCCCTGAGCCTCGCGCCAATCTGGGCCTGTATTCCGTCAACGTTGTGGAGTTCGTTCGCCTGGCGTTCTTGCGGTGTGGTCTTCGCCCCTGTCCGAACCCATTCCGAACCCCGTCCGCCTCTCTTCCTCTCCAATCACGACCCCGACCCGGTCCCCGGGGCGTCAGCGCCCTCGAAGCGATCCGGTTCGTCGTCCTCGCGTCTCTGTGGAAACCTCAACAAACCAACCCATGAACGCCCAGCTCTGCCTTCTCGATCCGGCCATCAGACGAAGCACGCGCCCAATACTGAGTCTCTTTACCGCCAAAAGCCCAGCCCACCGCTGCAGGACAGCACACATGCGCTATTCCACATGCAGGTCATCTTCAACGAACGACTCCGACAGAGGAATTGTGCAGCACGCAGAGAATTCCGCAGGGCGCACGACAGAGAGTCAGAAAACGAGTGGCTGACCGGTCCCACGATGTCCACCGCTCATTGCGCACCCCAGGCGTTTGCGTCGTTGCCCGGGTCGCCGACGAGTGAACCAACCGACCGCCTATTAAAGACGTGCAGGTGCCCGCATCTCTTGTTGATTCTTCTCTTTTTGAAGACACCCTCTTCCGAGGATCAACCTCGAGAAACCCACCCAACGACATCCAACATGGCCCAGGCCTCGCCCTCGTGGCAGAGGCTGATGGGGCTCCTGTCGGTGCTGCTGGCCATGCTCCTCGGTCTCTCGGCCGAGAAGCAGGGTGCCGCCGCCGCCGGGTGCCCCGCTGAGATTGTCTCGGCACCGGACAACACCTGGTCCGTCGACTTTGACAACAGGACCGACGTCTCTGAGAGTGCGTTCTCCCCCCTGCATTTCAACATCTTGACACCATCGTGCTAACATCTTTCCAGCCCAGAGAGAGAGCTCGTACGTCGAGAGCCTGAGGGAGGAGTTTGAGAAGCTCGAGGCGACCGGCCTTGCCGGCACGGGCGCCGAATCCAGCTTCGAAGACTTCACCGTCAAGATCCCGGCCTCCTGCCTCAACGGCCCCGCCGCCAAGAACAAGCACGCTCCGCTCGAGCTCCCCGTCAGTCTCGCCAGTCTGCACCTGCGGACCGTCCAGACGTGGGCCAGCTACATGTAACCACGGCGGCGGTTTGCGCAACCCACCAAACCGCCGACACGCGAAGATCAAGATATCATTGCCGTGTTGGAATTTCCACAAAGAAGAGAAACATCCGACACACCCTACTACTTATCACGTCGGGGTGTGCTGAGCGTAACAAGCAAGTTTACGCTGAGCAAGTCCCCGAGCCCGGCCGCAATCGACGCGGTCTCACTCACTTCAACGACATTTACGACATGAAACAATCAACGAAACGAAATGAACAAAAAAAATGATGAAAACGGAAACGAAAGTCCTCTCGTCTCACGGAGACTGAGAAGTACGATGAAACGACTCTTCTATGTCTACGATACCTACTTCTTTCCTCTTCAATGAGGTTACGGCCACTTGGCCCTTGAATACAAATCTCATATGTCCCTCTAAAAAAATGCTGTGCGCCCTTGAAATTGTGATGCCTTGTCTTTCGTAAACAGTCTTTGGATTGATCCACCAATTGGTCAGCAGAATGCCGTACTCACGGTTCATGATTATCGCCACCATGTCGTTGTCTGATGGTTAGCTGACGCAGCCGCATTCTTGTGAATAGTGGTGGCCACACGGCTTACTACTCATATCTATCTTGCATTAAGACTATGCAATGTTTGCCGCCCATTAGTATTCCTATGCCAAACGACGTAGCAAAGCTCCTACGAACCCAGACTAAGACCTCCGTGGTTTCCGGCTGAAATCTAGAAGGTCTCCTGGGCAAGGTTGACCCCCGGTCATGGGGATCATATAAGTGTAGAAGTCAACCATTGGAACCATTCCTCGTGGTTGACTTGCCTTTCCGTGTCTATTTCGGCAACATGGGAAACTTAAACTTTCTGACTTAATCAAGAGTTCCCCACATCGCGAAGACTATCGTTTTACGGGCGTCATCAGCAGTCCGTTACTTCGAGTCAGTGAACAGCGCTGGAAGTCCATAATAATCTCAGACAGAATTGTATGACCAGAAGAATAAGAAGCGCCTGCGTAACTGTTTCAGCTTTCTTTAGGTTTCCTACACTCTCACCCAAGAACTTTGACCGTTATCTTCATTGGTTATTTCAACATCTAGACTTTGCAATCAATTTGCTCATTCACTACAGAAATGTATCTAGCAAACGTGGCTGCTTTTGTGGTACTCTTGGCGGCACCACTCGTGTCTGCTGATAATTGTCAAGATCGGATCTACCCCTGCGTAAGTGAAATGGTAAATCTTGCTCACCCAACGACTAACGAGTGCCATCCAGTCCCCTCTATCTGCCTGCAACAACCTCTTGAGTGGAAAGCAAATCTGTGCTACAACTGAGAGAGTCGACGGTGGCTGTCTTCAAACCATCACAGGTGTCAATCAAGGCGCCGTCCGTGTACGTTTAGCTGTGCGCTTCTAATTCTGGCCGTCCGCTAACTTCCCGTGAAAGTGTCACTGCTGCCCCAAGTAAAGCAGTCTTGCAAACGCCTTTCTACTTTGTTAACACTGAGTGGGAACAGTTGAGCTTTGGGGTCTTATGGCTGCGTAGCAGATGAAGGCCAATTCTACCAAGAAGTGTATAGAAATGTTATGGCATGCGGACGAGACAAGATATACCCATAGTACATTGCATATCAGAGACGTGGCTTAAAACTCTACAACTGAGCTTTACTTCAAAATAACCTCTTTCCAAACCGGTCCCGGCGCAAAACTTGTGCCAATGGCCCATTCTCGAATGCGCCCGATCCCGCGCCTTTCCGCGTAATCACCGTCCCGCTTAACTAGTATGACATTGTAATCGTACTGAGACTGACGGGTTTGAGGATGAGGAGTTGACACGGCTTCTGAAATAAGCAGTATCTCGTATGGCCCTTCATGCTCAAAGCTAGGCATCTCCTCGATGCTGTCCACCGTCAGTTCCCCACAAATCTGACCATCTGCACCTCGAAGATCACCCTCAGACCAGGAAATACTTCTTGAGAATTCCAGAAAGATGGCCAACGTCCAAAATTGCAGAACAGAGTATCCGGGTGTTACGGTTGGCGATAAGAACGGTGTAGTGCGAAAGGCGTCTGAGCCACTAGGGAGCCGGCTTTTGAAGCGCTCCCGATAGCGAGGTCCGCTTGGCGAGTTGCGCACAGGATCAGTGAGAAGTCTCAACTCCCCGTCTACTCCTCTTTCATACCACAATATCCAGCACTTCTGTTTCAGCCAGTGATGAAGTTGGTCGAAGACATGTCCTTGGCTCGGATGAACGCGACTAGCTCCCACCCAGCCCGACCACGACCAGCTGGGAAACCCTTGCCGGCGCCTTCTCGCAGTCATCGAGGTAAAACCAGCCCCGAAAAGTAGAAAGAAATCGATGGCCTGGACTGGAGTACCTTCGATGAACCGGATGTTCCCCTTCTCTGTTGCGCGGCGCATGATCCCCTCGACGGCTCGCAGGACATCTCTCTGATCCGTGAGAGCGCGGCCAGAGTAGCGACTGACGATATCTTCCCAGTCGCGCACTGGGTCCTTGAGCCGGAACGCTTGGGGTGGGGACCATGGCTCCTCCCACTCGTGTCTCTTCCTGGCGACTGGCTGGTCTAAGCATGCCTCGCTGAACCCGTCGCTCCCACAGCGAAAGAAGACTTTGTTGTCGACGAAGCAGAGCGCTCTTTGACATAGAGCTTGTTCTTGGAACCTATCTCTGTTCATCAGCCTATGATACGAAACCAGAATAGGTGTGCCTTACGTCCATCCTCTAGTCTGGTAGACCGTTGCCGCAAGCGCCCAGTCGAGGGGCGTGTACAGCCCGAGGCGCGTCTTGTCTGTAATTCGCATGGCGTGTTGCGGGGCCCGCGTTCCCGTCACCGCTGGCAAACCATAATTCGCATGATTACCGCAGGCCGCAATGACCGTAAGCCACGACCGTTCAAAGACGTTGTCCATTACAGCTGTGCCCCTTCTTAGGTCTTCTGGGTCGTCCTGTACGAGACAAAGAAGGTCGACCCAAACATAGCGCAGCCCGAGGAGCTTCACTAGCTTCATGGTATTCAGTATCGTAAGCGACAGTCTGTCGCGTATTTGGGAGACCGAGCCAGGTTGCCGCAGTCGTCCCAGAGTTGACTTGGTGAGTCTGAAGCTGGAGACTCCGCCCCAAACATAGCTGAGCGCAACATACTTGTATGGGCGGATATCTGACACCTCAATCAAGCTGTCATTCTCGAGATCAATAAGGCGGAGCACCTGAAGTCTAGGGAACGTTGACTTGAAGCCTTGATAGTTGTGGGCTCTGCATCTGGTGATGGGATGCGTTGTAGTACACGTCTCGATCCATTGCAGGATCCTCGAAATCTCAACCTTGGACTTGATCGTCGGCAACAGAAAGTGAGCGTCACTCGCAACTTGTGTAGTTTCGGGCGACTCGGACACGAAACAGACGAATTGTCCCGTGGCGGTGTTCGTTGAGTCATTGATGCTGTATGCGCCGCGATGCCCAGGCTCCGCGTCATCTTTCCAGACGAGGGCAAACGTCTCGTCGTCTCCTTGCGGAAAGGAGCCGGGCGAGAGCCGGTGAGCCTCGAAGATGGCATGTGCCACGAGTTGGCAGAGAGGACAGGGGCTTGTGCTGATATGGGACCATGAGCCGAGCAGGAAGAAGGGGATGGCGCCCTCGGAGGAGATGACTGAGCGAAGATCATCGTAAGTGAGGGGTACCTTGCCGCAGTGCAGACAAAGCGGAGGCGGGGCAGCAGAAGACATGTCAAGTTGACACAGCACTGTTGAATGGAAGAAAATACCCCAGAACAATCACAATTTTCCAAGTCTGATTCAGGCAGATTCTGGACGCACAAGTGCCATGCGCATTCCTCATGCAAACGGGCGCTTGAGTTGGTTTCTTGCTTCAGGGGTGCCAAATCCAACCTAGAGCGGTTCAGCTGCGGCGACCGCCCCGCCAGACCGCTTCAGGCGGTGTCCAACGCTAGAACACCGCTACAAAGACCCAGCTCGCCCCCAGCTACAACATTCTCCTCTTCACAAACAACAAAGCATCGTCATCCGTCTTCTGCTGACGCGAACGATCGAACTCTTAATAGAGAAGGCGACTCATCTTATTCGTGTTTTTACGACTTTGGAGCGCTAAAACACACGACGAGAAGAACCAGCAGCAGCTCCCCAAGCGAGCGCGGAACATTGAAACCTAACGCAGGTGCGCTAGCAAACTTGGGTAGTGAATTCTGCCCGAGCCCCCAACAAGAGTTCCTCTTGAGTACTTTCGCCCTGATGGTCTAGCGGTATGATTCTCCCTTAGGGTTGTCTCCGACATCTCAGTCTGGGAGAGGTCCCAGGTTCGATCCCTGGTTAGGGCCTATTTCTTTTGCTTTTTTAATGATCTCGATGATGAATTTCCTTCTCAAGGCCCTAACCCGTGTTCTGGTTTAATTGTTTTGGATTTTGGTGCTGTCATGTTGCTGCAAGCTACCGCCTCTACCTAACTTTCTACTGTGATCTTTCCTTCACAAGCCAGCGTAAAACATAGACTTAGGTTTTATCCGCACATATTTGGGCAATAGCATGCAACCTGTCTTCAAGAAGAGGTATTCAACATCTAAGCAGCGCACTTTATACATATATAACACTATTAATAAAGAATGGGACATGGATAATAGCTTCACAAGAGTATCCAATAGGAGCGGCACCTTCACAACATCACTCAGCAACTGTGCAACATGGTTCGAATGATGAGCTAAGATTGAAAGATTTCTAAAAAGTCAAAACTCGACCCAAGAAAAAAGAAAAGCAAATGCAAAGAAGAACAGTGCCGTCAACTAGCTAGTACATGAATCGGAACGGTGGGCTCAGCAAAACAACAAACTCATATGCGGTTCTATGATTCCCGCGCAAAAGCGGCCAATGCCATGCGAGACTTTTAGTTGCCGCCCTTGTTACCGCCGTTGTTACCGCCTCCCTGGCCACCTCCCTGGCCGCCACCGCCACCGCCACCGCCGTTGTTGTTGTTGTTGTTCCCAGGGAAGCCTGGGATGTTGCCGAACTGGCCGTTGTTGCCGACGCCGTTCGGGCAGATCTGGCCGGCGGACTGTGCGGCCGCGAGCAGGTCGTTTTGGCTCTTGCAGTTGTTGCTGACGCAGGTGACGAGGGAGTTCACGTCGGCCTTCTGGCAGTAGCAGTCCTTGATGTTGTCTCGTGTGCAGCCGGCCTTTTGGAGGCCGTCGTTGAGGCAGCCGTTGGCGCAGTCGGGGAGCTTGATGTCGTCGGCGACAGCGAGGCCGGCGGCGACGGCGAGGATGGCAAGGATGGAAGTCTTCATTTTGAAATTGGGAGTTGTTTTTAATGGAGTAGAGATGTTGTAGATGGTTTGTGTGGTGAGAGATTTGCGATGAAAGCTTCTTGAGTGATGTCTGAGTGTGGTGATGATGAGCTAGAAGAAAGTTGGTAAGTCGGGTGTAACGGCAGGATTATATATCTGACCTGACAACCGAGCCAAGAGAGGCCTTACGAAGGGCGTCTTCACAGCTTATTCCCCCTGACGTCAAAGTCAACATAGCCATGATCTTTTCTCAGCAACAAACGCAGTGCAGCGCCTCACCGATTGGGCATCTCATCAGCGGTCCGCGTAATACCGTCGACTAGGTTTGACAGAAATGCCAATGCACGAGGCGCGTGGGCGGCAAACCTTGACATCTCGGACGCTTACACGGCCAAACCGAGAATAGTTCCATGACGAGCAAAAGATTTCTCTCGCGAACTCTGTTGACTTTCCATACTTTCTTCCACGGCCAATCACCCACCCCAGGCTGCGTGTCCGACCTCCGGAGCACCACCGTCGCACCCAATCGCGCGCCACCCCGTCCCGTCAAGCCGTTCGTGTCACACCGCGTCCCCGAGGTGGGAGTGGCTGTTTGCACGTCATGAGATGAGTAGTTCCTCCCGTCGCTCGGACGGTGGAAGTCTGTCAGCTTTGAGCCGCAGCGGCGGGCTGTGCGGTTTACGCTGTGTTTGGCCACATGGGGAATTGGGGGCTGTTCAGATCATAGCGAGCTGACCGAGCACTTGCGTCTTTCCAACGGCGATGCATCGCCGTTTGGATCATCACCTTGATTTTTGTTCCTTTCATCTTCGATCGCGCGCGGCATTTGGAATGTTTTGTTTATTGAGAATGGCTGCCTTCTCCGCCGGCGACATCAGATGTTTGTTAGGTGTCGTGGGGGCGTGAGGACGCTCGGGACTAGTCTGCGCCTGTTCACGGACGACCAGATGACACAATCTTCGGCGTCACTCTACGTCGGCTGCCGACTTTCTGTCTTCCTTGACGTCCCAAATCGGTCTTTTTTCTGTTCTCTCGCCGACCTTAATCATTGAACTCCCCCAATCTTGTCGGGCTCGGTCGATAAGAACTACGTACGGCATGAATATAGGTCTAGGTGTTTGTCGGCCACAGACAATATCACGATATGTAGACCGAGAGCCCACGAGGCTTAAGAATTTCGTCGAGAAAAGTGATTTCTAGAAACATGCCAAGACGGCGGCGGATGTGAGCCTCCGGAGCCGATCTTCGTACTCGCCTACACGCGGCCCGACGTGTTCCTCTGATTCCTCTCAACATCAGCCAAACTTTGGGAAGAAGAATTTTTCAACAATTCACGTCGAGCAGAAGAGATACCAAAAATTTAATTGTCTGCTACTCGTTGCAGAATGTATTTCGTGGCTGGATCGACACGACGCGATGGAAGTCATTGAGGTTTGACGCGTTGGAAACCCTTACATCACACCAAACGTCGGTCCTAGGCTTGATTAAATGATCTCATCGCCAGCAGCAGTATAGTAGCATGCAAGGGGCTTGTTTGTTGCAGTACTTGTCGTAAAGTATTAGTGTTCTCAAAAGATGAACAGAGGTGAACAGCCTTAGATATACAAGGAATGGTTTGATAGATACTCTGCCTATATGGTAATGAGTGGCTACAATCCTGCCTTACGCCTTGCAGCAGATGGCAAGCTAACGCCCAGCATTTCTATTCCGATCTTGATGAACACTCTTCGGCGGATGGCTTTACGCTGATGTCTAAGTTCTCATGAGTTTATCATAGTAACTAAGAGCCCACTTCAAAACCTCTTGAATAATGAATGCTGCATTACAATTATCTCAACAGCAGTCGCCGTTCTTCATTCTGAAATTGCGCAGGCCATCTGCAGGCACTCATGCAATGTGAGAGTGCAAAGGCTCCGCATCCTTGAGCAGACAAGTTTGTCATTGTGTTGGAGACTTTGTGGTCTGGAGGTAGCCCACACCCTAGATAGGCGATGTTACCCTGTGTTGGTTTGCTTCGGAAGAGATATCACATCCAGCCAATGGACACACGCAAAATTGGTGAAATATGCGGGAATGCCCGTACGGATGCGTTCCCCTAGTTGCGCCGCCGACCTACATTCCCTAATAGTTTAAACGCTTGCCGGTCACCCTGTCCTGACCCTTGAATTGGACCCCACCGCGTTGCATTGTTCCTCGGTTGACGATGGCATCCTTCGTATCTAGGAATCCCCCAAAGTCGGTATCGGACATTGCACATTCCTTCCTCGCGAGACGAAGAGCATGGGAGTAAAGGCCAAAACACACTCATGCATGGCGTCGTCACTCACCATCATTAGGGGCTTCAGAGAACCCGCCAACATGTCTAGCGTGATGTATCTGCTCCCACTGCCGATGGGTCATCTTCCATGCAACCCCTCTGCAAGTCCCGCCGTACATGCGTCAATCATTGCCTCTTGCCGTCTCCATCTCCGGACAAGATGCCGGGCACCCGGCGGGGAGGTTCACCGCGCAGGAGGCCAATAGCGGCCTGCTTATTAGAGTCACCCTTGCCAGGTACCTTGGCGGGAGGAAGAATAAAGGAAACGAGCTCCCTCGTAGGGGAGCTTTGTCACATTGCACCGCATCGCTGCCGTCACCGTCGTGTTTGACGGCACCCGAGAAACATGGCAATACTCAACCTGTCCGTGGGCGGGAGCCCCGCGGAGATTGGGCTTCGCGCCCTTCTGCTGCTCGTAATTTTCAGTGTCGGCTACACTCTGGTGCAACTCGTTCAAGTACGGCTCCTGTTCTGGAGACTGAGGAGACAGGGCGTCGTAAGTTTGACACCCCCAAACCATCCACTAGGACAGTGCTGATGACCTTCCAGCCAATGATGCCCTACTCCCTGCTCTTCGGGCACATACCCGTCATCACCAAAATCACATCCGGCCTGCCTAAGGATATTCACACAAACTACTTCTCCCAGCTCATCTACCAGAACTGGCCGACACTCTTCCCCAGTCGCAAAACCTGCCCGCCCATCATCTACGTCGACCTCTGGCCCATGGCCCCGCCCATGTGCTTCACCATCGAGCCGGAGGTCGCTTGGCAGACCGGCAGCGCAGATCTCCCGCGGGCGCACAAGGAGTTCGTCAAGCCGCTGACGGAGAACCTGGATATTGCGAGCCTGGAAGGCGCCGAGTGGAAGGTCTGGCGCGCGCGGTTCAACCCGGCCTTCAGCCCGAAGAACATTGTCTCGCTCGTCCCGGGCATCATCAAGGACGTCGAGACGTTTGCGGGCATCTTTCGGAAAAATGCTGGCAAGGACGGGAAATGGGGCGGGGTGTTTACGCTCGAGGACCTGGCGACGAATTTGACGATGGACGTGATCGGGCGCGCGGCGCTGGGGATCGAGCTCCACGAGCAGACTGATGGCCCGAGCAAGTTGAAGGTCGCGCTGATGGACCAGATTGCGCAGTGCCGGCTGCGGTTCAGCATTATCGACAAGATCTGGAGCGTTGACCCCGTCCGTCAGTGGAGAATTGCCAGGAACAAGGTTGCGCTGCGTGACGAGCTTTACCAACCCATCATGAGATGTCTCGAGCGCAAGGGCGACGGAGAATCAAAGACGCTAGTGGACCAGGCGATGAAGCCTCTCAAGGGCTTGATTGCCGAGAAGGCGCTCCCACCTGATGAGGGCTTCATCGAAAGTGTCATGGCACAGCTTAAGATCTTCATGTTTGCAGGCCATGATACGACGGCGACAGTGATCTGTTGGACGATACACGTCTTGGCCAAGCACCCAGCGATCCTCGACAAGGTGCGAGCTGAGCATGACGAGGTCTTTGGCAAGGATCCTTCAAAGTTGAAGGAAAGACTAATGGAATCGCCGCATCTCCTGAACTCGCTGCCGTATACGGCTGGCGTGATCAAGGAGACGATGAGGCTGTATCCCGTCATTCCGCCCCTTAGAAAAGGCAGCCCTGATTACCAAATCAAGGACAAGGAAACCGGCATGGCGCTGCCGACTGAGCACTTTGACCTCTGGGACGGCATTCGCGCGACGTCTCGCGAGGAAAAGGTGTGGCCTCGCGCCGAGGAGGTCGTCCCGGAGCGCTGGTTGACGACGAAGCCGGAGGATCCGCTATACCCCACAAAAGGCGCCTGGCGGGGGTTTGGAAACGGTCCTCGTGTCTGCATTGGGCTGGAGCTCGCCAATACAGAGGTCAGAATGGCTGTCGCGTTCTTGGCGAGGGAGTTCGACATTGACTGTGCTTGGGACGAGTGGGATGCCGCGAGGTAAGCTTTCAAGCGTGTCCAAGGCGCTGGTAAGAGTAATGGCTGACAGACTGTGCGTGCAGAGACTACACTGGCCCCAAGGAAGTGATGGAAGGTCATCGGTGCTATCAGAACGGCACTGGTACGGCAAAGGCCAAGGAAGGCATGCCGATCCATGTGCGACTGCGAAACACGGGGAGGTGAAAGGTGGTTGAGAAAGAGTTTGGGTGGACGTAGGTGGACGTCAACATGAACCTCGGGACGGGGCCGAGGGCAGGAGACCGGAGCCGCGGGCCCCCGATGTCTGCCACTTCTGCTGAAAGAGGCAAGGACTTGCAATCGTCCGTATCTCATCGACGCATTGGAGCAGCAGAACTGAATAAGTAGCCAATGCCCAAGAAGTATTGGAGAGGCTTCGATCCCCAGAGGCAGTCGGCCGCGGCAACATGCCCGTTTTCTGTTGATTGACACCGGCGGAGTGGATACAAGCTTCCAGCTGGTGGTTGTATGCGCCGACTTTGACGTTGGCGGACGGGGAATACCGGACGATCTATAGTTACTCAATCGGGACCTCCGCGAAATTGACTCCCTAATCTGATGAATAGCGTAAGCCCGAGGTCCTCCGCGTGATGGACCGGAAATTCTGCCCGAACATGAGAGGTAGACTCAGTCTAGAACCGCAGCAGCAGCTGGACCGGCGGCCGGTGACAACGTAGGACCCGTGTGGCTACCCGGAGACTTGGTACGGAGGTCCGAACTCCTGACCGGGTTTTGAGTTTCTCGTAGACCACAACCATGAACGTCGCGCGCGCGTCGCGTCTCGCGCGGGATGATTGGGGTTCCCTTGGCTGTCGAGACGGTCGTTCGCGATAGTTGACAAGTCTGTACCAGCAGAGGGGTGTTTCGGAGATAAGCTCATGTCCAGACAGCGGGAAGCTTCCACGACAGATGTCATGGGCCCGCATCTGCTCGTATATCGCGGGCTGTCATTTGCGTGAGGGGCATTAGAATTCGCGATGGATGTGATGGGACGAAAGCGAAGGTGTCGTGAAGGTGTCGTGAAGGTGTAGTGGGTTGAGAATCTTGAGATGGCATTGAAGGGAAGCAGAAACCCAGCAGAGGGAAACGAAGTCTTACATAATACGCGCTAGTCCTCGCTTAATCTCCACTAAGATACGCTAGGCGGAGTAACCTCTCTCTCCGAAACATCCGATTGGCCCGCTCGCGAATGCCCCGCCCTGGAGCGGGGTTCCTGCTGGTCGTTCCTGGGGGAGGAAGGGGCATTCGGGGCTTATCGTCAGCGACCGGCGACTGCTCCTGCTGCTTTTCTTGTTAGCGGCCACTTGCGATTGGGGACCTCGACTCTGCGCCTCCTCACCTCCTGAAACATTCTGCCCGCCTACACTAACCTCACTTCATCTACACTTACGCACCTACGATTGTTATCGACATTGGATCGAGTTGAAGTCCGTCCGCCCATCATGTCGTTGGCGCACTACTTATGAGGCCCATTCCCTGGAGCCTGCAAAGCTTGCTGCCAAATATCTGTCTCTCGATAGGTCGCCTCGGATCTTGACCAAACCACCGGCGTCGGCGTCTACGTCTCTCAGGGCGTTGCGTACCTCGGCCTCCCTCACCTACCTTACCTGTTTACATACAACAACCTTTCACACACAGGAGATTGTCACTCGCACAGGGTGTCACAGCACTCGCACCTACCTGTTGTCATCCAAGGGTACTTGCTCTCCTCCTCTCAATGGCGAGGCATGGGTTATCAAAGGTGAAGACAGGATGTATCACCTGCAAGTAAGGGGGTCCTTTGACTGTTCATCCCCACAGGCCTGGCCAATGTGCTAATAAAACCTCAGGATCCGCAGAGTCAAGTGCGACGAGGCCCGCCCGGCGTGTAACCGCTGCGTCAGCACCGGCAGGAAGTGTGATGGCTACGTCGCCCCTCCCAATGGCACATACTCGTGGGCTCAGCTGCTCCGTGTCTGCCCACCGCCGACCCAGAACGCCTCCGAGTCAGAGCTCCGCGCCTTGAGCTTCTTTCGCGGCGTCGTAGCCCCAGTCCTCGCCGGGCCGTTGGACAACTACTTCTGGACCCATCTCGCCACCCAGCTGTCTCACCAGGAGCAGGCCGCAAAGTACGCCGTCCTGACCATCAGCTCGCTGTATGAGAAGTTCAAGGAGAACCCCATGGACCGGCTCGCCGGGGAGAAGAACCTCTTTGCCGTGTCAAACTACAACGAGGCCATCAGGCACCTGAGAACGACGGACAACCCGGAAACGGTGCTGTTTGTGTGTCTGCTTTTTGTCTGCGTCGACATGCTGCGCGGAGAATGCAAAGGCGCCATCGAACACTGCCGGCACGGGATCAACATCCTGAATGCGTCCTGCTCCAAGTCCAAGTTCATCCGTGACCACCTAGAACCCGCCTTCTGCCGTCTCGGTGTGTTTCCTTTCTTCTTCGGCGTCCGGCCCGAGACGTTCCCGGCGATGGAGATCGGGAAGCCTGTCCCGCACGCGCCGTACAAGACGCTCGCCGAGGCCCAGGCCGCCCTGGACCCTCTACTTGTTCGTACCATCCGCTTCGTAAGGACCGCCGACGAGTACCGACTGGGAGATGAAATGAGTCCCAAGCCCGGGCCGTTGGTCATGCAGGACCGTAAGGAGCTTGACGAGGCGCTGGACAGCTGGGACGCCGCGTTCCGTCTCTATCGGGGCGAGAAGGCCGCCTTGAACGCAGATTGCATGTCTGAACGGGATCTTCTCATCATACAGCTGCTCGAAATGAAATGGATCGTCGGCAAGATCTGGATTGACACGTGTCTATCGCGGGGCGAGACGATATTCGACCTGCATCTCGATAAGTTCCAGAGGATCATCGACATTGCGCACGAGACGGACATCCTGCTCCGCTCGTCGCACGAGAAGCACCCGCGCGCCAAGTTCACCTTCGAGATGGGCTTCGCGCCGCTGCTGGGTTTCGTAGTCGTCAAGTGCAGGTCACTGCGCCTGCGAGTCGCCGCGCTGAAGCTGGTGAGGACGATATCACATGAGCGGGAGAGTTTATGGGACAACAGCACCCTGTTATCGCTCGGTCGAGTGCTCTTGAAGGTCGAGAACGATGTGCATTTGCGCTGCGACGATGACCTGGAGGACATTGTCGACGACGGCACGCTCCCACCGGAAGGCATGCGGATCAAGGACTCGGCGATGCAGAAGGAGGCGCGCATCGTGCCCGGGAGCGACGGCAGCGTGACGGTCTGGGAGAAGGTCGCCCTCTTGATGAGGGAGCTCGACGGGCCCATCACGATACGCGAGGAGTGGTTTGAGGTTCCAATGAGGCGCAAGCCCTGAAATAACTATTTACAGTCGCACCCTTGTTTTTGGCGTCTTCCGCGACATGTCCATGTCTGTGCCTCAACCCGCACGAGTGCTTACGCCACCCCTGCGAATCCTTCCCGCGGGCGGTATCAATTATCAACATCTAGTGCCGTGAGATGCGATTGGTCGGCTCGCTATTTTATGTAAAGAACGCGATTGAAGTGGCTGTGCATCGCCAGGCATTCTTGACAATATCTTCGACTTCGATCTGAACAGGTTTCTTTAAATATGAGCGGGAGCCGCGAAGATGTTGATGATGGGACAGACAACCATCACTTTGAGGATTTCCTGCCATCTCATCTTTGACTCCAATCACCATGTCCCTCACCTGGATCATCCTGGCCCTGGCCGCTTCAGCCGCAGCTCTGCCATCCGGTCCCTCGCCCACGCCGACGAACACCCAACTACTTCAACGATCAGTAATCACCTCTTCGACTGTTTCTGCGGTGCCCACAGGCGACTTCATCACCACCAAATTCATCACCATCCCCGGCGTTACAGACAGCCACGTCACAGTGCCCGCCAAGACCATCGCCCTCGCCCTCCCGACCTGCGTCCAGACCATCGAGCCGGACGCCAATGGTTACGTGCCCCCGGGGAGTTGCGGCGCTCTCTGGAACTACTACCCGAGCTTCGCGGCGGCTATCGCATTTGCCGTGATATTCGGCGTCTTGACTGCCGTTCATATTTGGCAAGCGGCCAGATACAAGAAGGTGCGTCAGTCTGCCTTCTCTCGGATCCTTGTTTCTTTGGCTAACAACAGGACAGAGATGGTGCTGGGTCATTATCATGGCGAGCATTTGGGAAACCCTCTCCTTCGCCTTTCGCTCTCTAAGCACACGGTACCAGCAGAATAGCGGCATCTACCTCATCTTTCAAATCTTCATCTTGCTTGCGCCCTTGTGTAAATCATCTCCCTCCATACTATCGACCAGCACTAACAGACACCAGGGGTCAACGCCTTCGCATACATGACCCTCGGCCGGATGATTCACTTCTTCCACCCCTCGCGCTCCCTCCTACGCGTCCCCGCTACCTTCTTCGCCGCCCTCTTCGTCGCCCTCGACGTAGTCTCCTTCATCATCCAGCTCGTCGGCGGCAGCATGGCCGGCCCGACCGCCCCACCGGAGGAACAAATGCGCGCGATACATATCTACATGGGCGGCATTGGCCTCCAAGAGGTCTTCATCCTCGCTTTTGTGGGGTTGGCGCTCGTTTTCCAGCGGGATATGCGGCGGGCGGAGAAGCTTCACAACGGACGGGAAGAGTGGAGGCCGCTGGTGTGGGCGCTGTACTTTTCACTGGGCAGCATTACCGTCCGCATCATATACCGGCTCATCGAGTTTTCCTCCGGGAATGGGGTGGATAATCAGCTCATCACGCGCGAGGGGTATTTCTATGCGTTGGAGGCGGTGCCGATGGTGTTGGCTATTGCCGTGTTTAATGTCGTGCACCCCGGGGCGAGAATGAATGGGCCGGGGGCTGAGATGCCGGGTATATTCGCCACGATCAAGGAAGCCTTCAACAAGAGGACAGGGAGGTTTCCGTTGAAGGACTTCGGCGAGGAACAAGAGCTCGCGAGGAGATCTCCGAGTTCGTGAACGAGTTGAGGCCGGGGCGCGTCGGGTGGTGGGCCGAGACGCGGGGAGATGCCGGTTGCTGCACCCCGCATTCCAGGGTCCAGGCCGGCATCGGCACGGATGCGAGTGTGAAGTTTGATTTTCCAGGTATTGTTTTGATATTTATTTGACAGCTGTCAGGAAGTACTTCTATCCTTTGTTCTTCTGGCTATACATGTCGAAATAGAATTGTCAATCCCAGGTCTTTGCTTGAGATCCTCCGTTCAACAGAAGGCTGCCATCAACCCCGGATCCCTGCCACCTCCTTATCAACATCCCTCCGCCTCTAAATCGGACCCAAGTGCGGAGATAAAAAGATACTGGCCACCACTTTACACACCCACTTCACTCATCCTTCCAAACGACACACCATGCTCCGCGGAAGCTGAGCAGCGCCACGCACACCTCTCGTCACTATGTCTTTCTTTCCGACACATGTACTCAATCCACCCGCCCATGGACCCCGCCTCCGCAGCCGCCCTCCGCCGCCGGCGCCGGCGTAGAGTCCCCGACGCAGACCGCAAACGCGCCCCGCGCGCCTGCGACCGCTGCAAGGCCCGCAAGAACAAGTGCGTCGAGACGCCCTCCGGCACTTGTGTCCGTTGTCTGCAGGGTTCGCATCCATGCCGCTTCGAGCGGGAACGCAGTCCCGAGGACGTCGTCGTGCCCATGCCTGGCAATGGCACTCACACTCACACCAACACCGTCGCAGCGCATAATGAGACAACGACGGACCTCAAAGACGACGTCGACTTCTCCCCCACCGCCGGCGCGCCCCCCAGCGAAGCCTTCATGTGGCCGCGCTTCCTCACCCGCCTCCGCTCCGCCTTCTGCCTGGACACCCACCCCGCGCCCGCATCCCCCGACGACACCTCGCACCCCCAAGCCCGCCCGCCGCCGCCGCCCGCAGAGTCGCAGTCGCCCGCCGAGCTGCGCCGCGTGCCCAAGGCCGTCCGCGACTTCCCCCCGCGCGGCGTCGCCGAGTTCCTGCTCGAGGTGTGCATCACCTACGGGACGGACCTGTTCTTCTACTTCGACCAGGCGCAGCTGACCGCGGAGCTGGGCGCGTTCTACAGCGATGAAGGTTGTAGGTTGCGCAGCGACACGGGGTTCGTGTGTTTTGTGCTCGCGGTGTTTGCGCTGGGCAGCCACTGGACGAGTTTGGCGCGCCCGGCGGAGGAGGATGAGCGGGTGGTGGGGAAGGAGGAGGATCCTGGCCGGATATTCTACGACCAGGCGAGGATACTGATGGCGGATTTGATTGATCGGCCGTGTTTGCGGTCGGTGCAGGCGGCGTATGTGCTGGGCGTGTATCTGATGCCGGCGAGCGCGATTAGTGCGTCGTATGTGTACATGGGGTTGGCGTTGCGGAAGGCGCTGGCGATTGGGCTGCATCTGGAGCCGGATGAGCCTGGGTTGAGCGAGGACGACAAGGAGATGAGACGCAGGTTGTGGTGGTCTGTTTATTCGTTGGAGAGGACTGTAACCATTAAGTTGAACAGGCCGCGGTCGATCAGCCAGGATATCATCACGGCCCGCCTGCCTCGGCCGGTCCCACGCGACGCGGAGCAGAAGTTTGATAATGTGCAGCATCAAATTGTGTATGCCCAGCTGGTGCGCATTATTGACAAGCTATCCGAGCCAGCGTAAGTCCTCCTTCCTTCAGAAATTCACACCGACTAACATTGAGTCCAGCGCGTGGTCAACAAACTCGCCCACAAACCCCGTCTCAACCTACGAAGAAGCCCTCAAATCCTGGAAACGCTCCCTCCCACCGCCTCTCAAACTCCAAAACATCCACCCCAAATCCCCCGGCTACCGCGCCGTCTTCCACCTGCACCTGAACTACTACTTCGCCTGGATCGACATGGGCAAAGTCTCCGTGGTGACCGTCGTCCGCGCCCGCCTGCGCGCGCTCTTCTGCCCCGCGGACCCGCCGCCCGCCCCCAGCGCGGCCGTCGAGCAGGCCGCCGACGCCTGCATCCGCGCGGCGAAGAAGATGCTGGAGCTGTTCGAGGGGCTGAGCCGCAGCGGCAACATGGCGCGGTTCTCGTTCACGGACCTGCAGGGATGCAGCATCGCGACGATCGTGGTGCTGCTGGCGGGGATACTGCAGCGCGACGCGGGGTATGACGGCCGGGTGGCGTTCGGGCTGGATTGCTTGCGGAGGATGGCGGGCGGGGGGAACGCGACGGCGGGGATGGGGGTGAGGTTTGTGGAGGCTTTGAGGGGGATTACGGACGAGGCGAGGGGGAGGTTGTTGCGTGTGCAGCGGACGGAGAGGGTGCCGAGGGTGGAGGAGAGGATGACGGGATATGGGGATTGGGCGGAGTGGTTGGCGACTGCTGAGGTTGCGGAGAGTTCCTCGGAGGATGAGGAGGAGGATGAAGAGGGGTCTGGGGAGCAGCCGGCGCATGTTGATGATGGAGGGCCGTCGGTGCCGGAGGTCGAGTTGTCGGAGACGTGGGACGAGGCGGCGGCGTTGCAGCTTCAGGAGCTATCGGCCTCGGGCTTTGAGATGCCCCTCGCAGGTGTTCACAACCCAGATCTGATGGCGTTGCCAGCTGTGGATGAAGGCTGGCTGGCTTCGTTTCCGTGGAGTGACGACCAGATGTATCTGATGGGGTTGACGGGGATGGACGTTCTCGACTTCACGGGGGGTCTGGAGTAGCTACAACACAAACCAAGAATATCAAAGTCATTGTCTCACTTCATTTTTGCCGCATGTTAACTGCCAACTCCATCTTCTCCATACACATTACATCAAAGCGCCGGCTTGATCCTAATCGGCACCGCCGAGTCCTCCTTAATCCCGTCCCATCTGCTCTTATACACCCTGCCCTCCTTAATCACCGCCGCAACCGACGCCTCCGGATCATCAAAGATGCCCACGTCCTCCAGCGGGTTCGCGTTCGCAATGATAATATCCGCCTCAAAACCAGCCTTGACCTGCCCCAGCGACGCCTCCCTGCCAAACATCTTGGCCGGGTTGATCGTCGCGCTCTGCAGCACCGCCAGCGCCGGGATCGCCTTCCCCCTCAACGAGAACTCGAAACTCTGCGCCGCGCCCAACGGGCCCAGCAGATCCGTCCCGAAGCATATCGTCACGCCCGCCTCGTACGCCGTCTTCAGCGCCACCAGGCCCGCGGTCAGCACCTCCTCGTTCTTGACCCGCGACTCGGGCGGCAGGTAGCCCTTCCACTTCTCCGACGCCATCTGCGCGTACGTGATCAGCGTCGGGGTGAGGTACACGCCCTTCTCGGCCATCAGCTTCGCCGTCGGCACATCCACGAAGTTGCCGTGCTCGATGCCCCGCACCCCGTTGTCGATGCAGTGCCGGATCGCCTTGGTCGTGTACGCGTGCGCGGTGACGTACGTCCCCGCGTTCGCCGCGCACTCCACCATCGCGCGGATCTCCGCGCCCGTGAACTGGAGGTGGTCGATCTTGTCCGTCGGGGATGACACGCCGCCGGAGCCCATGATCTTGATAAAGTCCGCTCCGGTGCGGATCTCCTCGCGCACCGCGGTCATGCACTCCGGCACGCCGTTGCACAGTCGCCCCAAGCCGGTGGTCGACCCGCCGCAGCACTCGCTGTGATCATGCGGCCCGCGGCGAACGTCCCCATGCCCGCCGGCTTGGCTCAGCGCGTGGCCTGCGATGAACAGCCTCGGGCCGGGGAACACGCCGTCGTTGATGGCCTCTTTCAGCGCGAGCAGGGCGCCGCCGCAGTCGCGGATGCTGGTGAAGCCGCGGTGCAGCATCTGGGCGCAGACGTACGGCTGGCGGAGCAGCGAGACGTCGTTGGGGTTGCTGAAGGCGGCCGCGAGGGAGTCGAAGCCCGGGACGGCCATGACGTGGACGTGGGAGTCGATGAGGCCCGGGCAGAGGAACTTGCCGGCGCAGTCGACTTCGGCGAAGCCATCGGCGACGGCGGCGGAGACGGTGGAGGGGTCGGAGGGGAGGATGGCGTCGATGAGGCCGTCTTTGAGGCGGACGGCGGCGTTGGGGTGGAGGGAGCCGTCGGTTACGTCGACGATGGTGGCGTTGGTGAGGATGTAGCGCCGTGTTGGGGCTTTGAGCCAGGGCTTGAGGTCGGCTTCGGTGACCATTGCGAAGGTTTCGTGATTATTCTCTGGATGGTGTTGGTTCAGAAGAGTGAGTCTCGAAGAAGGCAGATGAGGGGGAGAAACCTGGATTCGGCTTTGAGGATGTGCAAACGCTCAGTCATCCGAACACACGCCCAATATTTCCAGAAAACACAAATATTTATCTGATTGGCTTCATCCAGACGGTTAACGTCATCCCCCAACAACACTTATTTTGGTGAGAGAGACAATGCAACAACAACGCATCGGAGATCAACACACAATCCTATCGTCGGAAACATGGTCGCATTCGAAAGCCAAGTTGCCGATACCCGGCGTCGGATATCTGCCAACACCATCGGCAACATGGCCCGCCCCACCCCGCGTATCACCCCTATCAACGCTAGCAGAGGTATCGCAGGAATCAGTCTTTGATTGATATGACTCTCTGATAATGCTTGCCTCTTGGGTGCGGGGAAAACAATGGGCACACTTACCCCGGGATTCGAGATATGCACCAGTGGAGCATTGTCAACCACGTTTTTTCCTTTCTTCCTCCCTCGTTTCTTCTTTTAAAGGGCGGGCGGATCTGCAAGTTTGCGAAGGGGTGTTGGCTGCGGTCTTTGGATCTTCCACTGAGAACCACCCCCCCTCACGCGACTCAAGATGAGTTCTTCCATTGAGACCAAGACGAACGATGGGCCGCGGCCGGAGGGCGCTGAGGAGAAGAATGGCCAGATTTTGGAGTTGAGCGAGTCTTACACTGAGGAAGAGGAGCGGGCGGTTCTGAGAAAGATTGACTGCACTATTCTGCCCATGGTTAGTTGGCCCTTGTATTGTGTCTTGTAACTGTGAACAGTTGAGCTAACTCAGATCAACAGATGTGTGTGGTCTTCTTCCTGCAGTACCTCGACAAGCAGAGTCTCAGTTATGCTAGTGTAAGTTGGCTACTCTTCCCCGCGATGAACTCCGTAACTGACCAACATAGGTCTTCGGCCTGATTACGGACTTGAACATGACCAGCACGCAGTATTCTTGGTGCTCATCTATCTTCTACGTCGGTAAGCCAAGTCCAAACATTGCCTTCACAGGAAAATGTTATCGCTGACACCTCAACGTGCAGGCCAACTGGTTTCTGAATATCCATTCATCTACCTCATGAGCAGGCTGCACCTGACAAAGTTCGTGGGAGTCACCGTGTAAGTCCACCCATAGTTTGCCACCATGGCCATCACTGACAGAACCCCGCTACCAGAGTCATCTGGGGCATCGTCTGCATGTGTCTCGCCGCACCGCACAACTACTCCGGCTTCGCCGCCGTCCGCTTCCTCCTCGGCTTCGCAGAGGGCGCCGTCTCACCCGCCTTCATCACCATCACCAGCATCTGGTACCGCAAGGACGAGCACGCCCTGCGAACCGCGTAGGTCCGACCAATATCCCGCCTCCAGCATACCCTAAAGTAACTAACCTGGGTCTACGCAGTCTCTGGATTACCATGAACGGCCTCGCCCAGATCTGCGGCTGCCTCTTGATGTACGGCATCGCCAAGAACACGGGCCTCTCCCTCGCGCCCTGGCGTACCCTCTTCCTCGTCTGCGGCGCCATCACCTCAGCCTCGGGCGTCGTCTTCTACCTCTTCATGCCCAACGGTCCGAAGGACGCGTGGTTCCTCACCCCGCGCCAGAAGCAGGTGCTCTCCATGCGCATGGCCAAGGACCGCGAGGGCGGCGATAAGACGTCGTTCTCGCTGAGACAGCTTAAGGAGGCGATGTTGGATATCAAGACATGGTTTGTGTTTTGGTTTGGCGTTCTTGTGACGATGCAGTCTCCTGTGCTGACGGTTAGCCTTCTCCCCGACTGTTATCTCATGTTCTTTGCTGACTTGACTGCAACCAGTTCGCGTCCCTGGTCATCAACACCATCGGCTACGACAAATACGAAACCATGCTCTACACCGCCCCCTCCGGCGCCGTCCAGATCGGCATGTTGTGGATCGGAGTCTGCGGCTGCATGATGTTCCCCAAGCACCGCACCCTCGTCGCCCTCGTGCTCATCCTGCCCCCGTTGGCAGGCAACATCCTCCTCCTGAAGCTCTCCACCGACGCCGGCTGGGGCATGATCGGAGCCTCCTGGCTTGTACGTCACCCTCTCCCCATCCCTTCTATCCCCTCAAAGCTAACGCGCACCGCTCTAGGCGTCCTGCATCACCGCCGTCTGGTCAATCCTCCTCTCCCTCACAGCGTCCAACGTCAAGGGTAACACGAAGCGCGCCATCGTCAACGCAATGTTCTTCATCGGCTACTGCGCGGGTTGCATCGGCGCACCACAACTGTGGACCGAGAAGCCGCGCTACTTCAAGGGCGTGGTCACGGCTATTGTGACATGGTGTTTGCTGTTCACTGTCATTGTGGCATACCGGTGGCTTTGTTCGAGGGACAATGCCGAGAGGGAGGCGGCGGCGAGCAGCGGCCAGGGTGCGGAGTATTCTGAAAATGTTGTGTTGGATGATGCGGGTGCGCCGGTGAATGATTTGACTGATAAGGAGGACAGGCAGTTTAGGTACAGCATCTGATTGGAGTCGAATCAGATTCCCGGATGAGGGCTGTCGATAACACATTTTGACTAGAATCATAATCAAGTCTGCTAGGAAGTCACAGTAATACAAAATACATTGAATACGTTCAACTCAGCTGAAGTTAATCCCCCCATCCACAATTTGCGTCTGCCCCGTCACATAATCACTATCCGGCCCCGCCAAAAAGCTCACAAACTTGGACACGTCCTCCGGCACGCTCGTCCTCTTCAGCGCAATCAAATCGTTCGTAAACTTCTTGATCGTGTCCCCCTTCTTCGCGCCCGTCTTCTCGCCCAGCTTCTCGTCAATCAGGTCCCACATCGCCGTGCCCACGATGCCCGGCGCGTACGCGTTCACCGTGATGTTGTGCTCCGCGTACTCCATCGCCGACGCCTGCGTCAGCCCGCGGACGGCCCACTTCGAGGCCGAGTAGTGCGAGAGCAGCGCGAACGGGCGGAAGCCGACGATGGACGAGCACCCGATGAGTTTGCCGGGGGAGGAGGGCGTGCAGTTGCCCTGGGCGATGAGCTGCTTGGCGGCGGTCTGGTAGCAGTTTTGCACGCCGAAGACGTTGACGCGGAACATGTTGAGGAAGTCTTCTTCGGTAAGGTCAAGGAGGGGTTTGACTTGGGCGATGCCGGCGTTGGCGATCCTGAAAAGCGGCAATTAGCATGTTTCTCCTGAAATGATGAAACCAAGAACTTACATTGTGTTCAGGGGACCTAGCTCTTTCACTGCCGTCTGGACCATGCCTTGCACCTCGCTTAGACTGCGGACGTCGGCGGATGCGACGACGGACTTGCGGCCCAGGCCCCGGATCTCGTTGGCTACTTCCTCGGAGCCGGCTTGGTTGGCGGCGATGTCATTGATGCAAACATCGTAGCCATCGCGGGCGATGCGGAGGGCAATGGCTTTACCGATGCCGCGCGAGGCACCTGTCACGATGGCGACGCGTCCGCTGCGGTTGTTAATGGCTGGAGGTCATTGAGGGGGGGAAGATGCGTACCCTAGACGAGCAGATGGTCTGAATGCTCCCACGAACGCGCTCATGGTGCTTGGTGTTTGGAGAAGAGAGTGAAGGTGTAAGGTACGCCTCGAAGCACTTCTGGCTATGCTGCTTGATATATGCGGCTCAAGGAGAGATTTCCAACGGCCAAGGTTACGGTGCCTCGACAGTTACACACACGATAAATGAGCTGATCTAACAGGACTTCAAACAGCACGAAACCCCGCCCAGTTGGTCCTTCTTGAGGTTATAAAGTCAGGCGTGCGGGGGTTCATGGTGCCCCTCGAGCTTCCTCGGATTGCCCATGCGGGGAAGTAGCCGGGCAGCCGGATGAGGATCCTTGGTCGGGATCACGTTGGTTCAACTGAGGCGGGGCATTCTGTTACTGCTCGTACGACACTCTTCAATTAATTTGGTCAGCGAAATCACCAGATGATACAAAATTTGCCTTGTTGGATGCTATGAAGTGGTCTCTGGTCGTCATTTCTTATCTCAGAGCCGCAATGCATCATCGCGTGCTTCGTGACTGGGATCAGCTCACTCGCGACCTGATACCCCGAATGTCCGAATAGCTCCAATTGCTGGAATAGGTTATCCGTGCAAGGGCTTCCGCGCATCAGTATTCGTCGTTACCGCCTCCCCATGACCGCTTCATTGCTACGGCGCGGTGGAACGGCGTAGCTCGCCCGCAGTCCGTAAGTAATCATCGATCTCTGAATCCTGTCATTGAGGAGCATCGCCTTGAGAGGTTGAATGGCGCGGTATTCGGCGCGGTAGATTCTAACCTTGCGGAAAAGGAATGGAATGCAGATCTCGCGGAGAGCCCTGCAAGTCTTGTCGGCCAAGACTCTCCGCGAGAACATCTACGCAGTCCACATATGAATGCCATTCCAGAAGTCCTCGTCAGTCACCTGTGACCTGAATCCACTCGCAAGTGGTGGTGGTGACAGCACGGCACACCTCGGCGCCGATTACCTCGGAAGAGTTAGCAAAGACACCCGCAAGCGTAATGAAGGCTGGAAACATACCGGTGAAGCCGTCATCGCCAATGATGGTGGTGAGAACTGGCGGAGCTAGATAAAGTCAGCCAAGGCCATGCAAGGCGATTGAAAGGAAACTCACGAATCTCGGTGTTGTCAGTCAGCTTGATGCGCTGCTGAGCAGCCTAATGAAGGCTTGGAATCTGTGTGAAGACCGGCGTCAGAAATGTGTAATACGAGGCCTGCAGTGTCGCAGACGGTTGGGCAGAATAAGACGTCGCTGGGATGGACGATTCGTCTTCCTTACCTTCTTTCCCATGGTGTTGTTTGAAGTGAAGAAAGGCCCCGCCGAACACTGTAGCCCATGGTCTTGCCGTTGGCAAGACCGTTGTGATTGATCTTCTCCATTGTCGCCACAGGGCCAAGTCTCGGCTCGCCGTCATCAACCTTGAGTCGGTCGAGAGAATTGACGAGGTCATTGCCGTTGGAAGGGATGTCTTGGACTGGTGTCATGTTGTTTGAAATGAAGGAAGCTTGTTTGAGCCGGAGTCCACCGGGCCCGCCCAGGGACTCCTACCTCAATAAGCCATTCACCGGGCCCCGCCAATGTAGCTGAGGTGCCTGTGAAGTGACTTCTTGCGCGAAGTGCCTGTCTGAGTTTAGAATGTGAACAAACGAAAAGAAGAAGACAAAGCCAAACCTCCGGGGTAGTAGTTCGCAGCGGCGACTCGACAGAACAACTGTTGGAACGAATCAGTTCCGCTATGCAAGACGCGCGTGCCGCCGCTGGCCAACGATGGCGCAGAGGGGGTGATCCTGACACCTACCTTGGCCTCCCAAGTGTCACAGTCGGTGTGACGAGGGGAAGAGCAACGGCATGGCTCATCAAGAACAGCATGAGCGTTCGTGCCGCCGCAGCGTGATGGTCAGGCCATCCATGATTCCTCTGACTTCTCGCATAGTATGTCAGTGATCAGTCCCGAGGACCGGAAAGCAGTACGACTCACTGTCTTTGTAATGACAATGATCATCCAACCGGGTGTGCATATCTTTGACGTTGAGGCGGAGTTGGATGCCAGCCTCGGAGGCTCCGCAGGAGTCCGCCGCGAACGTCTGCTGGGAGAAGTCGTTCAATTCCACATTGTCATGGGACTCTTCTCAGTCACACTGATTTGAATGCCTAGATTCAAGGGAATCCAAACCCCAGGAAGTTAGGGACGCTGTCTATGCTTTGACAACAAAGTCGAAGGCTTTGACGATGTCTCCAATCGCGGCTCTGACAGCTGCGCTTCGCGATGTCATGCAGGTTTGCTGATAGTGTTGAGCTAATGGCACGGGCCAGCAGCCTCAAGTCAACTTCAAGTCAGCCGACTTCGGTGCATCTTGTCGAGGTTGTCGACATTGGACTTGCAGAAGGTGTTTTCTGCTTGAGAAGAAGATTTGGACAGGATAGCGAGAGCATGTAGAGACGATGACAGAGCAAACAGAGCTCTTGGAGCGATGGAAGCTTCAGGCCCTCTGGTCCTCTTCGCCCATGGCATCCGAATGGGCTAGGTGATTCGAGCAATTTTAGACAAGAACGGCAGACAGTACTCCAGGGTTCGGAACAGTTGGAAATGTCTAATCTGTGTTGCATGGAAGTATTAGCGAAGCACTTATCAAGCGACTGTGGTAGCAACATGAGCCTTTCGGGCCAGGACTTGGCCATGTCACCAAACCGACAAAGGAAATAGCAAGTGCAAGGGATGAACAAACCAAACAAGAAGACAGCGGAGGGTCTTTCAACTGCCATGTCAAAGCAGTCTGGCCGAGAGTCAAGGTGCATGCGACTCTTTACTGGGATGCCCACGCGTGCTGAAGCTGATAGAACGGGGCCCGGTGCGAAGATTGGTATGATCCCACGAACCAGTCAAAGCCTTGTGCAATCCGGCCCTTCGGCAATAATCGCAGCACAGATTTTTCCGTGTCAGATCCTGGTTTCGGGGCGTCCTGAAAAATGTCAGAGTCATGATTGAAAAGTCGAGGGAACTGGGGGTTGACCGACCTGCAGCAGCCAGCGCTGCCACGAGACTCAAGATCATGGGAAGAAGGGCCGCCCATCCCCAAACCGGTGTGCCATCCCAGCAAGACATTTTCCCATCAGGAGACTGAAGCAATGAAGATTTGAGGCAGTAGGGAATTTGGGATTGCAGCTGTTAGATCTCAGGACCGGAGCTCGAAGTTGAGCTCAAGTTTTGAGAAGACCGGGCGTTGGGCAGCTTGCGGGGTCTTGAGAAGTGTTGCAGTTGAGGGAGAAAATCAACAATGAAGGAAGACAGCAGTGCAATGAAGATAATGAAGGCAAGCGAGTGCGAAGGAGCCGATGGGGAAGAGAGGGCAATGTACAGGTGGGTGATAGTGATAGTGATGGTGGTGGTGATGGTGGTGGTGATGGAGGAGGACGATGGGAGACCTCGGGCTGGGGTGGTGAGAAGGTGGAATACCTGACGGAGGGAAGAGACGGAAAAGTTTTCGAGACCGCTCCCACTCTCAACTCTTGGGAAGGAACGAACAACAGAGGAGAAATCTCTGCAGCGTGAGGCACGTGACTGGAGAGGTGAAGGGGGTGGCCAGACCAAAGCGGCCCAGATCCAAAAATCGAAAGAGCAAGACCACAAGCGAAGGCCACAAAGCCAATCATTTTATTGCCCATCTTCCCATTGAAAAACCACCTGTAGTCTCAAAGACCCCAAGACCCTGGAATGAAGAGGACTGATGCTAGGAGAGTCGCATCTGGAATTTGGCCTCTGGGGCGAGCTGATGAGCATGCCAGGCACCAAGTTGCACAACATAATTCTTTCCAGGCAGAGCCCTTGGCGTCCTCGTGTAGTATGGCAGTGTCTAAAGCACTTCAAGATGTTCTGACTCCTCGCCAATCCCACAGCATCCAAACTATAGCGTCCATTTAGACAGCACTGTTGCTTGCCGGACTGTGTCCCCAAAAGCCCATCACATTTCACACCTCTTCCCATAATGACTTTGATTCATGTTTGAAACTGTATATATTGATATTCCTGGAGTTGCCGACATTGACTGGTCTGGGACGGTCTCCAAGGACCGGCCTTGTACCAGCCCCTTTCGCACCTTCCAGCTGGGGGCCTTGGTCACCACATCACAGAATCACATCGCCTTTCACATGACAAGTGAATACCATACCCATTAGTCTTCTGCCTTCCAGCAAGGACTGACAACGGCAGGCGAGGTAAGCTGTTGCATCCTCAGTAAATACCCTACTTTAGGGAGCAAGGGGGAAGGCACAGTCTTGCTCCACAATCAAAGCCATCAGAACAAAACAATACATCACCAATAGAAGCAAGAAAGGCAGGAAATTTGAAGAGAAAAGGACGTCTTTTGTCTACTCATCAGAAGTCTATGCGCTTTTCAGCCAATGTAGAAAGCCCGGTCTGTGAAAGCCAGGCTCTGAGGGTATCTTCCTTCCTTCCCAAACTCCACGCTACGACATGCCCGAAATTCCGAAGAAAGCCAATCTCAAAGTAGTACATCCCCCAAATCCCAATTCCAATCTCAATCCTTACAAGAAAGAAGTGAATCCGCCCAAAAAGAACCAAGATGTGAAGTTGTAACATTTAGGCAGGGACGCGAGCGCCAATCTGGGTGCCGCACCACATGGCGCCGCCCTGGTTGCGGATGCCCTCGTCTGCGAAGAGGAAAAGTCAGCACATATTCGTGAATTCGGGCGCGAGGGTGGGAGAAGACATACTGAGAGCAATGGTGGTGCCAATGGTGCCCTTGGCGCCGACAGCGCAGGTGCAGGCCATCTTGACATCGTCAGTGGCGGAGAGGAGCTTGCAGTCGTAGCAAGAGTCATCGAAGTGGCCACTGTGGAAGAATCAAAGTCAGCGATGTTGCAAAAAGCGAGAAGGGAATGGAGTGCACTCACAGGTTGGCCCACTTGAGGTGGCCAAAGTCATTCATGAGGCAGCGGTTGAGCTGCAGCTCGGTCTTGAAGTTCTGGTCCATCCAGTCGGGGCAGATGGCGCGAACCGAGTAGACAGGCTTGCCGTTGACGATGCGGTTGGTGAGCATGATGTCGCGGCAGACCTTGGCGAAGCCACCGTCGAAGGCGCCGAGGACCTCGATGTTGCCGCCTTGGGGGTTAGAGACGTCCATGACCTCAACGTTACCGCCCTTGGGCTGAGCGACGTCAAGGAGCTCGATGTTACCACCCTGAGGCTTGGAGAGATCCATGACTTCGACATTGCCGCCCTTGGGCTTGGAAAGATCCATGACTTCGACATTGCCGCCCTGGGGCTTGGAGACGTCGAGGAGCTCAATGTTGCCGCCGGGGAAGGGGGCAGCAGAGGTGTTACCAGCCGCGAAGGCGAGGATGAGGGAGGCGATGGTGGAGGTGAACTTCATCTTGACGGCGACGAAGAGGTGATGGAGGAGTGAGAAAGGTAGAGGGGGAAGAGAGAGGTAGGAGATGGAAGGGAGAGGTGGTTGTGATGGTTTGCGAAACAAGTTTGTGATTTGTGGTTGTGTGGGGAAGAAGTTGGGAGGGAAGAGAAGAGAGAAAGGGTTTTTAAAAAGATCAGACTGAGGGTGGCCGTCTGGCTGATTGGGGGCGCCGAGATCAGATCGAGCAGAGGTGAAGTCGCGATTTCCTTTTTGGTCGTTGTCAGGGTTGTCAGTCACGTGTGCCGACCGCCTCGGGAGGTGGTGAATGCGAAGGTGAGGTGGTGGTGATGCCGATTCGGCCAATCAGGGGCAAGCTTCAAGGTTGGTCCTGAGTACGTACATCGAGGTCTGTCTTCTGTTTACTGGGGCAGCCACTGGAAAATCGGGATCATTCCACAGTTTTTGATCCCACAGCTGTCTCTTACCTCTTTGGGACAAGCGGACTTGGGGCTATGGCTTGTCTCCCGGCCTTGGGCAGGCTTCTTGGACGAAGAAGCGCGTAGGCGGTGGTTGGTGATGGGATCAGTCTCGTTGCTGCCGTTCCCGTTGGAAGCACGTACCGACCCGAGGTCGAGACAGGATACTTGTAGAAGTACTGATGCCGACTACCAGGACAGCTGCGGTCTTTGAGCCAATAAAGGTACTGTTGCAGAACATTGAAAGCTCAAGACGGCCGCTCAAACGCTGAACAACCCATGTCGGCCAATGTTGAAGTCAAACATGATACATGATAAGCTCCTGGCTGCTGGCGGCACTCAAAGGTGGCATCATTACTCCGAAACGGGTGCTTGTTGGGACTGAATCAACTGGGCCTGCGGCGTGACATCCTCGGGGAACGTCCATGATACCTTCTTTCCTTTAACCAACATCTGAAATCTCTGCCAAGCCGGCAAAGGTGCGACCTCCCTTGCCGCAGACAACCTTTCTATGACCCAACGTACGCGATCTCAGGGGTCTCCGACGCCTGGAACATCGTGAAGTAACTTGCCGCCAGACATTTTGACAGTCTCGCTTACCGAAGGTCTACCTAGACGAACCATTTACGGTCATCTTCTCCTCGATGTTGACACCGCAATTCATGACCAACCAACTTCTTCGCACTCCACGGGTCGCTTAATTTGCAGGATTTAAACTCTGCCCTCCTGGTCGCGCCTAATTGGAAGCGCCTAAGAAAAGATTGAGACTAATGCATCACCTGCATATCCGTCAACGTAGGATCCGGCCCGCCAAAGGGGAGCATGCCGAAGCTGGCTGCTGATGTTTGCTCCAGTCTTGATTGGTGGGCCACTTCGCGAACCCCTGGCCGCATATCTGTTGCTCAGTATCTGCAGCAATGCGGGGAGCGTAGTCATGAATATTTAAGAAGGGCGAGGGCGCCGTATCCTACCTACGCTGCGCCCAGCGAAAGCTTTCCCTTCTGATCGTCATTGTTCAAGATGGGCCTCCTTAGCACGGTTTCCAGCTGGGCGACCCTGCCAGTTCTTGGCGGAATGATCTGCCTCTACTTCATCATCGACCGACTGGTCGTATACCTCAAGTTCAGGCACATCCCGGGGCCATGGTGGACAGGTCTCAGTAGCTCTCCTCATAGCAAACATATTATGGGCCCGAGGGTTCATGAGTGGTATGCTGAGCTGAGCGAGAAATACGGTTCGCAACAGTCGATGACCTTCATCATGATATCTACTAACCGGCTTTAGGTCCGATCGTCCGCATCGCCCCAGGCATTCTCATCACATCCTCTCCCGACCTCTGGACACACGTCAACAAGAACCCAGCCTACAAGCGCACCGACTGGTACTACCACGCCTGCCGCGTAGAGTACCGCCGCGACAACGTCTTCACGCAGACAGACAACGCAAAGCACGATGCTCGCAGGAAGCAAATGGCCCCAGGCGTACACCCCTTCCCCTTACCTCGTCTCAGCTTCAACCACTGACAAAACACAGTACTCCGGCCGCGAGAACCTCGACCTCGAACCCACAATTGACGCCCGCCTAAACGACCTCCTCACCCTCATCCGCACCAAGTACATCTCCACCGAATCCCGCATCATCCCCATGGACCTCGCCAAGAAAGTCCAATACTTCACCCTCGACGTCATCTCAGACGTCGGCCTCGGCAAGACCTTCGGCATGCTCACCGCCGACGCCGACGTCGACGGCTACCTCCAGTCCGCCGAGCAGGGCCTCACCGCCGCCAGCTTCGCCCTCGCCTTCGGGCTCAGCTGGCTCGCGCAAGCCCCCGTGATCGGGCGCTTCCTCGCGCCCTCGCCGGCGGACGACAACGGCTTCGGACGCATGATCGCGGCGTGCTACCGCGACGTGGACGCGCGCGCGGCGCGAGAGACGGACAAGAAGTCGGACATGCTGGCTTCATTCATCCGGCACGGGCTGAGCGGGGACGAGCTGCGGAGCGAGGCGTTGGAGCAGATTATTGCCGGGTCGGATACGACGGCGGCGGCGATTCGCGGGACGTTGCTGTTGATTATGACGAATGCGCGGGTGTATGCGAAGTTGCAGCGGGAGATTGACGATGCGGTAAGGGATGGGATCGCGCCGGCGAAGGGGGAGGGGCTGGTTTCGTTGGAGCAGACGAGGCGGTTGCCGTATTTGCAAGCTGTGATAAGAGAGGCGCTGAGGGTGAAGACGCCGGTGGTGAATATCTTTGGGAGAGACGTGCCGGCTGGGGGCGATACGGTCGACGTGGGCGGGGAGAGCGTGTATCTCCCGGGCGGGGCTTGTATCGGGTACTCTGCGTATGCGATGCACCATAGCAAGGAGACATATGGAGAGGACGCGAAGACTTTTCGGCCGGAGAGGTGGTTCGAGGAGGATGAGGAGAAGCTGGCTGCTATGAAGAGCGTCAATGATCTGGTGTTTGGGTACGGGAAGTTCTTGTGTCTGGGCAAGCCTGTGGCTCAGATCGAGCTTGCGAAGACGATATTCGAGGTGAGTCTACGCGAAAGAGCTGGCGGGCACTTGACTGATTTCGCGACAGCTATTTCGCAACTTTGAGCTGGCCCCAATGGATCCGGCGCGTCCTTGGAAGGCGTACAATGCGATGGGTTTGTTCTTCATCAGCGATATGTGGGTTCAGGTAATGGAAAGGAAGTAAAGGGGCAAAAGGTAGCGCCGTAGCGGCGGACGGGGAAACATGCGACTGCTCAAAAGTCAAGACAAAGCTCCTCTTCACTCGTTCCTTTCGAAGACATGGAATGGCAACATAGCTTTGTTTTGGTGTGAATGAAATATCATCTGCTTTGAGTGTTGCTCCCGAACAAGAACAATCCATCCATCCTGCCTTGGCCACAAGTCCTCCAATCCATAGCCAAGTGTCTCTCTTCTCTTTTCTCCCCAACTCTTTTCATACTTTCGTATAGTAGGTTACCGCCTGAGGGTACAAATGTCTCCGTCAGAGTCATACCACAGTCAATAAGTCTCGCTCCTTCCTTGCCGCTGCATGCTGATTCCTTCGACAACTGGCTTAAACCACGAGATATCTTGAAGAAGTTTCACTGCCCACTTGGTAAGAGGACACGTTGTAGAAGAAACACAAGTGTCTTCGCTTTTCAGACCTGAACTATCCGTCGGAATTGCTCATGGTACGAACGAACTCAATTGAGCTCGATGACGTATTCGACATGTCGCACGCGAGGTCCTGGGCAAGAATTGGTTAGTAAGGCTAGCCAACGTTGAGCAAAGATTGTCCAGAACTTACTAAATACCGTGATCTGGATTCGAAGGGTCGCAGAACTAATGAGTAGGCGAGATGGAGGTCGCCGTGTCGAAATGATAATCAAGTGTTGACACAAGACCCCGGGGAGATCAATTTCTGGACCATCATTGGCAATGAGACGTTTTCAGAAGCCTTCCCTGCGACTGGTTAGCAACGCAACGTCACAATCAACAGGAAAAAAGAATGCTTACCAAACACAATGATCTTGCAATAGCGGATAGCCCTCTGCGGTAAGGGGAGGATTGGAAGAACAGTGGCGCGCCAGAAACAATGGAGGCAAAGGAGTTGTGAATTCCGAACTTGCAATAAGCTGTGATCAGGATCGCGGACCAAATCTTTTGATGCCCCAGGTTGGGGGTCATGGATGTATTGGAAAATGCAAAGTCCCTCCCCCGTCTCGTTGTCGTCAAAGGAGGTCTCCTCGAGAATAATGTGTGAGGCCATGAGATCCCAGAGCTGTAAACCCAGTCGGGCTCTGAAGACATGGGACAGGAGCTCGAATCGGCGAAAACCGCCGCCGGAAAAGACTTGTTCTGGCAGTTGGCCCCCCCCCCCCCCCCTCCCGCCGCAATGAATCATGAATAGCTCGCATCGTCTTACTTTGGGGGGAATCCCAACTGCCGAAAATATTGGCAGCCAGAACAATATTTAGAACTTTGAAAAGTTCAAATTTTCCTGTTCAGTTGCTTGAGTTAGTGTCTCTCACCGTGGTTGATCGAAGAGAGGGTACTGACCGAAGGCAAGTTTGAAGATCGATTCTGACAGCTGGGCCCCCCCGCCGCAATGAATCATGAATAGCTCGTGTCTTCTTGCTTTGGGGGGGTTGCCAACTGCCGCAAATATTGGCAGCCAGAACAATACTTTGAACTTTTCAAAGTTCACATTTTCCTGTTCAGTCGCCAGAGTCAGCGTCTGCCACTGTGATGTTGAGCGAAGGCGGCCACTGACCAAAGGCAAGTTCGGAACAGGCCCGGCGGCCGGGATGCTTCGGTGAGCAACGAGTCACCGCCCGCAGGCCATCAAATTTAGCCATCAAATTTGAACTAAAAATTTGAACAACAGTTCAAAATTCTTGGGGGGTGAAGGGAGTCAGTACGTTCCATTGCGGCGCAAGTTGGTTGCGGAGGAAACTCACAACCAAAGCATTGAAAAAGGTCCGGCGGCCGAGATGCTATCAAGAGCACGGAATCACCAACCGCCGGCCTTAAAATTGACGAAAGGCCTTCGTCTCAATAATTCGAACTGCCGATGAAGTCAAGTCAGCATCTCGCGTCTCGCGAGGTTGAGGGGGATTTGGACTTACAAGCCGAAAAATTGAAACTGGCCCCCGGTCGGGGCGCCAGTAAAGCTTGCAAACAGCAATGTATGCAAAGAGAAGTACATACGACCATACCCATTGGAAAACTCGGGATCCCGTCCGCTGTCCCATAGAAGATTTCCAAAAACGGCAGAACCGGCCATCAAATTTGAACCAAAAATTTGAGCCCTTGCTCAAATTGCTCCAAACAATCGAGAGAAGTTTTCAAATCTCGACGGCGGCCGGTCTCCTGTGTAGTCTGAACAGAGGGAACGCGGCCACCGCTGTAAATTGGCGTGAGCATGTCTGAGCCGGCCGGCGGCCCCGGAACGTAATCTTGGAACCAGCCCAAGCCGTTCCCCGTAAAGCCAGTAGGGGAAGTACTGGAAGAGCCTTCCAAAGAGGCGAACGGTAAACAACCCAAAGGTTGACCGCAAATTGTTTGGTGAGCAGTTGGAAAAGGCCGGGAGGCCCGGGCCGGAGATTGGAAGGGGGAGTTGTTCGCCCGGGCCCCGGCAGTAGATCGCGGTTTTCGGAGGCGGCGCTCCTTCATTCAAACTGTGGAGGACGAAGTTAGTCATTGTTCAAGACACAAGGGAGCATCAGTTTTGCGCAGTTTCGAGTTGCCAGAAAAGAATTGCGCCACAAGGACAAGATCCAGAGGAAAGGAACATTCGAGACTTGAGGTGACACAACAGCCAAGAGACAAACAAATATCGGGAGCATACCTTGTTGAAGTCAAAAGACTCCATGAAGGTCACAATGACCTCCACTTTCATTGATGAGGCCTGGGGGAGGACCTTCAATGAGCCTTCGTTAGGCTGGCCCTCCCCGGCCATTCAGACGGCCGTCCCAGAAAGAGCCAAAGCACCATTGCGATGCAGACCTTCTGGCATTGTCTTCGGAAGAGGAAGCCAAAAGCCCAGATATTTTTGATTACCGCCTCATCGCCGTGAAATAAGGCATTAGAGAGCCTGGGCAATTTCGAAAGTCAGCAAAGGATCACTCGAAAGAGTATAGGCTGAAAAATGATGCAGAAGTAACCCGACGGGCCTGGCACTTGCCAGAAGCCCAGAACGATGTCTTGAAGCAGAATCCCGACTAGCAATCTTCATTTGGACTGCATTGAAGCAGAACATTGGAAATGCGAATGGAGAGGCTGATGAGACTTACCCCGAGACTGAGCGCACTGCACTTTCCCGCGGTGTTTGGGCCACAGCAGGAGTTCCATACGTCCCAAAAGAAAGCGTGTATAGGAAAGTAGATCAGGGGGATGATCATGACAAAGCCTGGCCGAAAATGTTCTTCTCGTGCTTCGAGGCAGTACCGGGAGGTTTCCAGATATGGTGGTCTGACTTGGCTGGAGTGTGAAAGGAGCGGAAGAGGCAGGAAATTTTGGTTTGTTTTGTGCGAGGGGAGGACAACGGGCTCCACGTGATCAGACGGCCTTCGACCGCCTTGTCTCGCTCTGAACTTCTAGATCGAAGGCGCTAGATCAGCCGAAAGAAAAAGAGCAGCGGGGAAGGAGCGGTGCTGGGCACGTGACGACCGGTAAAAGTTTGCAATGGCTGGAACAGAGAAAGCAAGGGAAGTTGGGCTTGGGTGGTGAAAGGGTGGTGAAAACTGTGAAGAAACTTTGGCCTCTGGGACAACTTGTCCGAACGGCAGGAACGAGGGGAATGACAAAGAAAGCAAAGCCATCCAGCACGACTGTTGATCAAATTTTGGGGGGCTGGACAGCTGAGAAGAACATGGGAAATAACAAATACTCACAGCTTCAGAACAATAATCCAAAAGAGTTGAACATTGCTTTCCTTCCAGGCTTCAAGGCAAAAGATGTGAAGAAAGAAGGATGCTAAAGTGGTCTACTATCAAGTGCTGAAGACCCATTGTTGTTGTTGTGATAAGATGTGAAAGTGAAAGTTGTTGAGTTGTGGTGGAGGGGAGAAAGAGTAAGGAGATCTGGGGTGGATGGTGGGGATTTTTATCCCCCGAGATAGTGATGGATGTGCGAGACGACGGACGAAGACGCAGAGCCTGAGGCATGTGCGCCGGGGAAGCAAGAGAAGGAGCGAGGGCTGGAGGCACTAGGGGCACGACCTTCAGCGCACTTTCTACCAAAAGAGCAAATCAATTTCAACTCAGGGGGCTGTTTCTATGGCAATTAGGTGACCGTCCTCACTCTGAGGACATGGCATCAGCATGCTTATGGTATCCCTATCCAAAGGCACCTAAATCGTGAATCGACCTTGTCATGAGACTTCCCAGACAGTTCCTTCCACAGTAGGTCTACTAACGCACTAGGGAAACTTGGAGATTATGATGCTGTTCCTAACTCAATGCTATGGTTAGCCTAATAAGTGATTGAACAGGAAAGGCAGGCGCAGCCCTGCTCACCTTCCGGCAGAAGTAAGCATGCAACTTCACCTAGTCCCAGGTCACGCTCACAACACAAGCTGAGAAATGGGAATAGACAAAAATGGCAATTACGATGGGCAGCCCGTGACTGGCGAGCGGCTGTTCAGGAAGCTTCTAGATGCCCTCAGCATCTCTTCCATCCAAGCTGATACAAGAACAGAACCCCGCCAAATCAAATCTGGAGATCCTTAGCTTCATGAAAGGTCTGATTTAAGAACCATGGGTACTTTGCTTGGTGAGTGGCAAGGACGGCTCAATGCCCTGAATTCCTCTCTGAACCTTTGGGTGATCTCACCTCACGTAGAAGGTACCTACTTATGGCAGCTGTCTCGCCCCTTTCGCCACGAGGTTTCTGGTCGTAGATGGAGTAAGTTTGGCTCAGTGGTTTAAGGCCGGCCACCTTTACTGCCCAAGTCACGCGACACTCTCGCAGACCCTTTTTGTGTCTCCAGTGTTCGAATCACCCCGGCCCCCTCCTTTTTCGCTTGTTCGTCCCTTTCCACACTATGTCACAATTGGTCTCCTGTTCTTCTTTTCCGTTGTTTATATTGAGACGACACGGGGCTGAGTCTGTACTATGACAGAGCGAATGTTGCTATTGTCTTATGAAGATCTCTACTAACAAAAAGGGATGCACTAGGAAAGGGAGCTCGTGTGAATGTTTCTAGCAGGTTTTCTAGCAAGACACACCATGCACTTTGCGCTCTCTCTGGATTGAATCTTTCCTTGAATATCTACAAGATTCGAAATGACTGAAGCACTCTAGGAACATTAGCGGCTCAACCCAAAAGGATGGACGTCCGTTCCATCCCTATGCCGTCGACCACATCCTGCCAGGTCACACCCAGCTTGAGGAGGATGTACCCAACCCCAATCCTCTCATAAACCATCTGGTCGTCTACCTCCAGCTCTGTCTCCACTTGGAACACTCCATGGACACGGGTGCGCTTGTCGTAGTCCCCGAACCTATAATTTTGCGGCAGTAAAAACATGGGGCAAAACATCACTATGGTGCCTTCGATGGGCCTCTCAGCGTTGTCCAGCATGACGGAGACTGCGTCAGTTGCATCGACCAGATAGTCAAGCTGCTTGAAGTCGAAACTGTGGAGGAAGTGCACGTTACCAGCATGTCCGCTGAAACGGGTGATTTGGCCTTCGATGCGGAAGGCGCTGAGATCCAGGACAACAGATGGCATCAGCCCTTTTGCAGCAGTACTTTCAGGAGGCTGGTGATATCCAATCGTGTGTGCCAAGAGTGTCTCGTCCAGTCGGTACAGATTGATGGCTTCGCTGAACCAAATGCGTCCGTCCACTGAAGCCCAGCTCCAGCTTGGCAACCGCAACATCCGCTTGGTCACCTGACTCTGCGATGTCCGGCGGGCGTTATACTCGCCCGAATGCCATACCAGACTATGAGCGATTGATTTGAAAAAATGCCCTGCCAGGTACTCGTCGCCCATCGCCTGTTGCATCGACGAAGCTACCGCAGATAACGCTGCTAGCTTATCCTTCTCTGGATATGTCAGCTCCCTCCTTGTGTACTCTTCCACCAAGTCGAACCAGGCAAGGGATAATTCTATGAAGTCGGACGTTGATGGCAGCGATGAGACCTGCAATGACTGGCTCCGATCCGGAGCACCATATGGCATGGATTCGCATGCATACGGCATCTGCTTACAGCTCCAGAACAGTTCCCCAGCGCCAAACCCCAGAAGACGATCTGGCAGGAGCCTCTCTTGTAGTGCCCAAGCCCGGGAGCCGAGGGGCTGTCTGAATAGGGCGTTTTTGAAATAAAGTCGGGAAAACACGGCACACTTCGTAATTCCATTTCCATCATCGTCGTTTCCCTTGAAGATGCCGGCGGTGTTGATTTCGAAGGGTGCTGTGAACTGCGGGACGGGCCCGTTGAAAATACTTTCGTTAGGTGATCTGGCCCGATAAAGCGATAGACAGATATCGCAATTAGAGAAGACAGATTCCATCTTCGAGGACTCAGCTGTCCAGTCTTGTTGGCTCTGAGTGCCCTCTTGAATGATGCAGAGACAATCAATCCACATGAAGTTGAGTCCCAGGGCCCGAATGAAGCTGAGCGCCTCCCGAAATGCGAGCGGGAGAGCATCGTAGGGTATCTCTGACCTCAGCAAATAACTTATGTTAGAGGTGGTCAACCGTAAAAAGTCATGTGGTGGCGGGCCCCAGCAGTAACTCAAGGCGGCGTAAGGACCAGAGGGAGGTTGCTGGGCAGTTTGAATGAGACGCACTCCTGTCGCACCGATCTCGAGCAGTCGAGTGGGATAAGAAGCTGGTTGATTACGATCTCTGCATTGGTGATGGGTCTCTGAGCAAACACGCATCCATTGTTGTGCAGCTTCCAAGCAATCCATTACTGGTAGTACCCCCCTTCGATCGTTTGTAGAGAACTGGGTGCCAAGAGACAAGCCAGGATCCAACCGAAAGTATCGCTCCTCGTAAGAACCATGCTGGCTTACGGCTGTAAAGTTGAGGTTGGCATATGTTTTGCCAGCCTCTGTTGAAGCCTGCAGCTCGTATGACCACGGTGACGATGCCAAATACTTTATTTGCGAGCTGGGTATGTTCCAAAACAGCTCTTTGCAAATGAAACAGCCGCGCGCGATAGAATTTTGAAGAGACGTGAGGTTTGAGTGATGGGGTCGTTTGACTCCTTGGAATATCGGAGTACAGTATTCGCAAAGCATCGCGGTTGACACTGCCGAGAACACGGCTTGAACGATGCGTTGTAATTTGGAAAGAGGAGATCGCCGGAGCGGTGTCGCCACGGTGGGCTGTATTCAACACCGTCAGAACCAAGCGAGCTTACTGTGGTGCATTTTTCTGACCTCTGATTCGCGGGTCTATGGGATACCACTTCAACTATTTGATTATTCCCGCTAGCCCGGCCTGACTTCAACTTTAACAAACCTCAGTGTCGATGGTCGATGATGGAGGCAGCTGGTCGCAGCCAACACCGACTGAGTGGAGTGCCGACGCCATTCACTGTAAGTTGGGTCAATTCGTGTCGTTCATCATTATATTAACAACAAGCTCTATGCCATACAAGTCAGCCGTAAAGGTCTTCAGTGCCGCCTCCTCATAGCCACCTTTGCCACTTTGTTGCAGCAGGTTACAGGTCATATTGCAATGACCAAAGATTACAGAAACAAGAGAACGCAAAGAGATGCGAAGCTAAGACTTAAAGATGGCGCCATGCCACTCGCCACATCGGGTTTCGCAGTTGAGATGACGATAGAGCCTGGGGAGGTAGAGGTAGGCGAGATATCATTCTGCTGGAGGATGTAGATCTCGCCAGTGCTGTCGGAAGTCATAAAGAGTCTGTTCTTGGAGTCCCAGGCGAGGCCAACCGGTCGGAAACATTGATCGGGGCAAGTACTGAGATCCTTGTTGTACATGATGTTCTTAAGGGTATCAGTCGAGTCACTGCTGGCAATAGGTTCGCCCTTGGCAAACTCGACAGCGGTCAAGGCATAACCGACAGGTTCAGGTCGGTTGTCTGCGAAACGGTTAGCATGCTGCTTGCTTATTCGGCGAGCGTTTAACTCACAGCTGCCGCGGAAGGACATAAAGGCGCGAGAGCCGTCCTTGTCAAACTTGAGGAAGACGGGAGAAGTGTGCGGCTGAAAAGTCAACCGAGGAGCGATGTAGTCGTTATGGCAGCGGGTGTCATTCATGGTAGTGTTCTGTTCCATCGAGAACTGGTCCCCGACCTTAAGAGAATCGTTGAGCGGAATGCTGGTGTCCCAAACGGCAAAGCAGCGGGGGTAGCCGTAGTTTCCAGCTTCGGTCTCATTCGCGACGGTGCCAAGCAGGTTCAACTCTTCACCAGGGTTGTTGTCGTGGATGTCAAAGCCGTTGCGGGTGATATCGTCAATAGAATTGTCCATCGCCCAGATGTTGCCCGTTGCGGGATCTTCGGCGACAGCAACGGCGTTGCGAATGCCCCAGCCCAATAGCTTGCCGTCGGTACTGAAGTCAAAGGGGTCATTGCCCACCTTGCTCAGGTCGAAGGCCTTGACCTGGGCATGTCCAGATGAAGTATCCAAAGCATCGACATCGAAGTTCTCATCGACACCGCGGGAGACAACAAGCCAATCCTTGGACGCCTGTGACATGACCAGGGTACGCGTTGTCTGGTCATTGTTCGCCATGTTGTCGATAACAACGGCAGGCTCTGCGTTGACAGTGCCGGCCTGTTGGTCGTAGGCCCAAGCGAGGACCTGAGAGACGGAAGAGGCATAGATAGTCTTGCCATCTTCAGAGAGAGCCATGCCGTGAGTCAACTAGATGAAGCGTCAGCGATTGGACTTTGATTCAAGTTGATGTTGGCCGTACGCGGGTATTGTTGATCATGAGCTTGCTTTCGGCAAGCGTGAGACAGGTCCCGCCATTGTCCTTGAAGGTGACATGGTAAACGCCCACGGCGGCGTCGAGAACAAGCAGCGCACCCTCGCTATCGACGTGGATAGTCCGTGGCTTCTTATAACCATTCGCAACCAGCTGTGCTTGCCAGCCTGCGGCGATCTGAGGAGGCGTGTAGCTTGGTACGATCACGTCGGCACACGTTTGCGCGGCGGCCGCCGTAGCAGCAGCAGCCACCAGGGCGACATGTTGTAGACCCTTCATGACGAGAAATTGAAGCCGTCTGCGAATTCCTGCCCCGCCTTAGCTCAATAGATCCAAAGGCACTTTGGGATTTGTAGACGGCGAAAGACAAAGGACAAGGCTTCAAACGTGGGCGTAAGCTGGGCGGCTGGAATCCCACGCGACGAGTAGCGAGGTCTCAGCCGACAGGCTTTCAAGGTAAGCCAGCGCCAACTCCACTTTAAAAGACACTGGCAGATGGCTCGTGGATGTCCCCCTCTCCGCCTGGCAAGAGGTCGAGATGCCTGCGGGGAGACGATCCTGTGTGCCTCCTTGGAGCTTAGAACTCTTTTAGCGCAATGAGGAACGGCGGCTGAGAGGCGGGTAACAGGCCATGACCCACGGGTTGGGGGATTGGCGAATGGTGCGCGGTGGTGGCCGATGATGGGCGAGCTTGTGCCTCTGAGATGCATATCTGCCCATGTTAAACCCCTCGAGTCGTCCCATGGCGTCGGAATTGCTTTTGTCGCTCGCTTCTTGGGATGGTGGTAGTGGCAGTCGAGCAGCGGCAGTTGGTGATGCCATCATGAAAAATATGCCAAGAACGTGGGCTTGGAGCCGAAAGCCGTGCAGTTGAAACATCCCGATGCTGTGCCAGGTGGCCAGCAAAAAGACACTCCTGGAGCGGAACATGGCCGTCACTCCGCCCAGAGGATCGTGAGGGGCTGGGACCGATTCGGCGCGGATGCAGGATGGCGGAACGGCGGCTGGGCTGATTGGTGCATGCGATGGCGTTGCGGTTGCATTAAGCTGTCAGACTTGGGCGAGAAGACGCACATTTGCGGTCGAGATGGCACCGGCGGGTTCGATGTGGGGGAATAAGCATGCAAGACAGCATTAGCTGCATCTTGTTCGGTGGAAACGCGAGGGTCCCACGTCCCGATGGCGGCCGAACGAGGCAGGTCGCCGGTCGACTTTGAGGTTTTGGCCCTGGTGCCGACGACTGCGAGGAGGGGCATTGAGGATGACGACGAGGCTCCCCGAGGTTTGGCATTGAGCTGAGGGGCCGATGCGAAGATGCTCCTGTGAATAGCGAGCGAGGACCTCATGGAAGAGACCTTAGAGACATCGTCAACAAGCGAGGGCGTCATCGCATGTCTCTCCGTCTCGTTGCGGCCGGGTGCAGCTGAATGTTTCGTGGCGCCAAATTAGGCTCACCGCCGCTGCTAGCCCGGGATGTCATTTGATGGTTCCTGAACGGTGTCTCGGCGGGTGTCTGGTAGCGTTCAAGGATGCGGGATCTTGTTTATGGAGGTTGATGGAGGTGGTGGTGGTGATGGCGACGGGAGGTGTCCGAGTTTGTTGGAGGCGACGAGGGGAAAAGTGTGTGTCCAGTGCATCAACGCAAACAGTGGTGGTGGGTGGCCCCTACCCGAAGAATGTGGGAAGGAACACAGGGGCCCTTCCTTCCGTTGCGTTGTGGCCGGCGCATTTCCATGCCCGTTTCTGTCACTCAAACATCACCAGATCCAATGCGCAAAATCTTCACTTTTACGGCACAGCATCCACATGACCTGGATTAGCGAGCTGCTCGCCCAGATCGACAGTTCGATGGTCACAAAGCCAAGCCTGGCCGTTTGGCAACCAAGTCCCAGGGGAGCAGAGCCAAGAGCCAAGGGCCTTTTGTTTCTGGATTCCTTCTTCGCCCTCGAATTGACCAACCACCGAGTCGTCTCCTTTCACGCTGCGAGCCATCGCAATCGCAATCGCAATCATCCCACCTCTTCGAACTTCAGCCAAGTCACTCAGCGTGTCGTGCAGCTGCCTCTGACACAGTTGCGGACATGCGATCCGGCTAGACTTTCCTGGGCGGTTACACAACCTGGTTCGTCCAGAGGGCAACCCCAGGGCATCCTCGACGTTCGCAATGATGGGATGAATCTCATCAAGCGTCAATCGAGCAGATGGGCGTTTCCCCCCGCTGCCTGTCATCTCGAAATATCCCGAAACGTCCCTCAAGATCCCTTCCAGAAGCCACTTCGACGGTACGGTACGAGCGTCAGTCCCATGTCATTGGTGACATTGCGCTAGGCGATCGCATCCCGAGGACGGCGGCGATGGCTTTGGAACGACCAGAAACAGCCCTCTGAAGACACTGAACCCAGGCAGACACCTTGTCGCCCTCGCTGATTTCGCGCAAGACATTGGCTGCGCAGACTGCTTAGGGTGGAGGGCAGGGCTTGCTGGCCACCCCCGCATTCGAGTCTACCGCAATCCGTGGCCCCGACCCTATCGCCATGTTCCCTGTCGCCGTCGTATCGCCCCTCCATGCCGAATCCAAAGAGCCAATCCTTGGCGTTCCATTGCCTGTCGCCAGTCCCGGCTTGGGGGGCTTCAGTCGCTGTCTGCCCAGGAAAATGTGCGACTGGTGTTCGTCTGCGGCTTGCCCGAGCTAAAATCAGCGCACAGGCTTTGGCGCGGCCTGGTTTGAGCTGCCAGATGGATGTCAAGAGTCAAGACACGAACACTCATTACAGCGAGACGAGATGAAAAAGACTAAAATGCATCGTTCAACATGCGGTGGACGGGACAAGACCGGCAATCAGTCACGACCACGGCAATGCGGCAATGGAAACGCAACGGTTCAACGGCGAGGTCTGCGGCGGCATCGCGTGAAGGGCTCTGATCATTCGTCTACATCGAACCGTCGACATGCCGTGAGACATGTGCCCAGAAACGCCAATACCGCATCGACAGGGGCATTCTAAGTTCGACCACCAGCACCCAAGAAATACCAAGAGCAATACTGGAGCTTGCCGAGACAACAACGTGCTCGTCGACTCGTCCAAGCCGTCCAAGCTCCCACCACAAGACCCCCGAGACCCTCTTGGTGCCTCTGAGCCCATTACTCAACCTATCACCAGCCTCCTTGGCAGTCTCCGCCCATTATCAACCGGTTGCCACGCTGCCGTGCCATGCCCGCGATTGTCTCTTGCCAAGCATGCGCCCTCACGCCCAGAATCCTCCTCATTGGTGCCGATGCCAGCGCCGCGCCTCGCCAAAGACCTTGGGAGCGGGACAGGCGGAGCACAAGAAGCAAGCCCATTCCACCTGATTCACTCCATTTCAGCGCCCATATGCCCACGGTAGCCCACCGCCGGCCGTCACTATCGTCTGCTTCTTCTCTGCCACTTTTTTTCTCGCTGCTGCTCCGGACACTGCTGCTGCCGCTGCCGCCAGCCACCCCAAGCACCCAAGCATCCAAAGCCCGAAGCCAAGAGAGTCTTTGCCTGCTTTGCCTAGCCTTGCTTGCTTGGAGCACGCAGTAATAGCTGCACGAGAGGGACAGGCCACCGCCAGATGCCCCTCCATTTTCCTTTCGTATGACGCGTTGCGAGTCCCCCAGCCGGCAACCATCCGCTCCTGCTGGGTCCCATCTCTCCGCTCCCTTGCTGCCGCTTATTATTTCAGGCCCAGCAAGGTACGGCTGCATTTCGTCCTAGGGGTTGGTTCATCAGTCGATCTGCTCTTTTTTTTTTTCTTCGGTCGTCGCTCCGTCTGTTAAGACGTCCCGTGTCGAGCTTCTTCACCATCCCCGATTCCTGATTTTTTGCGACGGACGATAGACGGAATAGTGGCACGGTATACCACACGAAGGCCGAATGCCTCCTCCCCGAACACGACGTCTAAGCTCCTCCGGCCTTTGACCCACGCAGAGTCCAGACCATGTTCTCAAATACACGACTCCTTCTGTCAGCACTTGCTGCGACAACATTACTTGCGACATCATCCGCCGTCGCCATCGAAGCTCGACAAGGCCCCGGCCCCGTCAACGAATGGATCACCGTCGACGAGGAAGGTCAACCAAAAACCATCACACCATCAGTCGTCACCAGCAATGGCGCTCGCACCACCATCAGCCCGCCGCCGTACTCGCTTACCGGCAGCGTGTTCACCGTCACCGCGACCAACGGCGCTCTCACAACAAGCACCGGCGTGCCTCCGCCGCCGCAAGCCAGCAACACGTTAGGATTTGGAGGAGTATTTTCCGTATGCAACAACAACCCGGGCACCGACGCTCCCTTCTGCCAGCCGCGACGTGGTAGTACTCTGCACGTGGAGACAACGTACTACAGTAAGCTTAAATCAAGTCTGAGTCGCGGCCCCTCCCCCAACTAACCTTTTCTCCCTCTAGTCACCTGGGACACTACCTTCTTCGAGGACCCAAACACGCCAATTGGAATCGTCGGGTATGATGTCAGTAACACCGGAAATATGGATGCGGCACCCGCATTCTCCGTAACAAATATCCGCGGCGGCGACGGATGGGCGTATTGGACCCCACGCGTTGGCGACCTCGAAGAGAAAGACTCGAATAACATGACCCTCATCCTCATGTACAACGACCCCATCACAGACGAGCAGCAAAACGTCACCGGCCCCGTCTTCACCATCCGCCCAGCACTCGATATCGACGGCAGCTCCAGCTCAAGTCCGAACCTAGTCGCCATCATACTCCCCGTCATCCTCATCACCCTAGCCATCGTCGGCGTAATGCTCTGGCTATGCTTCCGCCGACGCCGCCGTCACGCGGCCGCCGCTGCCGCAGCAGCAGCAAAATACCACGAAACCGTCGCCGGTCCGCCAAAAAGCCGCGGACTGAAGAACGACGCGAATATCCAACTCGAACCAACGAGTCCACCGCCCCACTCGCCCGGGCGGAATGTTTTCCAGGAGGAGGTGCGTAGGCAGGAACGGGAACGAACTTAAAACTACTTCTTTTGGGAACTGCAATGACTGATGGTAATGACTTCAAAAGGCCCTGTCCGATGAGAAACGTCGCCATCGGACGTCATGAGACTCGCGCGGTGACGTCTTTCCAGCGATGTTCTTTTTACAACAATCCCCTTATGGGGGGAGATAATGACCAAATATCACGAATCAAAATATGGACGCTACGCGTCCCCCTTCAACGTTCAATTTCAACGCTCCCGTGGCCGTGAGTCTTGGATGATGTGTGCGTGTCAGGAGAAGCAACCCACCGCAGCGTAAGAATTGAGCATTTCGAACCCCAGCTCAACGATCAAAGTTGAGTGATTGAGGACCCTCATCAGCATTTGCCCAGCGAAACGTATGCAGCGATGCCGTAACGTGAGGTCCAAATACACAAGACAGAAGAAACGAGCCGAACCTAGTGAACTACATACACACTGGCGTTGACCTTCCATCAACACGCCATGACCGATAGCCGCTCTGGGTAGCCCTTCTTGACCCCTGATCTCTGGAGTTCTCAATCCTGCCTCGCCAGCATTACCACACTTGACCGTACATAAATCCGATGCGGACATCTAAATCTTCAAACTCCGCTACCCGGTCCTTCATGTTGATCACATTTTCAAATGTCTAGTGAAAGCACTCTTTGTCGTACTAGGGCTGAGCTACAAATAAGTAAACTGCATACACTCAGTTGATCCTTAACACCTCTTTTGCCGACCTAGACGCCAGCTTCTTCCATGATTTCATCCAACTGGGCCATATAGTATTCCAAAGATCCTCGTTTCGGCTTGACTTTGTCATAAGCTTTATCTCCATCTCCATCCTCGTCACCAACTTGGAGATCGACTCCCAGGCGTCTAATCCCTCGCAAATTGTCTTCCGTCAGGGGTTGCGGTTCATTCAGCTCTTCTAAAACTTGAACCATTCTGTCTTTCCAATACGTCCTCAGGAATTCAGAAAAGCTGCAGCTCATTTCCACAAGCTTGGCTTCGAACTCGGGTAGCAGTTCATGCAGGATCTCAATAGCCCGCGAGTCTTCTTCCAAGAACTCTTGAATATCTTCGTCGTCGATGTGTCTTGGTTTGCCATCGTAATCACAGCAAGTGTGATGTAATGACAGGGATTCAAACGTGGCTATTCGCACTGCGATCAACTTGAAATCCTTGGGTACATCCCAATCCCCATCCGGAACCTGCATCATTCGGTTTGAAAGCTGATCCAGTCTCGGTCTCCATTGAGACGGAAGATATGCGATGATCCTTTTGCATAACATGGAATACGGATGACAACCGTAAGGCGCACATTCGCATATGCATTCGTCTCCAGCTGGGAAATCCTGCGAAAACTGTGTACTTTCTTTGACTTCGTTTATCATCCGAAAGTGTTCTGCCTTTGTCTTCCGGTAGTCAAGTGTTGCAAACAAGTTGTGTGTAGCTGTGAATCCCGCCACGCGGCCTGGAACCTGAAGAGTTGGGTTCGCCCCCAATTCGACGAGGTTGACAAACGTCAGCGGTTTTGTGGTAACCATTGACGGCATCATCCCAATTGAGTTTGCCGCGTCTATGTCTCTGAAGCCATGGGAGTGAACCACGTTCAGAAGATATTTTGTATCCGTATCGATCAGTGAAGCGCTGATCAAGTGGTACAACGAATACCGCTGGCTTCTGCTCCTGATCATGCCCATCAAAACTTGTGTCTGAAGCCTCTGCGGCACTTGTACATTCCTTCTCTCCAGTGCCTCCACCACTTCTTGTGTTTTTATGTCGAGTATGGTCTCCCCTGAGACCCCCAATGTATTGATCTCTGTCGGAGAGAGTCTGCTTAGTGCCAGATACGCCAGTTCTTCCCGCCGTTTTTTTATTTGACTAATTACTGCTTCTTGACACCGCGTTGACGCGTCCAGCACGAAGGTAAGTAGTTCACCGTCAAGTTTAATCAAACAGCCTGCTTCTAAAAGCATGGCTACATTGTCAGCACATGAGCAGGTATGAGGGCATCGTGCTGGTGGAGACACTGGACATATCCTCTTACTCTCGTTGAGGGCGAAGAAAAGCACCGAACCCATCCTGTCGTCATTCAATTGCAGAATCTGAGCTCCGTAGTGAAATAAAACTAGCTCCAAACCCCTAGTCCAGGAGGCAAGAAGCTCGACGGATGCGAAGCCAAAAGCGTCACTTTCCCAGAGGTTGGCCATTTCGATATCTTTCTTCAAGATTTCGATCAATGCTACTTCATCTTCTCGTAGAATCGCTATGTGTAGTGCATTTCCGTACCCTGTTATGATAATTTTAGTCATTTTCCAGGCCTATCAACACAGGCAGACGCGTACATTCTGCCGTTTCCGGAAGTGCACGAGCTACCTCACGGTAGAATTTAATATCCTCAGGATACGTAGTATCAAAGGCCATTGGCGCATAATCAGATATCACTGAAGTGTCGTCAGGCATGAGGAATTGGTGGTCCAACACCAATGATGCGAAGTCTGCGTCGTCGTAGGAGGGGGCATACGAAACTTTGCAGCCCACTTCAAAAGCAGCCCAGTTGAAGAAGGTGTGAAATGGAAGTCTGAAGAAACTAATCAGTAAACATACGTACATTGTCAACTACCTACCCACCCGCTTGACTGCCAGCCAGGCCGATCCCTGGGCACGCCGACAGCCACGAGATACGCCAGGAGAGGCCTCAGTTTCCACATATCAAGCGCAGACAACATGGCGGCTCCGTTGCATGCAAGGTGGAGTAAATTCCACTGCAAGGTATCGATTTCAAGTGGTGATGCCTTGCCGTTGCTGAACATCCATCGGAGGGTTTGCATACCTCTCTGTAAAACAAGGGAGAAGCTTTTGTCATCCAGTCTAGTTGAATGTTTGATCACTCTGATAATACGAGACGCCGGCGTCTGATTGCAGATGAAATATATCCTGAGCGACGGACATATACTAAATCCTCCCGCTCCAGACGTTGATGACATAGAAACAGTAATCGCGGTAGACATGAGGGTTCGAAATGCTTTCGTTGATATGCCGAACGACCAACTTTTCTGCGACCCTACTCCCGCAAGTGGACAATCAGGTGCGTGCACTTTCTCCGCAAGACTTTCTGCAGTAACGAAAGCTGAACTGAATCCCCGTTTGATTTGTTTCCTCATCCGTCGTGGTTTACATCGACAGCTAAACATGTTGTCAATGGTCGACATGCTTCGGCGGTCAGTTTGCAATGAGCCTGACGATTGTTGGTCAATACCAGCTTCTCTACACGCGAGGCGCAAGGCATCTGGTTTAGTCAAAAGCCGCCTCAAGACGATTTGGGAGTCGGAAGAAACAAGCGCAGAAACGACCTCTTCAATTCGGTTCTCCATACGAGTGAAATAGAGAGACGACGCTTCCATGTGCTGCTGTGCCTGTGGGACGAAGGTATCAAGCGATAGACTCAATTGTGAAAAGCCATCGGAAAGCTTTTTTATTGTGTGGTGATCTTCGTTCGAAACTTGCCGTAGGTTATCGAGCTTGGTATTGAGTTCGGTCCTCGTTGTCGATACCTCGTCTCCAATGATTCGAGAAATTTTGCCGGTCTGAATAGATATCGCGCTGAACGCTGTTAGTTCATCATTCCTCGTAACTGTCTCATATATGACGTACAGCTGAGTGACCTGAAGAGCAGACTGCAACGCTTTATTTGCCTCCGACAGCTGACTTTCCAGGCGATCGAGATGCCCTCGTCGAAACGGGTATGTCACCCGATTCGTGCGGTCTTTGATCCACTCTGAGATGGACTTGGAAGGGTCCTCGTTCACCCTCACTTCATCGACGAACGTGCGCAAGACCGCGAGCTCCGCATTTGCAGCCATCATGGCCTGCTCGATGGCTGTGTCATGCCCCCTCGAAGCCGTGGCAATATTGTTTCTCATCGCTTGTATCTGATCCACTGTCCCTTGCAAGGATTGGCACAGGCGAGAAGCGGAGGCGATTTCGTCCTTGTGTCCCTTGATTCCGTCGAGGTATTTGGTGATCCCCGAACAGACCTGAAGACCCAAGGACACCACGCCGACAACTGTCCCTAATAATTCGGCCATCGCACATGAGGATAAGTCGCGCGAGCTGCTGAGGAATTAAAATGACTGGGATCCCAACCCAGCGATGGTCACGCCCTTCGATCGAATGTGAGGAAAACCTGGAGAATCTGAGTGGAAGCGTCAAGAAGAAAAACATATGGGAGATGGGAAAGAAGAGCAAAACGACAGAATTTGCCTCACGATTCCAACCACAGGATCAGGCTGGCGAATGAGAGCTTATGCCAATGTACGTAGGCGGGGTAGCTATCATGCAGATGCACTGCCCGCGAGGCATAGCGGTCCGCCCAGTTGCGTCGCACAAGTCGGTCGTGTCCTTCTCTGATTGAACATTTAACTGCCAATGAGGCGACTCTCCGTGGGCATCCCAGTCACGAAGTCGACGGAATCAGCCTTTGCGGTGCTCTAAGCCACGATATCACGGTGGATGAGCAGTCCTTTGAAACCAAACATTACATATTACTTAATGGTGCTTTCAGTGTAATCTCTTCAGCCTAATATTATGCCATGCACCAAGCCTCCCGTAGTTCTGGCCCATGTGCCCATCTCACGCCCCATTAAGCCGTTTCCGCTTACCCCGGCCCATCGTTGAAGAACAGTCCCCTGCGCCCGTTCAATGTTGACCATACCTTGCCTTCTTCCGATCTCCAAAAATACTGATTTCGCTAGTCACTGATCATGATCCGTCACGGCCTCGCATGCAGCCACGTATAAAGGCCACAAGAGCGCGTTTGCGGGTCCCCCAGAGGCGATGACCGCCATGCAGCTCTCCAGAGACAAATGAGCGTTCTTTTGAACTTCGGGATGACTCATCGGGTAGCCATAGACAGTTCGATGTAGATAAACCAGTGCGCTATGGCGATAGGCCTGAGCATTATGAACCATGGCCTCGAGATGCTGATGCTGAGCGTTCCCATCTTCCTCCAGAGACATCAAGATGTTGCTCGGGTCGACGGATGGTTGCCAGCTTTGAAGGGCCTTTTCTGTCGATTTTGTTATCGACTCGTATTCGACTCTGAGAACGGCTGCTTTGGTCCCTTGATTGGCTGCGACGGCAGCTTCAAGATCCCCCTTCAGCGACATTGCGATGCTGAGACGGTACAACACTGGCCATAGGTCGCCCACTAGCCCCATGAAAGGATCCGCGTGGGTGATGTCGTTGGGCTTCGAGGAGGTCATGACTGCTAACGGGTATGTGTAGTCTGACACCGACACCGCTGAAACGGGACTCATCCCAAGTGATAAGGACGAGATGACGTCGTAGTAGTGAAAGGCCTTTGTATGTTGTCAGTTGAGCAACTCTAATGTGTCCCGCCATGTCTCCGTACCTTCTCCAGAAAACAGACTGAAGTACTTCGTTCGGACTCGGGGATGGAGCTGATGACCAGAAACGCTGCTTTCAAGTGTCCGACGAACATGTCAGGGGCATTAGACGACGTGAGCTGGGAAGTTAGCGGTAATACTCCTTAGTTCCAGCTCAAGTATCGCACTTACTGCCTCATAATACGCCAACAGCATAACAGTTGCGAGAACCTCTTCATGCTGGCACTTCCACTGCACCAGCTCGAAAGCACCTTTGGCCGCCAAAGCTCTATACTCTGACGAGTGTCTAGACTCATAGACGCCACTATGCTCCAAGTGACCACAGGCAAAAGCACAGATCGCATAGAAGACAGGTGAGTTGTCGTAGGCAAGGGGTAGGATGAGGTCCTGAAAAGAGTTGTGCGGTTGTTCGACAAAGACGATGAGCCGTGACAGGGTGCTGCAGAAGTGATGCAAGAGCTTTCGACTTTGTAAGTCTGTTGTCAGGTCGGAGAATATTGGGAAAGGTAGCTCAAGTGACAGTGACATGGGGTCTACTGAGCCAGATCGGGCTGATACTGAATCGTCGAAGATGCTGTTGGTGAGGATTGAGCAAACCTCTGACTCGCTGCTGTTTCCAAAAGTGTCGAACAACTCCATTGACTCGTCTAAGTCCATGTTGCAGGAGTTTACGTCCAGCTGCGGAGAGACCGTGAGGTCAATGGTCTCTTCAGGTGGACGGCTGGGAGTTGGTTTTGTGACTGCGAAAGTGTGGATGAACCCCTCCTCCGGCTTGAGTTCTCTTCCCGCAAAGATGTTTCGAGCCTTCTTGGATGATGGTGACGTCCTTTTGGTGGTCTTCGACCATTTCGGCTCAATAACTTCATACGTGCAAGTCAATCCCTTGAGGGAGCAGCGCGTGCACTCGGGCTTGCGCTCGCAACATTTCTTCCGCGCTTCTCTGCTGTACGTTGATTAGATCATTGCGGAACCAGGTAGGCCAACGGCGCCATACCATGAGATGCAACCTGGCTATTGTGTTAGTAACTAATTCTTGAATCACGATTTCTAGTTTCTTGTGAGATGTTTACCTGTTTTGGTTCTTTGCCTGCGGACATTGGGTGGTAGAGACTTGGAAACCAACATGGCCACAGTAGATCTTCAGGAAAAGCTGAGCCACATCAAGCCCTAGCTTGGGAGCCAAGGTATGACATGGAACCAAATAGAGAGTCCAAATAAAGGTGCCCTGACTAGTCCATGGGCGGCGTACTAACGGTTCGTTTTGAACACTCTCTCCCTCATTTGAGCTAGGTAAGACGTCGTAGTCGGGAACAAGGATGGCATTCAAACTAGGTTGATCCCATGATCTTCACTTTCGGGACTCGATATTGCGAGGCCATGTGGGCGCCATGTGGCAAGCCCAGCTGAACTCGACATCAGACGGAGGTGAGAGAGAGCTTACCCCTCCTCAGCCACAAATTGGGATTTGCACGCACCCTTGGGCTCTAAGCTCCCAAAACGAGGCAAAGATCGTCGTCGTTTCGTCAGTATCGGGTCTGCAGAAGCTCATGTTGGTGGTACGGCGTGCGGTGGAATACTCCTTCTATGCTCCTTCATGGGAAGTCATGCCCGAGAGAGGCGCTAAAGTGGTCTGTAATACCGTGCCTGAACGAAGGTCATGCATAAGCTTTGCCCCGTAAGAAGATTAAGCTGGGAAACAAAAACCGGATTCTCCTCTCTGGCCTTTCCTATCTTGTGCTCAAACACGCCCAAAAGGTGTTTAGCTCAGGCCGTTGAGCGGCCGGCACTGCATTACCCCACAAGTTCCATGGGCATTTTGACAAGCATGAACATGGCGTCAACATCGGAGACGCCAATTGACGTGACAGCTCTGAGATTACCATCGGAACTGGGGCAATGCGGGGAACCACACGATCTCACCCCCGACTCTCACCTGTAACACGGGTGTATCCGTCCCTGTAGGCAACAATTATGCAGCGGCCAATCACGCATCGTCCTGCGTAAATACGTCGAGATACGGGGTGGACGGCCACGTCTACCCCAGCTTCGAACCCCGCAAGCCGGTGTTTGTCATTATTCCATACGCCCGGTCGAGAAGGAAGACTAGCAGGGAACGGACGCCTGGCCAGTAGGAGGCTCAAAACCCGGCGCGAAGGTTCAGTAAGATTGTTGAAACATGCTTCTTATTGGGCAGACTGAGCTCCAATAGAGGCCGTGTCTGCGACCAAGACAACCTGTCACCGGGCATAAGGAGCCCTGCTAAGGTGTGGCTCAACATGGAGGCCGCTTTGAGCTCCCCCGGGGCCCGAAGAGATCTTTGGTGGCTGAACACGAAAGACAAGAGGCAATAGATCTTCAAAATGCCGTTGCATTTTGATGTTTGTTCCACTGTGGCGCTGGGCTTTCAGTGGCTAATCGGAGGTCCCGATGAATTGTTTGAACAGAAGCAAGCTGAATCAACTCAAACTGGCCTGATTCTACCCTATGACCATCATGAGACTGTGGCATCGTCTGGCCTGAAGATCCGCGCAGTATTCGTCAGCCCGGTACAGACAGTGTCCCCTTTCATTTGCCACGGAGACGACAGGCGCAAGACAATATGCTTAATGATCGGTTATATTGCATATCGGCACATTTCTGAGATTAGACCAGAATAAGACTCGTCTATGGTCTGCCACCATGATAAGGGTACATGTACCTGCCCAATTGCGAGTATTCGTAACAGGTGTAAGCGAGACACATCTAAGCCGGGGGCTGTTGTAGTCATGTATCTGTACCCTCCCTACCAATCTAGAGTCCGCAAAGAAGCCGACACTGTGGTGTTGACCAAAGAGGAGACAAAATGATGGAGGACCGTTGGTTCCGGTCGAAAAGTCTTCGGTAATCTCGTGTCTTATGCACTGCAACCCACCACCGTTTTCTCGCACTTCTCGTCACATCAAGAAGCGAAGTGGCTGGGATTCGATCCTTGCACGGAGAAATTGGCCTCGCTAAAGGCATCCTACGCCACATATCTCGGCCGAGAGACACTGAGTTCGGCATGGATCCCGGCGTGCTATCTCTCCCGATTCCCCACGGCGGACGGTTTCAGACGCATCTCGGGATTTTGCCGATGTATTCTCTCACTAATAAGTCACTAAGTCTCCGATCCAGACCCAAACAGCCAACTGGGCGCCATCTCTCTGTCAGTTCGGAACCCTGCGCAGGCCGCGCTGATGCAAGCAAGGACGTCTCCGAAATGAAATTTCTTCCCGACTATCCCAGGCCCATAGTGTGCGTACTTGGCAGAGTTCGTCATGATTTGCTTGGATACCGCTGGCACGATAGGTTCTTCTATCATGCACCAACATGTATCCGTGATGAACTGGGCGCCAAACGCTTCCAGCACATCGAGGTGGCCCAGCTTCAGTGCTTTTTGATAGATGTCGCGACTCGTTGTGATGATGACGGCAACGCTAGGCGACTTCGTCTTGTTCCTGCAGAGATCGGCGAGCTGTGCAAACTCCTCTACGGAGAAATGGGGGTTTCCCAAAGATACCATGTCCAAAGATGGATCGGAGGCGGTATTGAGTTGCTTCCAGGCCTTTCGGAGGCCGTTGACGTCAACGACTACCCGACCCAGGGACTCAGTTTGTCCGTCGAAGGAAGCTGCTTCCGGGGTAATCGCTCTCATGTGGAACATCGGCGCTGAGGAAGTTGTCGCAAATCCAGCGCCGAAGGCTTTCAGGTCGGACATTGTGGGGTTCGTCTTTTCCATGCCGACGATGAAGGGTATCTTTCCGCCAACGATGTCGCCGATGTGGTAGCCAAGAAGCGGGAATAGTGACTGGTCATGCCCGGAAAGTTGAGGCACTTCGATGATGATCTTTGGCTTCCTTCCCTCCGGAGTATGACAACCTGCATATGGTGCCCTGCCGGTCAAGGCGATGAAGACGTCGAGGTAATCCGGGTATTTCTGCGTGTGTGCTCCGAGGACGCTGTTCACAAAGACGACAGCATTTGACTCGGACCAGCCGACTTGCTCTCCGGCCTTGGGCTTGCTATCGAGGAGGTAGGGGGCACAGGTGAAGCTGAGCTTGGCTCCGAGCTTGAGATAAGCCTCGCCGATCTTATCTCCTATGATGACTGCTTCTGAATCGGTGCCAAGCTCCTTCCATCGAAGGCGGTCGACGTTGAGTGAGTTGCAAGTTGAAGGCACCACAAACTGTCCACCGAGTGATAAAAGGTGCTCCGGTACATGAAGACTGCTCTTTCCGTTGTAGGCACACGCATCAATGTGAACTTGTGATACGTCCACGAGACATTTCGCTTCTTGCAAAGCGGCAAAGGCGACGATGATTTCCATCGCAATGCGGCTTGCCTCTCCTCCCTGACCGGAAAGAACCTTCTCATCGGACGTACTTAGGCTGATACCTCTAGTGCTCCGGGGCTCAAGGGGTAGAGCCACCTGGTTTGGCATGATTAACAACTGCTTGTCGCTGATGTCTACCTCTGATGCCCCACGCAACTTCTCGAAGTCCTCGTTACCTTGCAAGAAGATAACGGGTATGCGGCGATCGAACATGGCCTCAGCGACCATGACACCTAGAGTAAGAATCATCTCAGGCTCCTGAAATATCAAAGCTGATGGTGCATTGCCGGTGAGAATGAGCTCAAGGAGTGCCCCACTGCCGGAACAGGAGCCCCGACCGCAGGGGATGGCCAGGACCTTACCCTTCACTGACGTGCCAAGCAGTAGATGATGAGCGTCGACGACAACGCCGGTTTTTGGGTCCACACCCATCATGAAGCTCAGAGGCACATCCGAAAAGACAAGAGGGCCATGAAAAGAGCCCGGGATGACGCTGAGTCCTCTCGTACTGGAACCATTCATGATGACTGTTGGACGGGTGACTGTTGACTGTCGAAAGATGAATGTTGAGGTGAGCAGTATATCAACGCCCAACACCCTGCTATACCGCTTCGGGATTACCTTCCTTTTCACCTCGTCAGTCAATGAAACGGGAAGAACACGACGAGATCAACGAGGCTCGGTCGGAGACTCCGCACCTTATCGTGGGCCCGGGGCGGATCCCCGCACGGGCTTCGGGTAGGGTTTCCGGCCGGCATCGGTTCCGATAGCTTGTAATCGAGCTGAGCGGCTATTTGGTGATTCATTTTGACTTACAGGTCTTGTGCAACCCTATGTTGCGTCACCGTCCCTTTGTCACACAGCTGAACAGAGGCGATGTATTGCTATCAAACCTAGGTCACAAACCCCTAATCATAACTGAAGAAATAGCTCTTGTTGACGATGGCGTGAGGAACGTAGACATGGGGACAATCGTAATCCCCAACTGAATCGCAAGGATCACTGTCCTCATTGCAAAACCTTGGAACAGGAGAGTCCCCTTGCTCGTTCCCGTCTTCATCTTGACGCATGACCCACTCATCCTTGAGGACAGACTTGCTAAACCCATGCCTAAAGGCCAAGATTTCCATCTCCTTGGCCTCAAAATGCCTGCTCATCAAAAGCTCATCGTCTGTCACAATTCGCTTCCCATTTTTGCCATTTTCGGCTCGCATACGCTTCGTTCTCGTCCTTTCAAGGATCTCTCTGGGCTCCGTCGGGTAGCACATAGACGCTCCTGCCGCATCGCGACTGCACAGTGGCACTAGAGAGCGCATCTCAACTGATGTCGTCATTCGTTTCAACTGTTCCTTTCTCATATACTCCTCTTCCCCAAGAAGCTTGCTCAATGCCGGCTTCCAGAGAAACGACATCTCTAGGCCCTCGAAATCATACTCCGCGCTGGGAAGATCGGTGTCGTTGGCGATTTTCCTCAAAGAGAAGATGTGTGGAAGCGGCGAAATGTCTGCCCATTGATGACTTGGAGAATACGGCGGTCGGTCCTCTCGCGTCGCTCGCTTGTGAGAAGCTGCCCAGCCACCTCGGAAACCATCGAGTATGTCGCCAATCTTGTAACGGCGCCGGTTGAACAAGACCCGTTTGTCAAGGTTGCCCAAGCTCGCGAAATGCTTCTCATTGAATACAGCGCGTTCCCCGTCGTCGGATAGTCGATCAAAATCGAGCATGAGTCTTTTCTCATCAACCCTGATGAATCCGCCCTTGGGCGTCATGATAAAGAAGTCCAAGCAGACGTGCGTGATGCGGCTGTATCGGAGGTGGTTTGAAGAAAAGACGCGCTCGGTGATTTCCTTGAACGTCCGAGATACGCGCCGAAAATTGAACCAGACGCGGGGCAGGTAGTCGCAATCCGTGATGCTGCCGATGATCATCTCCCAAAGCTCCGGCGGGAGATACGCTGCGCCGCTTCTCTGCATATCGACCGACATCGTATTCGTGGAACAGCTGGGAACCTTGCCCGGCGGTCAATTTGGGCCCCTCAATTTGAAAAGACGTGGGAAGGATGAGAAGTTTGTTGACTTGTTTGTTGGGAGGGAGGAAAAGGAATGTGAGCTGAGATGGATTTGAGCCTGTGTTACTTGAATGACGTAGGCAACGTGGCCCACCACGAAGCGACTTTCGTTGCCCTTTGAAGCCGAACTTGCATGATTGCGATAAAGACACAAGCTGGCGGCTATGAGAATTTCGCTTCACAAGGCTTTGCTCATGTGCGTTGTTTGCCAGACAGGGTCGTCGTCGACTTGCAAGATGGAAAACCCCTGGCGCTCCCAGAATCCGATGGCGCCTTCGAGGAACGGATGAGTGTGGAGATACAACTTCTTCATCCCTGCATCTCTTGCTCTTTGCTCCAAGGCAGCGCAAAGTTTCGAGGCCAGTCCGGCGCGGCGCCAGACTGGGTTGACGTAGAGTCTGACAAACTCTACGACGCCCTCGCGGCCGAGACCGAGCTCAGGAAAACGGTCGTCGTAAGGCGCATAGCCAATGGCGGCGATGATTTGACCGTTGCCGTAAGCTGTCAAAAAAGCTCCGTTAGGGTTGTCCAGGTAAACCTTTGAAAAGTTCGCAAGCTCCAGTTGAGCATGTTGGTTTTGTGATTCCGCATCTATCCACGGGAACATAACGGACCTGGCCTGTTTGATGAATTCGACGATGGCCGGGATGTCCTCGGACCTGGCAGGCTGAATGGTTATCTCCATGGCGACTGTGCGAATAGCTCAAGGGCCAAGTTTGATGAGTGTCAGGACGAGTCTTCTTTTAAAAATTCAGAAATTGAGATTGAGCTGTATGTGTAGAAACGAAGTTCAAATTAACACGATGCCTTGGCACATGAAAAATTGCTCTAATCTGCTCTAATCTAAAGCTCGAAGCTCTTATCAGATCGTGACCCTCTCGAGCCCCGCAAGAGTGGGGATACACTGCATCGACCTTGATGGAACGGACCGCCGGCCAGGCCTGCGGCGCGCTATTTTTTCGCTACCGAGCACATCCTAGACTGGAGGCAAAGCTTCTGACATGATTCGGATAACTCATGGCTGCCCATAGAGGATTTTCTTGATGGCCTGTTGATCAACATTTGCACCACACAGAAGAATAACACTCGTCTTTCCTGCCAAGTCTTTCGCAACTTTGTTGAAACCCGCAAGGGCCAGAGCAGCTGAGCCTTCCACGATCATGTTCTCCTCGAAAGCAATTGTCCTCATCGCCTCGGCAATCTCGTCTTCGCTGCACTCAATGACTTGATCAACAACAGCCATGGCCACGGGTAGTGTAATTGAGTCTTCATCCATCCCACCGGCAACCGCTTCGGCCAACGTGGGGAAGTGATCCGTCTCGACAACATGACCTGCAGCCATTGACTCCGCGAGTGCTTTTGAGTTGATGGCTGACACGCCAAAGATCTTCGTCTTGGGGCTGAATGCCTTGATCACGGAGCCGATACCACTGATGAGGCCGCCCCCACCCATTGATATGAAGATGTTGTCCACATTGCTGCACTGCTCGAGAATCTCAAGACCGATAGTTCCCTGGCCGGCGACAATATCCGGGTCATTGTACGGCGAGATGTACTCGTAAGTTCCCGAAGCGGCGAGTTTCTGGGCATATTGTTCGGCCAGCCCGGTCTCCGCTCCATGCAAGATGACCTCCACACCATACGACTTAATCTTCTCCAGCTTCGCAGGGATCACGGTTTCCGGCAGCACAACAGTGACGTTCCTAGAGAGTGCATGTGCAGCGCATGCGGCTCCGATGCCATGGTTCCCCGACGATGCCGTAATCAGCCGGCCCCCGGCTGCCTGCGCCGAGAGCTTGGACGTGGCCCCTCTCAACTTGAATGATCCGGTGAGTTGGAAATTCTCTCCCTTGAACAAGACTTTGACGCCATATTTCTGGCCTGCTTTTCGGGCCGGAATGAGAGGCGTTTCGTAGATGTGGTCGCGGATGCGGCTTCGAGCTTGAACAGCCGCTGCTGCTGTTTCGACGTAAGAGAGGGCCATGCCAGCGGTAGCGGGGTCGAATCCGATGGATGGCTATCAACAAAGGTGAAACAGACGTTTGAATTGTCCAAAAACAAAAACGACAAACCTCTTGTGTTCTTTTATCAAGATGCAAGCTATTTGTCTCTTCTTTCTCACCCCAAAAGCCTGAGTTGAAGGAAACCTGTCTTGGTACTTGTAGATGCAGAAGAACAGCTTCAACCCCACTGAGTGAGAAAGACACAACTCTACTCTGATTGGCCTGGACGCATAAGTATCCTGTTTCGGTTTAGCGTGGCGCCCTGCTCATGTCTTTGCGCCCTCCTCTTGTCAGCGTCACCGTAGTTCCGAAGCCGCAGCTTGCCAATCCCATGTCAAAAGTTTTCTCATCCGAACGAGAGGAGACACAGAACACAGGGCTGTCTTTTGCGTGAGCCAGTGAGTCACTGCGAATCCATGGAGCCCTCGAAAAGACGACGCACAGGCTGCACAGAGTGTCGCCGGAAGAAGTCAAAGGTGGGTAAATGCGTCATTTTAGCAGTGAAGTCCCCAGCAGCTGCTGCCCGTCTATCGGACTTTACAGGCTGATAAGGACTTCAGTGCGATGAGAAGAAGCCAGTGTGCACACGATGCACGAAATATCCACGGCTCTGTTCTTATGAACTGAGCATAAAAACGACAGAGTTCAAGGTATCTAAGCCGTCAATACGGAAGGTAGGTTATTCATGTCTTGGATTCAGTCCCTATTTGCGACTAACAGGCCTAGAAATCAACGTCCCCCAGTAGCACGGGTTCCAGTGCATCCCAGTTGACTGCACCCCGGCCATCATGCACCCCTCCAAGCCCCAGGTCGCCAGCATCATCTCTCTCAGAGTATCGGTTGACACCATTCCCTTCAATTCAGTCCACTCAGCACCGCTTCTACCTCCATCATTTCATCACCCACACCGCAACTATCTACTTCCCTCTTCAACCTGATGCCTTACTCCATTTTGCAATACCAGTGGCAGAAAGCAGCCCTGCCATGCTCGCAGCCATCTTAGCCGCCAGCTGTAATCACTTCTTCAGATTGAGAGGCTTTCAAGATGCGCGGAACGCAGCCACAGAAGCAACTGTCCAGAGCCTGTCACGGCTTCGTGAAGCTATCCCGACGAGCAGATTGAGGGGCGAGAGCCCGGCCTTATTGGCTACATCGCTAATGCTAGCGACAACCTGTCTTTGTGTCGGAGATACAACTACATACAGACAACATCTCAACGGAGCTCTCCATATTGTTCAGAGGGACGGCGAACAGCATCAGTCGGATCCTTTGTGGTCGCTGGGCCTCAAGTGGCTCACTCACTTGATCCTGATGAACAGGATCTCTGGGCTGCCGTTGCCCACACAACAGAAGACAGGAGCACTTGACTGGGCTCCGTTACTCATCAGTCTTCCTGGGCCGGGGCAGATCGATCCTGTAACAGGTCTGTCGTTGGACATCGTTACGATACTTGACGAGATTTGCGACCTATCTGACACGCCCTCTTCACCAACGAGACAGTCAGCGTCACCAGATCAAAGCTTGGAAGAAGACCAGGAGACAGACTCGGTTTTCGCCGTTGATTTCCCCAGGGAACGGTCACTAGAAGTACTACTCCTGTATCTCAAAAGCCAGACGCCATCCCCTGACTCCTGGACGGAACTCGATTACAGCCACTACATGTTCATCAACGCAGCCCTTATCTCTCTGTACCGTCGTGTTGATGGTCTGCCAAAAGAAGATGACAAGGTCCAACATGCAGTCGAGTCCATCATCGACTCACTACGACACATCGATCAGTATGCTGAAGTCAACATCCCCCTACTGTGGCCACTTCTTAGCGCAGGATGTGAAGCCATGACGGATGATCAACGATCCATGATCGCAGGTAGAATGATGGCCATGACATCACATGGACTGGGCAACTGCAGAATTGTTCAAGGATTCATGAAACAATACTGGGAAAGGGGAGGAAGCCTGAGATGGGACAGGTTCGCAGAGCAGATCGGGGCTGATTTGGTCTTGTTCTAAGACAGCTGCCGATTAAAGCCAAAGGAGACTGTGGAGCTGACGGTCAGATCACAATCAATACCAGGAACGAAGGAATGAAAGATGGTCTAAGATTTATAGCTGCACGACTAACGAAATACCAATACGCCTGTCCAAATACCCATTGAACCGCACCATCCACGATATACAGAAGCTGAGAGCCCACTATGATGTTTCGTCATGCTCTATGTGACATCAGGTCCGCCGAGTACGTCGCCAGAAGTTCAACGAAAGCATTGTAGAAAACAGTCACGTCCTCGGAACCATAAAGCGAAGATTGTAACTTGACAATCACCAGCGGATCACGCGCCGCGTCGTCCCAAATCTCAAGCACCACATCATACGGCGTTCGTTCGCGCGCGACAAGCTCAGAAGCCTGCAAGCCGCCATGCTCGGTGATAACTGCATCGCCAATGTGCACGCTCTCAATCCCGCCCCCAGCATAGTCGAAAACGGCCTGGAAAAGCGGCGCATGCGGCCAATCTTTGGGTGGCATTTCGAGACTCGGGACCACTGGCAGCCGCTCCAGCAACACGCTGTACGGTACGCGCGCGTGCTGCATTGCCCCGCGCATCGCCTTCTTGATGACGCCGAGCTGTTGGAAAGGACTCAGTGGTGACATGCCTTCCTTTTCTCTTGTCTCTATGCGTACAGGCAAATAGTTGGCAAAGAATCCCATCGCGGCCATGTCCTCCATCGTCGCGCGGTTCGTGTCTGCGATGCCGATGGTTATCGTTCTTGCGTCATCATCATTACAGTCGTCCTTGGTAGCCACAGCCTCCCTGCTGCTCGACTTGGTCGTTAACTCGGTCAGGAGTGCAGCGTAAACTGCCATGAAAAACTGCATACGGGAGACCTTTTGCTCCCGCACCGCCTGCTTGACTTGTGCGGACACGGCCGAACTGAGGCGGAAGACGCCTGTGTGCTGAAGCCAAGATGACGGGGGCCCGTTGCTCCGGTCGGGTAATTGACAGTGCGGTAGATCAAGAACAGGCATGACGGGTACTGCATTATTATTGTCGTACTGGGAGATCCAGTAGGCAATGTCAGCATCTAACCGTCCCTGCTCATAGTCGGCGCGCTGCCTCATGGTAATCTTGGAGAACTGCGGAACGGCAGCCGGGAGCACTGCGCCGTCGTAGAGGGCAGAAATCTCGGAGAGCAGTAAAGACGTGGTCGCGCCATCGCCAGCGAGTCGGTGATAGGCGATGACTAGGAGATGACGGTGGGAAGACAACCAGTGGAAATCGACAATTTTAAACGGCCTGCCAGACTCTAGATCATACGGCTCCTCGTGCAGCTGCTTCATTGCCTCTGTGGCTGCTGCTTGATTGGCGACTGCTGTGCATTTCAAACTCCATGTCGGCTTCTCCAGTACAACTTGGAAAGCATCATCGCCCGTATCGGGCTCGGGGTTGGTGAGAAAAGCAGTGCGAAGGATTTCGTGCCTATGAAGGACTTCATCCACGGCAGTACTCAACCGTTGCAAATCTATGTAGCCTTCGAAAAAGTAGGCGATGGTATTGTGGAAGATGGTACGATCATGCGAGAGCAGCTGTTGCAGCTTCCACACATACTTCTGCCCTAGCGACAGGGGATGCCGATTCAACGTCATCGAGCTGGCTTTGTTTTCGCCGCCTCCGTGCCAGATCACACTGCTCGCGTCAGATTCAACTGACTGCTTTCGAGATGGCAACGAAAAGTTGGCGCTGCTCGAGGTCGGGCTGCTCTGGCTACTTGACCCTTCTGCTGCCTCTGGTTGGCATTCTTCGGGGTCGGGAACTATCAGCGGTAAAGCGTCGCGTGGGAGTCGTTTGACAGCTTCCTCAGCAAGGTCTTCAAGAGAAGCACCACTGAGCACCCGCAAGATTGGTATGTCGACCAACAGTTCTTGTGAGAACCTGTGATCAATGGAATGTTAGCCAAGTACACTTCACGAGCAAAATCGAGCAGAACCATGTGTTGTGTCTGCCAGGATGGGGCATATCTCTCTCACATACCATCCAGATACTGCGACAGCACCAAGCGAGTCTATGCCCTGGTCAAGAAGTGCGACACTAAGATTGACAATTTGGTCCGCAGGAATAAGTAGTATGTCGCGTGTCTTCTGAGCCAGTCCATCTTGATGAAAGAGACATATTAGCACCCTGTTATCTCACCGAGTGTGGATCGGGGGAGGGGTGGAAGGTTCCGGGGGCTCAGCTTACGAATGATGGCTTCTTTGGCCTCGTCCACAGTTGTTGCTTCGCGCAATCGTTCCTTGATTGAGACCCTGCTGGCTGACGACCCTTCGCCCACATGACTCAGACTATTTTCGGGTGTCCGAAGATGACCAAATCGAGGGTTATCCCATAATTTGAAGGAGTTCTTGTTCTTTGCCTCAAATACCGGGAAGCCTGTTATGACTTCAATATCGGACATATCGGTGACCGACATACGGTTGGTGTTGCTTTTCTCCTGCCCAAGTGCGCAGCGTCCTGATACGATGGCTTCGGCAAACAGTGTGTGAAAGTCTTTCTCTGCGAGCTTGCCCATGTCGTGGACTTTCAGAAGTTGTTCGTCGAAATGCGTTCGGGCAAGATATCCGATGCCCATCACGGCACCCACATGGATTGTCGAGGCCTAGACGTATTAGCAATGTTCTGCACTTCATCTTTTTCCCGGAGGAGAGCCAGGTGGATGTAAAAGTTATTGAAGGCGACTTACCACTAGCCCCTTGGCTCGTCGGTACTGTGCGAGGGCCTGCAAATAAGCGTTGGCCGCGTTGTAATTGCTCTGGCCGGGGTTCCCCCCTACTGTGGCTCCGGACGAGAACATGATGAAAAAGTCCAAAGGCGTCTCTGTTTTTGAGTCGCAGAATCGTTCATGGAGAAGACGTGCGCCGACAACTTTGGAATCCAGCACCAAATTCATGTCCGCCAAGCTCATATTCTGTAGCATCGTGTCGCGGAGGACTAAAGGGCCATACGCGATCCCTCCTATTGGTGGCAAAGTCTCGCGTATTTTGGACAGACCCGCATCCAAGTCTTTCTCGTTGGACAAATCCCTAGACAATCAATGTCAGTGAAGGCCTGGGAGTATTTGGGTTGGAAACAGGATGTGGGAGGTCGACTGCGTGGACTTACATTGGTAAGACTGTCACATGCCCCCCAAGCTCCTCCATATCTTTGATCCATCTAGGGTCTGGGACTTCTGGATGGCGACTAGATAGTACGACGTAGCGACCGCCATGTGTGACGATCCATCGAGCCAACGAACGGCCCATCGTTTTGGCAAGCCCGGCAAGAAGGTAGGTCTTGTCTGGAGCGAGTAAGTTCCCGGCGTCAATAGGACGGAGTCGGGCTTGGACTGTGCCGTCAGTCCTCCAGTCAAAGATAGTGAGGAGGTCTACGGGGGCTTTTCCGTGTTGCAAATCAGCCACCTTGATAATTGCTGTTCCGTCCGTGACATGATCATCGCTGGCTTCAGAGGATACGAGAAGAGCCTTCTCAATACGCATAGCAAAGTCGCGACAGTGAGCATTTTCATGTACTTTGCCGGACCCATGCGCTGCAAAAAAATGAGAAAGGTCATACTTTGCACAATGTGGTGTTTCAATCTTGGCCAGACGGCGCCCGAGGTTTGCGGATGTGTGCTCTGTTGCAGATGAGAAGTCGCAGTAAACAGACACGTTCGCGGTGATCATTTTCTTGAGCGTTCTTTCTGATACCCATGGCTCTAGATATGTCCATGAGGAACCCGAGCTGAGCTCTGCCCCTGTTATTTGTCGACTGGTGGCAAAGTGGACCTCGATACTCCTCTCCTTGGCTTGTCTTGCAATGACATCCGCAAAGAACCGCGGTGCGTCAAAAACGAGAATAGTGGTGTCGGGAACCGCGCTGCTCATGACACCATGACTTATGACGGAGGCCACAACATGGTGCAAAATACATTTGCCTCCAGACGGCAAGGGAAAGACCCGACTGCGCGGAAGACGGACGATGGATGCGTTGCTGTCTGCCAGCACCACTGCGGGCGTCTTGGTTTCCGTGACAAAGCCCTGACATAGATGGAAGAAGCCTAGTCTATCAACCCGAATCGCCCCGGTGAGAGCAAAGTGGACGTGGACTTCAACTAGGCCATCATTTATACCCGAGACCAAAGACGGCGCAGATGATAGACGAGGGTTAACCATCGTGTCCATGAACTCAAGGTACGAAGACGCGCCATCAGCAGATAGTCGGAGGCGTACGGGAGTATCATTTGACCGGGCATCGGAGAGAATAACACGGCGAGCAGAGTTCAAGCGGTTGTTCCGTGCTGCATCGTGCTTGATGCGAGGGATCCAAGTACGCCCGTCGACGAGATACATCTCGGGCTCGTGGGACCATAATAAACCACTGCTGTCTTCAGGTGGTTTTGTCGTCTCTTCGAGCTGGGCAACGTGCTCGGCAATAAGTGCGGGATAGTCTAAATGTTCGGCGTTGTCTACGTCGATGTTTAGGATGTTGATCTGTGGGTTCTCGAGCTGTATCGTCCGAAGGAGGCCAATGGTCATAGCCTGCCGAGGATTGTGCGTGAAAGCCGCCTCTGTGATCCAGACAACGACGTTGGCGTAATCACCGGAGAGAAGCGACTTGGCAGCTTCGAGCTTGACGTCGTTGAGATTGCCGAACACTTCGTCGTCAAGCTCTGAGACCACGACGAACGTGGACCCTATTTCCAGCTGTGCTGCCTGCTTGGCCATAGTCTCCAAGCAGTCAAGCCGTAAGATTCGACGGTGGGTCAACTTGTCTTGAAGCTTGCTGAGCAAAGCTGACGAGCGATCAGAGAGGCCGCCAACGAAAACAAGCTGCGGCATATCCGCTCCGTGGTTTTGACCATTGGGCACCTTGAGAAGGGGGCTGTCTAGCCGCTGCACTTTGGGGTTGATGGCGTGCGCACTAAACAGCGAGTTTTGGAAAACCCAGCTTTCGCGATCGGATGTGCGGCTGTCAATACCCGAGAACCCAGATCGCTTCAGGATGCTGTTCCATTCCTCATATGATGCAAAAGGGTCGAGGACGCGGCCTTCTTCGTAGCCAGCCCACCAGTCTGGAAAGAGACCGAAGATGTAGCTGGTGCGTAGATACTCTTTAAACGTGGCTTCCGCGATGACTACATGGCCTCCCGGCTTGAGCAAAGACCTTACGTTCGTCATAGTATCTACGAGACGAGGTGTTGCGTGGAGAACAGACGACGCGATTACGAGATCATATGAGTGGGGTGTAAAGCCTTGCTCCGCCTGCATAGCTCGAGATGTTAGCAACTGCGCCTGGGTACACGGATGACACAATCAAAATTGTGAGTGGCAGAGATGATGCTAACAAAGAAACTGGCGAAACTGACCGGATCCCGAGTGATGTCCAGCTTCCGAAAGTCCATGCGATCTTTGTGCTGCGAGAAGACCTCACGAGCCTTGTCAAAGAAGGTCGCTGAGATGTCGGTAAAGGTGTAGCTGTTGAATCCCAGCTGGGGGATATTGAGAACGTAACGTGTAGCTGAGCCGGTACCGGCGCCTGTATGTTATTTGAGCGTCAGCATACGGACCCCTTGAGTATCGATTTCATGAATCATTAGATAGGCGAATCTCACCGATTTCCAGGATGTTCATGTTGGGAAAACGATGACAAATCTGGCCAACAAGATCTTGGCCGTAATTCCAACATGGTCCATTACTGAGAGGACTGGCATAGAACTCGCTAAGAAGTCCATCCGCGTTCATCCAATGAAAAGGGTTCGTATTGTCGCGGATTGTGGAGATGGCGTTCTCGCTGACCCTCTTGACGAGACGGACGTAGGGGTGATACCAATTTCTGAGTGATGGTGTTAGGTTCCACTTACGTGATGCATTCTGAGGACTGGGGAAAACCAAACGTACTCCTCACAGAGCTTTTGCACATCAGCCGATGTGTCCATCTCCCAGTTCGGCTCATAAAAGGTAGTCTTCCATTCTCGAGCTTTCCCCAACACCTGCTCGTTCCAGTGAATGTACTTCTGGAGTCCGGGGCTTGCATTCTGACGGTCCTCTTGTGTGAGTGTATTTAGAAAATCCTTCACATAGTGGTATACAATGCGCTCGATGATAGGTATCATTCGCTTGTCCTCAGCAGTAGCCCAAAACTCGGGACGGTCTAGGATGCGATTAGGTGAATAAGGGCCCCACACCGTTTTGGTGAACATGAGATGATCACTAGATGGATCCGGTTTGTAAAGTGGTTGAAGAACGATGTTGTCCACTTGAAAAAGGATAGCAGAATTATCATCAAAGACCTCGACATCTCCAGAAAGAATCGAGTCTTTGAAGGACGAGCATGTAGCGTTGAAACGCATACTAACTTCATCATGAGAGCCCAATGCGGATGCACAAGCTCCAGGGACCAAAGCAATCCTGTCAATATGTACAGGGACAACCGTGGACCTCAAAGCCTTGTCACCAGGGTACGAAAAGGCGCCCATGATGGCCTGAAAAGCCGTATCCAGCGTGGCTGGGTGAAGGAGGATGTCCTGCTCGGAACTGTTTCCAAGTCGGTACTGCGAGAGCCGTCCCGCTGCCCTGCCATCTGCTCGGCGCAACTCAAGGACACCACGGTACTTCTTGGTGTAGTCGAGACCCAGAAGTTCGAGTTCTCTGTAGAAGCTGCTGATGTCGATGTCGTTGGGGTGCAGTGGTTCATTTAAGCCTCGCCGCGGCAAACACATTGAGGGAGAGCCAAATGTGGCAACAACGCGTCCACTCGCCGAATTGGAGGGTTTCGTTTCTCTATCAAGAGCAGAGTCAATATGAACTTCCGCCTCCAGCTGCTCGGCGCTCTGGTGTGTCACTTTAAGCGTGACAAGTAGCTCGGCCATGCTATTCTTGTCGTCGAACGAAATGGCCTTATCGATACTCAGATCCAGGACCTCGAGCACAGTGACTTTAACGTCTTGCGCAACTCGCTTTCTTGTCACGTGCAGAGCTGCTTCCATGGCCATCGCGACGTATCCGGCAGCGGGGAGGATAGGTTGGCCCTGAAGGTCGTGACCCTCAAGCCACTTGTCGTCTTGGGGCTTGATGAAGGACTGCCATTGGAACGTCGAGTCTGTACTCGTCGGAAGAAGAGAACCAAGTAGGAGATGGGGAGCTGGTCCGGCAAGAAAAGCTTTCGTAGCACGTGTTTCGGTCCAATGTGATCGCGTGTGGTCCCATGAGTACCTCGGAACAACCTTGGTTAGGCTTCTGCGAGGCCATGATGAAGGCGAAACCGTTCTCATGAAGCTATCAGCGTTGGGTATGTTGAAGCTGGCAAACCGCTCCCAGAGATAGGCTAATGCTTCCGCAAATGCATCCGTGTCATCTTGACTTCGTTTCATGCATCCTGTGTACGGCAGATCCGTGCCGGAGATGGCTTGAATGGTTGCAGTAGTAGGACGCATCAGAGCCGGATGGGCACCCACTTCAACGCCACAAGCGACGTGGTATTCGCTCACTGCACGCTCGACAGCCTGTGAAAAACGGACCGGGGAGACGAGGTTTGCTGCCCAGTATTCTGCTGTGATGTCCGTACATTTCAAGAGTCTACCATCGTATACGGACGAGTACCATGCAACAGGCGAAGACGAGTCTGGCGTCTTAGACGCGGGATTGGCGGCACAGCCACATTCGACGAGAGATTTGGTGTATGCGTCGCTAAACTGAGCCATATGATGAGAGTGATAGGCTTTATCGACGCGTAGGAATCTCGTGAATTTTCCTTCGTCCTTGAGAATGGCCTCGACATGTTGCAAAGCTGATAATAAACGCACAGTCAGTTTGGCCCTGGTCCATAAGATCCATGTGCGCGCATGCGAGGAGCAGGAAAAGGAGAGGCACACTAACCATCGGCATCACCAGATATCGTCACGCTGGTTGGCGCGTTATACGCCGCAACGCAGATCCGTCCTTCAAAGTCTTCAAGGTTGCACAACTCTTCCGCGTCCTCGTGTGTAATCTCGGCTGCGATCATCGCACCTCTGGCGCCGTAAGTAGGCTCAGGGTCGGACGTGGTGACGGCTAGCCCGCGCAGGTAAGCGATGCGAATGGCCTGAAAAGGCGTGATGTATCCCGCAGCAGCCGCACAAACAATTTCTCCTGAGCTGTGACCGACAATAGTCGTGAACTTAATACCTGCAGCCTCAAGCAGCCTGAGAAGCACGAGTTGAACGGCGGCGCAGAGCGGCTGTGAGAATCTCGCCTCCGTCGGCTGAGACTCGACATCATCGCAACAAAGTCGCTGTCGAAGCGTCCAAGTTGGACGGTATACTGTAGGAAGTGTCTGCAAAGAGGCATCCAATTCATCTATGATCTCGCGCGTCCAAGGGATGGAGGCTAGAAGCGATTTGCACATGCCTGGCCACTGTACACCCTGTCCGGTAAAGATGCCCAATATCTGGGGCGGGCCCTTGTTGCTACGGTTAGAACTGGATTCTATGCCTAGGTTCTCTTTGATGGCTGCTTGAAGTGCGAGACACGCCCCCTCGCGCGTGTGGCTGGGGATTGCGTGTCGAACGGGCAGGACAGCCTGCTTGCGCATCAATGTCCAGGCTAGATCTGCCATGTCAATGCCTGGATCTGACTCAAGAAACCGGAGCATGGAGCTCATGTTGTCTCTCAGAGAACGCTGCGACTTGGCCGATAAGACAATAGGCATACCGTACGTAGTACTTGAGGGCTGACTCTCTACGTCGCGGGGAAACATCTTATGGAGGCACAGGCGCAAACGAGTGGTAATGATGTGATGTGTGTGAATCTAGCTAAGTGGGCCGTCTGCCAGGCCAGAGGCTGGAAGAAGGGCCTGGAGGGCCCCTGGGCCGCACAGGCTACCTATGGCACCTATAGGCAGGTGCCGCCACACCACCCCTCAGGCTCTGAGGCCTAGCAGTAACTGTTAATACGTACAAAGTAGGCAAAAGCCAGAAATCTCGTTAAGAGCTAAAAAGCTCAAAACTGAGGAGTTTTCAAGTTTACGTTAACTCAGTTAATCTCCGGTTAAACTACTAGGTAATCCCTGTCTTCCAATTAGCCCAGGGCCTCAGATTAAACTAATCCCAGAGCCAGCTAATGTTAATCTATATTATCCTCTAATCCATCCACTAATCCAAGTATTTTGATGAAGTTGCAGTGCTTCTACGCCTTAAGAGACTTCGTGAGGCTATTAGCGACCATCTTAGAGCCATTAATAAGGCAAAGCGTGAAGGTCTCATTTATAAGTACCTCCTTAATAATCTATTTATATTAAACGTTAATATAGCAAGTATAGGCCTAGTTCAGTGGATTTATGACGTGAGAGTATATATTAGCGCTATCTGTAAAGAGAAGAACAGAAGCATTCATCTTAGCATTAAACATCTACTTAATAGATCTCTTAATCTATTTGAGGGTAAGGCTAGCAGGCGTTAAGTTTACAAACTCCACCTCAGTTATACTAAGAGTAATAAACATCTATTTCTTAGTCTTCTAGGCAATAGGGGCACTACTAAAGAAGATAATATATCCTCTAGTTAAGACATAAGATAGCTAGTTATCAGCAAAAGAAGTATCTACTATACTATAGAGAGCTAGAGTTTAATTTAGATTAGTTCCACTAATAATAATACTATAATAGATAGTTTCTTAGAGGTAGTAAAAGAAGTGCTTAGCGAAATATAGATATATCTACAATAAGCCTCTATTAGCCTAGTAAAGCTTACTAATATAGTAAGCAATATTAATATAAATACCCTAAGCAAGCTAGTTAATATAGCTAGTCTTCTTAATATACTCTTTAGTCTCTTTAATAGTGCACTTATTCTTATCCTATCAAACGGGAAGCTCTTCATAAGAGGGGAAGGGAGTTTTTATAGGCTGTAGATCCTAATAGCTAAATTAACAGAGGATAGCTTTAGTATACTTATATTAAGAGAGGAAGATCTTCTTAGTTAAGATACTGCATTTAATCTAAAAGCTAAGGAACTACATAGCTTTACTAAGCTCTTTAAGGGTGTACACCTTCTTAAGATTATTACAGATACTCTTAATACACTACTTATTAGGCGCAGCAATAGCGTTATTATTAACATATATCAGGGTGTAAGCATATCAGTCCTTATTTATAAATAAACAAAGCTTACTATTAATAGGAATAAAGCTGATCTTATTTATCTTAGTGTAGATAAAATTAAACTACTAGAGAGGAGCTTTACGCAGACTATAAAGTGCCTTCTTAAGAAGCCAGACCTTACTGTTATTAGTGCTAAAGCTAGTAGGTTAATAAATATAGATCTTAATATTATTAGGAACTAGTGCTGCAAGGAAGGTAGAGTTAAAGTTATATATCTAGTATTTAAGTCCTTAAAGAGCAGCAACAGCGAGGAATAGTTAAAGAGTTATAGCTATAGCAACTACTGCGTAAACTTCCTAAGAAGCCTAGTCTCTACGCTTAAAGTTACTATATATAACCTAGCAAGCCTTAAACTAAGCAACAATATTATTAATAGTAGTCTTAATATTAAAGACCTATTAGCTAGGAAGGACCTTAGCGTTATGAGGAGAGTAGATAAGTTTATAGACCTCTTTTATAACAAACTGCTGGATTTCTTGTTCACAGGCTTCTTTCCACTACAGCTAGTAAGGGTTATCCTTAGCTTGCTTATAGGTCTTTAGAATGCTATAGTCCTACAGAAGCGCTCTAAAGATAGTAGCAGCTGCAAAGGTGTTAAGAAAGTACTCTAGCATATTATTATATACCTAAATGTTAGCAGTAATATACGCCTTTTTGTTATAGCTATAGACACTAGAGAGCTGCTTATAGTAACTAGGAGGCTTAAGGTTACCTTAATAGGGTCTAGAAGAGGTAGTCTTATTATCTCAAGAAGTCTTAATACCTTCTTCTCTATAAATTTGCTATCTATAAGTAAGGTTAATATTATCTAGTTCTTAGTTAATAATATTGCGAAAAGACTTATTAGAGTTACTATTACTATTATAATACTTATTAGCCTTCTCATTATAGTTTATAGCAACTATATTATCCTCTAGAAGGGATTATAAGGTTAAGCAAAGCATAATTTCATCTAGAAGCAGTATTATTAGGTCTAATCCTTCTATAGCTGTATTAAAGGCGTTATTACTAGCGCTTAAAGATGTTAGTATTATAGCAGAGATCTCTAGAGACTTCTTAGGAGGGTTAGAAGTGCCTATAGTTATACTGCGCTAGATCTAGAGATCTAGCTTGTTAAACAGTATATTATGCTCTATATTATCAGTAATTAGTATATTATATATAAGTTAAAGAACTATATTTGCTAAACCTTTATAGAAATAAATATTATAGTAATAGATAACTTTCTTTTTCTCTAGGATATAGATGTAGTAGATATAGCTACAGAGAGACATATATCTAATAAGATATCTCTTTATAGTATAAGCCTCTATCTTTCTAGAACGAGGAGGGTAGTTAACACCTTTCTTATAGATATAAGTAGTATAGCTGAAGGTATAAAGATACTTAATATAAGGCGGTTCATAATTAGTAGTAAGGTTAAGTTTATATACTATAATCTTATGAGGGCTTATCTTACCTTTAGTATCTTAGGGAAGAAGGTTAAATACCTAAATAGTTAAATTAAGTAAGTAATCCTAAAGCTCTTTAAGTAAGTTAGTATTAATTAACTATATATAAGCTGCTTTAATAATAGTTCTTCTAGTACACTTAATAGAGCTGTTTATAGAAGATATATTAGTGATAGTATAGTTAATATAAGTATTAGCAAAGTATAGATTATAAAGAACCTTCTTAAACTCTAGAGTATTATTACAGACCTAAGTCTTAACGTTAAGGCTAGTTATATTATTAAATATATCGTGGAAGTTCTTAATAGCATTATGTATAACTTCATAGTGATAGTTAAGCATAAGAATAAGCTAGTAATATCTGCTATACTTATTAAGAAAATATAGGATATAGCGCTTATTAGTTATTAATAGAGGCTTAACTTTAATAAGATTAAGATATATCTCTTCTCTAATCTAGGTGAAAAGTAAGGGAGAATTACAGCTAATAATCTCTATTAACTTAGCTAGATAGCATGCTTCATAGTAAAAGTTCTCTATCTCTTCTTTAGTGAACATAATACCTACATAACAGCAGGCCTTAATAACTCTAGATAGATAGGCATAAATTAGGTAATAGTATATTATCTTAAGAGTTAGCTTAAGGTTATAGCAAACGCTAGCAAGAGTAATAGCAATATTAATAGGCATATTAGTAGTTATATAGGTCTAGAGAACTATAACGTCTATAATCTATTCAACTTTACTAATAGAGCGAGTATTATTTATATATATAAAGCTACTAGACTTATAGTTATAATTAATACTAGCTTTATAAAGTTTACTAAGGTTAAGCAAATTAGTAAGACTTAGCAGGCTATACTTAACATTATTAATAGTCTAATCAATCATCTTAGATAGGTTAAGAGGATTATAAGTCTAAAAAAACATAATGCTAACACTAAGGGGATAGATATTATCTCTATTAATAGCTATAAAGAGAAGTAAGTTATTACAAGGAGTATACTTCATAAAATACTCTATATTATAGAAGAGATAACTAGAATATCTAGAGTTAATAATAATATTATTACAATAGATCACATAGCTGTTAACAGCAGTATAGATTAGAGGGCTAGTAACATAGCAATCTTATATAGCAATACTGATAAAAGCTAAGCCACTAAGAATACTAGATAAGCCCTTCACAAAAATAGAGGTAGTTAGCATAATACTAACGCTATCTCCCTAATAATCCTTATTACACTTATACTTATTAGCCCTCTTGAGAAAGCTTACTTAGTTTTTATAGGTTAATAAGATCAGCTCTAGATAAGCTGTCTAGCACTTCTTAAATAGGTAGTTTATATTATAGTGAACATAGGAAGCCTTATTCTTATCGTTTAATACGTTATTACTGTTATTATTAGTGCAAGAGGTATATAAGTTTAATAACTAAAGCTAGGATCTATCCTTATAGAGTGATAGACCTATCTTCTATTCTTCATCTTAGGTAAGAGTGTAAATAGTCTTAATAATATTAGTCCATATAGGCTTCTTATTATTATTAGTATAATGCTTATAGGTATCTAGCAGGTAGGTCTTAAAGTAGTTTAAGAGCAATATAGCCTATAGATAGTCAGACAAGTCGCCTATAAGGTTAGTAATATAAGTCTGAAGGTATTAAACACACTTAAGGGTATTATAAAGAGTCTTATAGTCCTAAGTAGAGCCCTTAATAAACTTATTAATAAGAGCGCTAATAATATCCTTAGAAATCTTAGGAATATACTTCTTAAGCGCTTATATAAATATAAAAGGATTACTATTATCCTTCTATCCTACATTAAGTAATTTATTAATAAAAGTGTTATATAAGCTAATAAGTAGCATAAAGGTAGTGTTACACTCCTCAGCCTACTTCTCTTTAGTAGTAGCATTACTATTAGGCTTAAGGACATCCTTATTAACATACTTCTTAACGCAGTTTAATTATAGGGTGGCGTTAATAAGAACTAGCTAGGATTACTAGTTAGATTCACCCTTCAGCTAGGGAATACTAGACGAGAAGGTCTTAATACCTTCACCTATATTACTAGTCGTTTAGAGGGATATAAGTAGAGTAGTAAGATAGCCTAAGAGGGAAGATATTATTAATTAACGCGTTAAAGAGAGTTATAGAAAGTAAGGTAACATCGCCATCTAACGCATTACTTAGTGAGGTGAATTTTCACGTAGGTAGTAGCAGTCCGACGCATTAAGAGCGATCAGAGGCTGCATTACTATTTACTAGCTGAATTAGATCGCGCAAACGCGTAGATAACTACAAAAACGAGAAGAATATTATAAGGGTAGAAAAACGCTTAATTTGAGGCTGTAGATACTAGCGATCTGAGCGCTAGGCTTATAACCTATAGAGGCATAGGCGCAAACGAGTAGTAATAATGTGATATGTGTGAATCTAGCTAAGTGGGCCGTCTGCTAGGCCAGAGGCTGGAAGAAGGGCCTGGAGGGCCCCTGGGCCGCACAGGCCACCTGTGGCACCTGTGGGCAGGTGCCGCCACACATCTTGTGAGGCGAAGGCTGATGTAGGCCACATCCCACATACTCCTCGATGATGCAATGTGCATTCGTTCCACCAAAACCTGCGGGTTGACTTCGTCAGTCTTTGAGTTGCTGCATATGCACATTCTGCAACTCACCAAATGAGTTCACACTAGCCCGTCGCGGGTGACCCGGTGTGACTTGTGGCCAAGGCTGGATTTCCGTGGGGATACGGACGTGATGGTAGAAGGGTTGGACCGCAGGGCTGAGCTTTTCAAAATGTTGATTGGGCACAATCACGCCATTCTGGACCGCAAGAGAAGCTTTCAACACGCCAGCCAGCCCAGCAGTCCCCTCTGTATGGCCGATCACCGTTTTCACACTGCCGACTAGCAGCCCTTGAGGCTGCGCAGCGTCGGGAAACTTGCGATCAAAGAACGCATTTGAAATAGCCTCCGCTTCTTGCGGGTCACCTGCTGGCGTTCCCGTTCCTGGTTCATGACATCCGTGAGTTCAGTGTTACAAAAGCATCTTATTTCAGTGTGACGTCAATAGCAACTCACCATGGGCTTCAAAGAATTGAGGGCGGTCACCAATCTGACTCAAATCGAGTCCCGCCCTCGCATAAGTGTCGCGAATCAACGCTTCTTGTGCCACGTGGCTCGGCATTGTAATTCCAGTAGTCTTGCCGTCTTGATTTACGCCCGTCTCACGGATGATGCTCTCGATGTGGTCCCCGTCATTCAGAGCTTGTCGCAAGGTCTTGAGAACTACAGCTGCAATGCCTTCCTGTTCGTGATGTAAAATCCGTTAAATTTCCATATTCAAATGTAGAATGTGCGGGATTGGAACACTGACTCCTCTCGCATAGCCATCAGCGGCAGCATCCCACATTCGCGATCTTCCTGTTGGAGAGAGCATACTAAGTTTACTCTCTGAAACATAATTCACTGTCATCAATTTCCAAGTCAATATCATGTCATTAAGATTGAGAGATTTTGTCAAGATTGTTACGTACACGGAGATATAATCATATTTGCACCGGCAGCTACCGCGACTCTGCTCTGGCCACTTCTGAGTTGCTGCACCGCATGATGAACTGCGACAAGAGACGAGCTGCAAGCAGTATCAATGGTCATCTGGGGATAAGAATTGATGATCAGCAGCTGCATCGGTTACGGGATGAACGCAAAAGCTTACACTAGGACCATGCCAGTCAAAAACATAAGACAAGCGGTTCGAAGCAATACTCGCGGCAACGCCTGTGGCGAAATAGGTTGGCATATGATGCACATCCTGCGTTTTGATTGTCTCAAAATCGTGCGTCATAAGTCCAACATAGACAGCTGTATCTGATCCTTGAAGTTCGTGTGCAAGCCCGGCGGAGGAGAGTGCATCATATGTCGTCTCCAAAAGGAGGCGCTGCTGAGGGTCCATGCTCTCGACCTCTCCAGCCTGGATGTTGAAAAACGGCGCATCAAAGGCGCCGAGGGGTTCTTTCAAGAAGTACCCATATCTTGTATTTGTACTGCCATGGTGCATGCCGTCAGGGTGAAAGAACTTTTCGGCACTGAAGCGCTCCTTGGGTATCTCACTCCGGAGGTCACCCGGCTGCTGCAACAATTTCCAGAATTTTGAAGGGCTGTCTACGCCACCGGGAAAGCGACATGCGCTCCCAACTATAGCAATAGGCTCGTGGTCGTACATTTTGGCACCGAATGATGAAAATTGTTGGGAAGCTGTGTTGGTTATTCAATAGATCATCAACTGTTGAATCGTTGATGGCGAACCGTGAAGACCGTAAAATAAATCCAATTGAGATGAGATGAGCTTTGCAAGGTAAGCATGAATCAGAGTAGAGCGTGGTTCGTACGACTACAATGTTTTGACGAAGAGGGAATTACTCATGTAGACCTTACACACCAGATCATGTCAATGTTGAGAGATACTTATCTAAGTGCGTTGAGGCACTTACACGATTGCAGCTTCACCCCAGTTATTTCATGCAAAGCTATACGGTATAGTTACAGTCAAGCATACTGCTAAATTGAAGTCCTTGTATTGCATGCGCCCATGGATTCTGTGTTCACTAATAGGTATGGTCGGCGGATAATACTTCTTCTGAGCATCGAAGATATTAGGTCTAAAGATAATTTGATCTCGCTGGAAGCTTAGGCGTTCTCCTCCCGGCGCTGCTGTGGGTAAGAATTTTATCCCGCGCGGATCCCGCGCGGATTTGATTTGGCTTTGTTAGGTTGATGCTAGATCCTAACCAACCTCTAAAATTCATTGAGTTCGAGGCGGAAGAGATTCAATATGCTAGTGAAACCCCTAGCACGCGGCTAGAGAGTATCTGCGAGTCAAGCACAGCGCCTGCAACTTGAAGCTTAGTTGTCCAGCAAGAGATTCCAAAAAAGAGGTTCGGCATGATTTTCCGACGACAGAGTCGGCATGAAGGTTCAATGGTGCTTTTTATGCACTCTTTGAGGTAGACAGCTTTTCTTTCCAGGTTACACAATGTTGTGCTATCTGCAGACAGCTGATGTGGCAGTACCTCTCACTAGCTAAGTTTCGGCAAAACATCAATTTATCACCATCTGACAGGAAAGGATATGCTGAAGTGATCCGGATTCAGCACAATGGCCTATCTTCCTTTTGCCTTCCTTCCGTATTAATCCTTTGCCGGCAAAGAGTACCGCAAAACTGTGATATTAACACAACCTAGAAGACTGTGCAGAAAAGGCTTGTAATTGTTTTTTGAACGATAAGGCAATACTAATTCGAAGACCTACCAATATCCCACATTTGCTCGTTTGGAACTTCGTCAGACTCCGTTTGCCAGACCGACAGAGATACTTGGGTGCAAATTGCCCGGCTACAACTGTTCCCCAAATGGCGTCTTACAGCTTGCCACGGCCGTCTGCGAATCACACTCCTACCTTACGGTTCCAAAACAAGCCATATGATGCCTCAAAGCTCGAGAAATCGGACTTGTTCATCTATCATGTTTTGCGCGTCTGCGACTTAATTAACGAGAGGAAGTCCGTAAGTTTTGCGATCCTTTGTTGCTTCATTGGCCGACTGGACCATCGCCTATTTCTAATTACCATGTGTTAGAATTTTGATGGACTAAACATGCTTGTGGAGCTCTCCTTCGGGGACCAGCCACAGCATTGCATTGTTATCGATTCTCGGTCGAAACGAACCAATATCCTTGAAAGGCTGCCCGAAAATACTCAAGCAGACCTCGCGACAAAGATTTCGCCTGAATTTGTTCTTGATGTTATGGAGGGTCGTATCAACGCTCAGCAAGCATTCAGGCTCTACGCCCAGCCTCCTTGCCCGGGTGCCTTCGCCAGCCGTTTCTCCGCGCTGGGCCCTCCAGCATCCGTAGTGAGTAGAGATGAATTAGATCTTGAGAGTCTGCCGAAACCTACCGAAAACATACAGCAAATCAAGGATGACCTTAAGAAATGGGGCTATGCATTCGTCGCGAACGCCCTCACAGCGGACGAGGTTAAAGTGATAAGGACTGCGCTCGAAGAACAAGCAGCGGGCGAAAGGCAGGCCGGAATTGCTCACATGGCAAGTCTTCATAAGTCTTCTGAAGATGAGCCAGACCAACGCGTGTGGTAAGCATGTCATTTCTCTCTGAGGTCGAACTCTCAAATAGGCGCACTTCATCCCACTAACGTACTGAGAAAAGGAATCTGGTCAACAAAGGAGACGAGTTCCTAGACCTTCTTAACCATCCCTTGATCGACGCAATCATGCCTTGGTTTCTGGGCAGGGAGTTCGGCCTCTTCGCCATGACCGCGAACATCGTAACGCCAAGGTCAACGTCCGGGATTTACATGCACACAGATCAAATGGACATGACGCCCAATACGGCCAATCACCCTTACCTTTTGAATATCTTTTGGTATTTGACCGACGTCACTGATGAGAAAGGCGCCACGCGCATATACCCTGGGTCACATGTCAAGAATGTGGCGCCTCAGGAAATTCGCGACGTTGTACGTGATGCCCTTTCATTCACCGTTGCTTGCGCTAGATGTTTCAATCTTATCTCGCTTGCTGTTTATGCCCATTTTCATTTTAAATGATGATTCTACAGGATAGGTCACTGACTACCTGGCAACGCACAGGGCGGCTCAATACCGGCGGCTGCACCAGCTGGATCCTGTCTTCTGCTTGACAGTAGAACCTGGCACTCCACAGGTATCAACAGGACAGATAGCTCACGACCTATCATCTGCTTGACCTGTTGTAGATTCTACATCCAGAGAATGGAGAAGCACGATCTTTTTCTCTCCGAGGAAACCAAAGAAAGACTGTCTGATCGGCAGCGGGCACTACTCGGTCTCCCGCCCAAACAAACGTCGAATGGCACAGACAAAGGAGGCTGGGGCAGCATCTATAAGTTAGGAGGAATTAATGCCGGTAGACTGCGAGTAGCCGTCTAGCAGATTCTTTTCCATACTGGGCCACTTCAGGCGGTTCTTGGGGCACTTTCTGCCGACGCCTAAGGCTTGATGCTTCTGTACATCGATCTAGGAAATTGATATCTTATTATTTACTGCCTATTGATATTTCTTGTATACTATTTTTATGATCGTGAACAAGTCGCCCATACTCACCGCATCATGGTACTTCATGTGTGGTGTGCTGGTTTGAACATAAGCCCGACAGATGTGCCCAACACCGCCGGCTTCCACCAATACGCCCCTTCGTTTCTCCGCGGCTTTCACTTTGGCCCGGCAAACACACACATCTTTCAGTCACATAACTGCTTCAACTGTCATCTCCACGGAAATATATTGCTCAAAGCTTAGATGACTCGGTATACTTGACTTGGGCTGATAACCGTTGCAGCTCCTTGTTGAGAAAGGCCAAAAGCCACTCCGCACTCTCATCTTCCACAACGCCAGCCTCCCAGTTCACAGTGATGCCCATGTAACCCCCGGCCTCAGATATTGCACAAATGGTGTAAGGCGCTCCGTTAGTTGCCGATCCCGCCGACAATACAAACTTGTCAACAACAGCCCGTGACCCAGCAGCTCGTCCGTCGATTTGAGAAGTCTCACTTTCTACGACCCCAAGGTTGGTCAAGGTAAAGGCATGCCGCCTGGGTGTCCCCCTCAGATTTAGCAGTCCTTTGCGATGGTCCTTTCTGAATTTGATGAGACCGTTTGTGAGGTTCGACGTTGAAGCGCTCCGTTGTTGCAGAAAATGTTTGCACATCTGCGCAGATGCCCATATCTTCGAGTCGCCAGTGCAAGCCGACCTGTCGTCTCCAGCCCGAGAACTGTTGGCAGTACTCTGGCATGGAATGTAGCCTGGTGGTGGGCTGGCATCTGCAGAAAAGCGCGGCTCCGCAATGCTCGTAAAACATCCCATGTCGTACTCACCATGCTTTGAAAACTTCCTCAGTGAGAAGGGTACAGATGCCGTGAAACGCGTGCTAGGCTTGTACAAAACGGATAGCCCATTTGAAACCAGAACCGTTAATAAGGCTGTGATGCTTGTTCGATTTCGTCTGCACTGGCGCAAGAGGTTGCGTGTATGGTGTTGCGGCAGATAGAAGTATCGCGTGTTACTGATGGGCGGCCGCTCGTTTCCAATGGGCGGTCCAAGCCATTCTAAGGGGTCGACCGGAGAATACACGAGTGCCTTGAACAGTAGACGCAGGATGTACAATCGAGACATAGGGAATGTCATGCTTTCCTCCAAGTAGGGCACCAATAGAAGTTTGGGTACGACAACTACCTCATTTCCCGTGAGAAAACGTTCACCATAGGGGTATATCTCTGCCAAAGACAGTAGCTGGTTGAAACATCGATAGAAGGTCTTGTGGAAGGAAATCATCGAGATTCCGTCTCCGACAACATGATGACAAACAAGTGCCAGGATGAAGGAAGTCGCGAGGCTGTGGTCAACGGTGTCCATCGGGAGAACCAGCAGACATCGCCATAGAGGAACATCGTGTCGTCGCACCAACTTCTTTTGGTGTTCTGCTTGTACCAAGGCGGCAGTATCTGAAGCTGACCTTGATCTCTTTACTTCTACAACTCTTCGTAAATCAATGCGTTCGATCCTGCTAAAGCTTGGCTGTGGACTATCCTCGTCCTTCAGGGCAACTCCCAAAATAGGATGATACTTCAGCGTCCTTCCCAAGGCCGAGTAGACCAAGCCAAGGACGTCTCTACTTCGAAAGCCGGGTGTCGCGCTAGGAAAGGAATACTCTGCGGAAAGCACCGCGACATTGTAGTAACCGACTTCGTGCTGATGAACGAGGTATTTCTCGAGGGGACCTGTTCAACAGTTACAATTCGATTAGTCCATTGCTTGTGGTTTCATGCGGGTCTGATTGTGTAGTTACCCAAGGGCCGCAGTGGAATTTGGTCCATCTTCCTGCGCTCTTCCAAAGATTCCGGAGTTTGCGTAGAGGCCGCTGCAAAGTGTGCCGTGTCAAGACTGTGAACAACAAATTCTTTGCAGAATTAGACCAGCGTGGCGCTACACCCAACCAGATTGGCGGATCCTAGCCCACCCTGGCTAACAGACGCAATCATTTGGTAGTAAGCATACCTGCAGGTCTAACGTTAAGTCCGCCGTGACATTCGCTGGAAAGCATAGGTAAACGCTGGCCATGAGATGTGTTCGGCTTTTTCGTTTTGTTCCCTATTCAGGCAGTACTTACGAACTGGGCAATTTGAATTTCCGAGGCTGACGAATTTCCGGTTGTTGATTGTATCGACAAAAGCCTATCACATAGTCCCGGCTAAGAAGCATTCACCCGCTTTGCAATCCGCTTCTGTCTAAGAAGAGTCCGGTTCAAATTCATCCACTAGCTGGAAGGACACGAGCTGGAAGCTTTCAACCTTAAATGGCGTCAACCCCAAATGTTGCGTGTTTGCGTTTGTCGGACATATCGTCCTCACCGTCAAACACCCCGCACCATGGCGCTATTCCCGGTTCAGTAACAACATGGACCACTTCCTGGACCTGAACATCATGACGAACTGTCAATAGTCGAGATCGACCCACAGTTCCATCCCTCCACATTCAGATGCGACCCGAGGAAGCGGCGCGTGTGTGTGCATGGACATAGGGTTTCCCATAGAGTTCAGCGGTCCACGTTTATAGTTGGAACGAACACACCAAGAGTTGATTGCGTACACCATGTTCCTAGTCTACAGGGCAGGTGAGAACTTACACTCTTTGCAAAGATTACTTCCTGAAGCGCTTCACGTGGCTCCATGAACGGGTGACATGGGGCGCTGGCGTGATTAGTAGTAAGGGTGCTGCAACGAAAGTTGCCGTAGCAGAGGTTTCGATAGCAAAGATGGATGGCGGATCAGCAGGGCTAGCAGCGCCGGGTTCGGGTTATGCGCATTGAAAGAACGAACATCCCGAACTCCAACGTATCCAACGTGCCGGAATGGCACTTGGTTTGTGAAAAGTCTGAAAAAGGGCAATTTACCCGCCGGCCAAGTTGAGACGGTCCCCTTGTTCAAGAAACTTCTGTTCTTGAGCTTCTCCCCTCAGTTAACTCGCTCGCTTGCATTTCGCTTGCGGCTTCTGTTTCGTTTTCGCTTCTCGAACCAGAGCCGGTGAAAGGGCCGAACGAAACAACTTATTCAATTTGGGATGATCGGGGAATATGTTGTTCGTCTTACTAGAAAAGCGTGCATCTAAAGGTTTATGTATTGAGTATAGCACTTATTCAATAATGCGATTGGCACATGTGCCACTCCACGGGCATCTGCCCATTCTCTTGCCATGCCGAGACTGAATTGCCTCTCGAGGTCAGCAACACATCCAAGCTATCGGAGAATCTCATCCTCACAAGACTTTGCCAAATATATCGAAAATGGCGCTACGCACCAATGGATTTGTGCCACCATCCACTCAAAAGGGTCTCGTTATGGACGAAAAGGAACAGCTCTTTGTGTGGAACGAGGCCCCTTGCCCTATTTTGCCTCGCGACCAAGCTCTCGTGCGCATCGAAGCTGTTGCTCTTAACCCGAGCAACACAAAAATGAAGACAGACTTTGCTAACCCATTTGCGATCATGGGTGCTGATTTTGCTGGCACAGTTGTTGCAGTGGGGCCAGATGTAGTTGGCGTTGGAGTTGGTGATCGGGTGTGTGGAGCACAAAACGAGATGTTCAAGTATACGCCAGAACAAGGGGCGTTTGCTCAGTATACCGTGACGCGCGGCAAAATGTGGATGAGGGTTCCAGACGCATGGACCATAGAATCAGCCGCGTCGATACCTGTGGGAATATGCACCGCTGGTCTAGCTATAAAATCGCTAGGCTTACCATTGCCAAACGAACCTGTTGCGAAAGCCAAACATGTGCTCGTTTACGGCAGTAGTACTGCGACGGCAACAATTGCTATGCAACTGCTAAGACTGTAAGTCTCCTCACTTGTTGAGCGGTTTACCCTTTCGAGCATTTCGGCGCTGCCCATCTGACCACGTACTCCGTACATAGCGCGGGCTTGATCCCAATAGGGATTTGTTCTCCAAAACATTTCGATTTGTCGAGGAAGAATGGTGCTCAGGACGTATTCGATCGCTTCGACAAGGACGTTGCGCAAAAGATTGTAAATGGACTCTGCCGCTCTTTCCTTTGACACTCAAACAGACTCCTGAGGCTAATCGCTCTTCGTAACTAAGAAAGCTCACACGCGAAACAACTTGAAATATGCATTGGACTGTATTTCTACCGTTGAGTCTACAACCGTGTGCTTTAACGCAATGGGGCGCGCGGGAGGAAACTACGTTGCACTCGAGCCATTCCCTGAGCATGCCGCAACCCGTGCGGTAGTGACCAAAGACTTCGTTGTCGGTCCCTGTATCTTTGGCGAAGGCTGTACGTATCCAGCGCCATATGGTCGCGAGCCGGATGACAAGATGCGTGCATTGGGCGTTGAGTTGTGGGAAGTTGCGGAGAGACTGGTGCATGAGGGCAAACTCAACCACCATCCCGTCCGCATATTAGAAGGTGGATTCGAAGGTATCCGGAAGGGCCTGGAGTTGCTCACGCACAAGGGTGTATCAGGAGAGAAGATTGTAGTCCGAATGGAAAGCTGACGTCGCATCTAAACCTCAGGGCGACAAACAGTGTCGCACAAATTGCACATCTTTCAGGGTTCAATTACTATGTAGAAAACAACACAGCGCTGCTTCCAATCATAAACCGTACGACCACTTGCATATGCTGCTGTCTCCCGAAAATAAGAACCTTGTTCTCGGGAACCCCATACTAACTTTAATTCCCCCTCTCCGTCCAGCCGTCCGATCCCTTCGTAGCCCCTTATTTCTTTTCGACTTACTCAGCTCCACTGCCACAAAGCTTCAGTAATGACTCTCTTATTTCAGCAGTCACCTTGGAAGCTGCGACTGAAACCAGCTTCATCTCGATTACAATCATACAAGCTATCATGACTTGCCAACAACATCATGTTTGGCACGTTTGGCCTGCCTGGGGCCATGTCACCAGTACTATTTCTCTCATCACCGAGATGCTTGAAGTGAATCAGTCTTTAGCTGTAACCTTTGTATCTCACGCTTTTCTAGGTAAGATCTCATCCAGCTTAAGTTTGAAAATTTGCTGCGTAACACAGCGTTGTGCCACGAAGCACGAGTGACGCAACAGTGCGATGTTGACTTCATTTTAGACCTCAGTCAATATTCGGATGCGCCACGGGAGCGATTCCATGTTGTCCTAGTTGGGGAACCGAAGTGAGTATTGAAGTATTTCCTGGAACTAGTTATTTCCTTCGAGAAACAAAGATTATTGATCAAGATCATTTTAGTCTACTTCAGAATAAGGGTGTGACGGTCGAAGATATCACAAATCAATTGTCCAAGGGATGGATAGAGACGCTACAGCAGATCAGCAAACCGGGACGCGAGTGGCCAAGGCCAACAGCGCTGATGCTGGATCACATCGGGTCATTAGACACTCTACCGCAGGCGCGACGAATCTCAGGCACAGAATGTAAAATCCTGTTATATTGGGCAGGTAGTGCTGCTCGTCTCTTCTCTTACCTCGCACCTTCATCGGAAGGGGGGTTCAGCGACTGGGAATCGATTGCACACAAGTATTTCTCCGACGAGGCCCTGCGCCAGGGAAGGAGCTTTGATGAAATAGTTGAGCAAGTGAGTATACGAACCTTGTTGCCCAGTCAATATGTCGTTCTGATGGATTGGCGATCATTCATAGGTCTGCATTGCCAAAAATGGACATGATGCCTTTAATGGAACCGTGATAAGCATTCCTGGTTGTAAGGAGATTTATGACTATGAACGAGAATTCGGCGAATTCGGCATGATTAGGACAGGTGAGCTGCTCATTCTGTGGGAGACCTGATCCCGTGGACATCAATCATACTAATTCTGGTTGAAGTCGTCTCTTCATTGCTCCGGGAGACCGTTACGCTTGTCCAAGCCACTGATGGCATCATCTGTGCTTCGGCGATGGCACTAGAAGGAGAAACCCTTACTGCTTGCAATAAGTATACTGCTGTATACCCTGTTGGAGTTCAAATAGGGCCGAAGAACTGGTCTCGGGACGGATTGATTGAGGATGAGAGAATACGATCTTATCTTGATCGCCATGCCAAGGACGAGGTACTCGTCATCTCATTTGGGTAAGAAGCCCCATCACTATTACACCCCCGGGAGCCGCCACACGCTTTTAAGTGTCCTTCCATCAGTCTCACATTTTTTACCCAAGGTCTCTGGTCTTCCCAACCAACCGCGCAAATTTTCAGGCTCTTATATCCACCTTGAATGAGATGAAGTATCCATTCATCTTGATTATTGGGGGCATGCATGCGAAGAAATACATTGATGCTTCAGACATAGAAAATATTCAGAGCAGTGGAGTCGGCCTTGTGTGCGACACATGGGTTGATCAACAAGCAGTTCTCCAGCATCCGTCGGTAGGAGTTTTACTTGCCCACGGTGGGTGGAATTCGATGATGGAAAGCTTTGTCCAGGGCATCCCACTCGTGGGCTGGCCGCTAGCTCCTGGAGATAATTCTATTAACGTGGCATTGGCGTCAACGAGGGATAGACCTATTGCATTTGAGATCATGCAGGTAAGCCTTTCGATATGCACCAGCTTTGGCAGTACACGCTTGTGACGGTTCAGCGACTAAGTTTATAATTCTTGTTCAGATCAGGACCGGCAGCGCCAAAGCCAAAGCAAGACGAGGAGGCCCTGATATCATTGGTAGCGAAGAGGCTGTAAGACAAGAGTTTGAGGAAATCTTGCGCAAGACAAAAGAAGCCGAAGGCAAACGAATCCGTGAAAATACCCAGAATCTTGCTGTTGAGCTAAGAACAGAAAAGAGGGAAGCTGCTCGGCAAGTGATTACCACCTTGGCATTTATCTGAAGTGGAGGAACCATACCGGATTCACTGTAATCTCAGCTTGTGGGATGCAAAATGCACAAGTCTGGACTCTTGAAGGAGGGGATGAAATAGTTTGTGATGTCCTTGCAGTATCTTTTCAATGTATGCTACTGTCGGATCACTACGTACGCCATGGACGGTGCAGGTCATTGTTATAGAGAACTAGGTTGTAACATTGGTTGTAAGTGGCAAATTTGCTATTGCGATAAAAGGTTTCGAAGCTGTACATCTTCTATTGATTCTCTTATGGGCATACAGAGCAACGGAGTAAGGCAAATACTAAACGACGTAAAGTCAAATGCACCTCACTCTGACCATCATGTGGTCAGTTACTGCAAAGTCTCTGATTTTCTCAAGGTCATCTTTGTCTCGGGGAAGCTCATGACCTCCATCGAAGCTTTCCAATCGGGCCCTGTCTTCCACAAAATGTGTTGCAAACATTTTCTTAGACGATGGGGCGCCGAATACGTCTTGCCGTCCATAAAGGTGCAAAGTAGGTAACCTGATTGTCATGGTTTGACCCTCGCGTTGGTTGTCGTCCAGATCCCGCATGCACGTCTTCATGGCCTCGGAGTATCCCGAACAAATTAAGATGCCGAACTCCAGATCCGGAAGCCATGGTATGAGACCAGCCTGTTGCTCCCACAGTAATAGCGTTGATGCAATGGCGCCTTGAGAAAAGCCCAATACCCCGACAATCGCTCCTGAAGGGTTTTCGGCTTTCCAGGTCCGGACGGTGTTTTCGATGCAGTGATTGAAGATGGCAATCTCGTGTCTTGTTGCTTCAATCCCCTTCCTGAACCATGTGAAGTAAGGCGGCATCTTTGCGAAAAATGGCAGGACTCCCGGACCGGGCTCCGAGGCATGAGGCGCTCTTGCGAACACGAATGTGAACTTGTCCTTCAGAGTAGCCCGAATTCTGGAGGTTTGAAATTTGTATATAGCATCGGACGAACCGCTGCCATGTAGAAGAAGTATCGCACCATTTTGACGAGAGCGATTCATTTTGTTCATAGTGATATTGCACGCTTCTGCGGAATACATCGAAGATCTCGATGTCCCGCGACGTGTGGTTTGGCATATTCTTTATCACAACTTACAACCATCCATCTAACTAGGGGATGCGCTCTCGGAATCGGCTAGAGTGGTTTACTCGAAGACGGCATCGGCGAAATTTACCCGTATTGAGCAAATATGGCCCGCACATGTACTTAGATGGGCAAAACTCTGTTGCTGAATAACATGCCATCACAAGATTCTCACTAAAGTAGAGGTAAAGTCTACTTAAACCTACATATTGTTCTAGCGTCCCGTGGGATGGTCGGAGTTTAACTTGGATTCCGCGCTAGAAATTTCCCTTGGACTACGAGGATAAGTGATCGAGAAGTCGTTAGTGCGCATCGGGAGCTGAGCGATTTTCCGCCGCGTGGAGGCGGAAGTCTGAGTATTCCAACGGCCACCCAGAAACCTTACCGCAGTAGCGGTAACCGTCACGGCACCTCGCCGATGCTATCGGGATTTGTTGGCGCTCGAGGGGTCGACGGATAAACGTCTTTCTTTCGTTAATTGAATAAAGATTTCAGTGTTTGTTATGCGGTAAGAATTTCATACCGAGTATTCGTACGGCTGTGACCTCTTAATTGCATGCGCTGATACATGCACCCATACTATGACTCCCTCACAGAGTGGCTTTGGAGTAGTCAACTGCAACAAGATTGAGTCCTCAATCATCATTTACAATTGCAAAACACGGTATTGATCGAAGGTCTGGTTGCGCAAATTCAACAATGGGCGAACACGTCAATGTCAGTCGAGGTGCCGGCGACGACCCCGTGGTCGTTTGTGGCATGGCCATGAGACTACCCGGAGGCGTCAGTAACGCGGATGACTTTTGGGACATGTTGATGCAGAAGCGCTGCGCATCCGTGCCGGTGCCAAAAGACCGTTTCGACATTAGCGGGTATTATAGCGAGAAGCCACGCCCGGGGACTATGCAAACCAAGAAGGCATACTTCCTGGATCACGTTCAACTCGATCGGTTCGATGCCTCGCATTTTTCCTATGGTCGAAGTGAGCTTGAGCAGATGGATCCTTTGCAACGATTGCTCCTGGAGGTTAGTTGGGAGTGCCTTGAAAATGCTGGCGAGACAGACTGGCAAGGCGAAACGATCGGCTGCTATGTGGGCTCGTTTTTTGAGGACTGGAGTGTCGAGATGCAACGGGACCCTCAATACTACAGCAACTACCCAACTGGAAAATGGGACATCATGCTTTCAAATAGAATCTCGCATGCATTTGATTTCCGGGGCCCAAGGTATGTGAAGCTAGAAACCCCGGATATTACTGTTTACTACGTCGTCAGAAAAGCAATCTAATTAGTGTCTATATACAGCATGACTGTGAAAACTGGGTGCTCATCGTCATTGGTAGCTCTGAACCTCGCTGTTCAATCTTTGGAATTAGGAGAATGCACTTCTGCGCTTGTGGCTGGCTGCAGTCTGTTCCTGTCGGCGCCCCTTTCTGCCGCGGGCGCATCCGGAGCTTTAGGAAATATCGCCTCTCCGGATGGTGTCTGCAAGACCTTCGACGCCGCCAGCGATGGAATTGGACGGGGTGAGGCCATCAATGCCGTTTACATCAAGCGACTGTCGCAGGCCCTTCGAGATGGAAATCCCGTGCGGGCCGTGATTCGTTCGATTGCTACTCAGCATGACGGCAGAGAGCCCGGCCTGATAATCCCTAATGGGCATGCACAAGAGGCGCTTATTCGGCATACATATGACAAGGCCGGAATCACCAAGTACTCTGAGACGTCCTTTTTCGAATGCCACGGCACGGGCACGCGAATTGGGGATCTTACTGAAGTTGGAGCCATAGAAAGGATCTTCAAAGAAGATGGCGTCATTATCGGTGCTGTAAGTAACATTCTTACACCAACCGGTTTTAGCAATTCATGGATTGACCAAGCTTTGTTTTCTCTGCGACCATAGGTGAAGCCCAACGTCGGACATTCAGAGGGTGCCGCTGCCCTGACGAGTGTCATCAAGGTGATACTTATGCTTGAGAAGGGCGTCATTGCGCCCAACACCAACTTCAACACACCCAATCCCAATCGTAAGTGCTTATCGAGATTCCTGTCCATACACATTTTGACCATACACTCATATCCACGTGTAGTGCCATGGGCCGGTGGGAAAATCAGGGTTGCTTCAGAGCCTGAACCGTTTCCTCTGAATCGTTTGCGGAGAGCTAGCGTGAACTCGTTCGGAATGGGGGGTGCCAACTGCCATGTATGAAATGACCTTCTTTTCCTATTCTGCCGCAATTCCTGATGTCAAAACTCGACCGGTAATCTCAGCCATAGCTAACACTCATAGGCTATCTTAGAACATCCCCACCTGTGGTTCGACGCTGATTGCCAGCCACGGATGGAAACGTCTTCAAGAGACACAGATGAAAGTAACGTCCTGTTGCTTTCAGCGTCGAATCCAAAGTCGCTAGAGCTGCTCCACCAGGCTTACGAGCAGTATACCATTGCAAGCTATGGGCGTTGTAAATTGTCGGATTTGGCATACACTCTCGGCTGTCGACGAACGAAGCTGAAATACAGAGGTTTTTGTATCGCTCGAAACGATACAGTCGGGCAGCGCACGACGACCCAGCCAGAGCTGCGACTTTCCGTTGCCAGTAGCGATGAGCCAAAGACGCTTGTTTTCGTGTTTAATGGCCAGGGAGCCCAATGGCCCACGATGGGCAAGAATTTGATCCTGAAGAACAATGTTTTTCGCCAGTGTATTCGTGACTTGGACGGCGCGCTCAAAACGTTGAAAACTGGTTGGACGATTGAAGGTATGGCGCCCTCGCCTATCCATTGACGTCTATGGCTCTTACACGAGATCCTGCAAAGGCTTTGGTAATGCTGATATCTTATAGAGGAACTTCTGAAATCGGAAACCGAAAGTCGCATCATGAAATCGGAGTATGCTTTACCGTGCAGCACCGCTATTCAAATCGGACTCCTCGCTGTCCTGCGAAGTTGGGGCGTGATTCCGAACGTAGTGACCGGCCATTCCAGTGGGGAGATCGCTGCTGCCTTTGCGGCTGGTGCCATAACAGCAGATGAAGCGATCATCGTCGCATACTTCCGAGGCTACGTTTTGAACAGAACCAGGACACAGCACTCAGGAGCTATGGCTGTGATTGGGGTCGGCTCCAAGGACATTTCTGAGCGGCTACTACCCGGAGTAGTTATCGCTTGTGAGAACAGCCATGTTAACACGACCATCTCCGGAGACGCGTGTGCGGTTGAGGCTATGGTGACAAAATTCAAAGCAGGTGGCATATTTGCTAAGCTTCTTGATGTGGACCTTGCGTTTCATTCCGGTTAGTACCAGTTCTAGATATACTTGGGTGTAATAATGTAATGCTAATACGGGGTGTGAAACCTCTAGCGCATATGAAGGACTTTGGCTTAGCTTATGAAGAAGCGATTCGCCCGTTTCTCAGCGCTGCCACACCTCGGCTACCTATGTTCTCCAGTGTCACGGGGGATCTCATAAAGACCGTCAACTCCTTGGGCGCTACACACTGGCACCAGAGTCTCGAGCAACCTGTGCTGTTTAATAAGGCCCTCACAAACCTCCTGAAGCAAATCGAGACACCAAACCTTGTCATCGTTGAGGTTGGTGCTCGCCCTTCTCTCAAGAGCCCAATCAGACAGGTGATGGAAAGCACGTCCACCGACAAAGCCAGCTACCTTCCAACATTAGAGGAAAATAAGGATTGCTACGAAAGCCTTCTCAGACTTGCCGGGCGGCTCTTTTGTGAGGGCGTCAAGTTGAAGTATCAGGCCATCACACCGCCAGGAAAAACGTTGTTCGATGTTCCAGCATATACTTGGGTCCATGAACAATCCTTCCAGGGACAACACCGTTTGTACAGGGCGTACAGAGACTGCAAGTACCCCATGCATGAACTACTTGGAAGCCAGGTGTTTGAAACCAGTGCTCTTGAGCCGAGATGGAGGAAGGTACTGCTTCTTGAGGACATCCCCTGGCTTGGAGACCACGTCGTCAACGATCAGGTCATCATTCCTTTTGCAGCGTACATATCGATTGCCGAACAGGCGCTTCGTCAAGTCAATGGAGGCCTTCTGGAGTCCTTCTCGGCCCAGGATTTCTCTGTTTCCGCGGCACTGCATTTGGAGCCTGGCCGTCCAGTTGAGATACATACCAGACTGCGACGTCTTGTTTCCGACGAGAATGCGCCTGTCAGCTACGACGTGCAAATCACTTCCTGGAAGAATAATATTTGGACGGAGCACTGTCACACAGTAGTTACCGCGGAGCCTCATCGAGCCCACAGAGGCTTTGCAAAACGCGAGTTTCCTCGCCAGCTCTCTCGAGCCACCTGGTACAAGATTACGCAAGATCTAGGCTTTACATATGGGCCGTCTTTCAGAAGGCTGGAACACATTACGGTCAGTCCCAGTGTGCAGCAAGCAACAGCCCGTGTGAACCCACCGGAGAACACATCAAAAGACTCAACCTGCAGCTATCTTGTGCATCCCACCGCACTCGACCAGTGTTTGCAGACTACAGGCATCTCACTCTGCCATGGTCTGCAGCGAAAAGCCACGTATATGGCCACACCCACCTATATCCAAAGGATCTTTGTTCGTCAGTATGCTGGGTCCTTTTGGGCAACGGGAAGGATGAATCAGGTTGCGCAGGACCACATTTCCGGAACGGTCCATGCATACGCAGATGATGGGGAGGGGATTGCCATCATGGAAGGCATTGAGGCTCATCAGATCCGTAGTTCCTTGCAGGGCGAGACGGAGGCTCCTCCAATTGTCAGCGCGCCTCACTGGCGTCCTCACGCAAGCTTCTTCCCTTTCCAGACCCTGAATGAGGCTCCCTTCTTCGACGCGGATGACATCAAGAGAATGCTCCACTTGTTGTTTCTCCTAGTATTGGAGATGCAGTCGAGTTATGCTCAAGTCAACAATGACATTGGCAACATTCCCGACCAGGGCGCAACCAAGGCGTGGGTTGATCAACAGATTCAAAGGGCGCAGGAGGCAGGGTACGGTGTATTGTCTGCGACTACCTGCCGAAATATTGTTCAAGACAACATAGAAAACCGCCAAGCGGCACAACAGAAGATACGGATCGAGTTACAGAGCAGCCGTCTACACGACATGGATCTGACGATGGAGAAGTTGTTCAAGAACCCCCTGCAGCACACGAAGGAAGCGCTCCGAGACTCCATCGTGTCCCAAGGCCTCTGGCCGCTACGAGCTAAAAAGCTTTTAGAAGTTGCGATGCCTATTCTGACACACACGAATCCTCAGCCGAAGATTTTGCAGATCGGCTCAGCTGGCGGAGCCAACAGTACAACTTTGACATTGCTGCAGCTTCTCCAGCCAGAGAAGGGGACGCAGCTTTTCTCAACATACACATATGCGTCGATTTCACCAGACTCTCTAGAAACCGCAGAAGACGACTTTGCAGATGTCCGAGGCTTTGAGGTGCGAAGCTGGGATGCGATGGGAGGGGATACAAGTCTCGCTCAGTCGTATGACATTATTGTTTGTGCCGACGTGCGTCTTCTCGCTTTCTGCAATATTATGAAAGCATTTACTGATGTATACATATGCAGATACTCTCTAACGAACGTGACACTTCTCAAGACTTGCTGCAGATCAAGCACTTACTTCGCCCTTCCGGAGGGCTGATTCTGCTGGAGGCTCTTTTTGGTCAGTACATAGGACCCGTCACCCGAAACATGCGCCGCGTTCAACAGTGGTAGTTAACTTGAATATTTAGCCGATTCATTTCTGACGTCTATTGATGTGAGTCCAAGAAAGTCTCATTCTCATTTGCAAACAGACATGTAGATACTCATGGGCATAACAACACTTGCTCTGACAAAAATCTCCAGTCCGGGCAGACACATTTTTCAAGTCATTCAGGCTAACATATTCCCAGGTTCTGTTAAAAAGCCAAACGCCGCACATCTCAAAGGATGTTCTGTTTCCCATTATACGGGACCTTGGCTTCGTTTTACCTAAAGATGATCAACATAAGAACCAGGTGACCCCCATCCTGCGGTTGCGTCACTTCAACCAGCTCGAGTCGAGCTCCACACCTGTCAGCATCGTCACAAACAAGGAGGATAGCGCCTTGATAGAAAGTTTCAAGTCGGTTCTACACTCGTCTTCAATTCCAGTCCGGACATACAACGCAGATACCTGTATTAGTGAGTCTGCCTCGCTACCTACCGAGGGAACCCTCGTATTCTTCCTCGACCTAGATCGCCCTTGGATCTACCACCTGAAAGAGAGTGAGTTCCCCGCGTTTATCCAACTCCTAAGCACCGGCACCTCAAAACGCCCTATTGTCTGGGTCACGCCGTTGTCCCAGATCAGCTGTGACGACCCGCGCTCGGCTATGATTTACGGGCTGGTTCGCACGCTGCGATCGGAGTTAAAGGCCGACATAACAATTGTCGAGGTCGACCCTGGAGATGTTGCGAATAGTAAAAAATGTGCAAGTTCTCTCACGCGCATCATCCAACATCTACCGCACCGATGCTTTGATGGTGCACTCGACCCGGACTTTGAGTTTGCGATTACGAGAGAGCATGGCATCGTGGTACCGAGGCATCAGTGGACAACAGTGCATCAGGAACTCTCTCGATGCTCCGAACAACAAATAATCGGAGCGTCGACGTTTGCAAAGCTCGCCCCAAGAATTACAGGCAATTTGGCTTCATTGCGATGGCTTACATGCCCCTTGCCGGTTCTGGACGCCCGCCATGTCCGAATAGAGGTGAAAGCAGCCGCGGTAAACAAAGAGGTGCGTCTCAGACAATGGCCAGCGCAGAGCGGTCTTGCGTGGGTGCTGAGGATGAGCGAGTAACTTATCGCTGGTTATTTTAGGATGTAATCATAGCCCAGGAGGCCTCCGATCCAAACCAGGTCCTGTTCGGACAGGAAGCTGCTGGCATCGTCACGGTCGTGGGCGATGATGTGTCGTCTTTCCAGGTAGGAGACCGAGTCGTCATTCTTTCAACTGACAAAGGCGCCGTAGCCAGCCATCTGGATGTCTTGCCGTCGAGTTGTCTGCGCTTGGGTGAGGATTTCGCGTTTGAGGCCGCGGCGGCTATGCCACTGGCATGCGTTGCGGCCGAGTTCACAGTAGGAGAATTTGGGAGAATGGCAAGCGGGGAGGTCAGTATTGCCGTCCAAATATATGGGGGATATCCTGAGAGTTACCTGGATGTACTGACCCATCGTCTGATTGAAGGATGTTATTGTGCTGTTTACTCTGAGCGATCTATGTCTTGCAACCGTCGAATTGCTGCGGAAAAGAAGGGCAGAGGTAAGGACGTGAAAGCGCAAATTCTGGTTCAGGCACGCATTCGCTGCTGATCGATTTTCGTGACAGATCCGCTTCATCATCACTTCCGAGTCCGACAGATTGCTTTTGGAAAATGCTTTCGGCATCGCTGTAGACTTCATCGTGTCAGCCCCGGAAGATGCTCTGTCGTGGCCGAAAGCAACCTGTATGATTGCATTCGGCGGCCTTGTTCCTGACTGGGCGCTGCAATATCTGTCCCCTACTGGCATCTTCCTAGACGTTCTAGATCATCCAGGCAAGGCAAGAGACTCCCAAACAGTCAAGATCACTGCAAGTCAGGCACATCGCATCGTCGACATGCAGGCTCTTAGCCACCAGAGTCCAGAATCGGTGCAAAGGTAAGCGCATACAGCCGTGGTGCGCTGATGCAAATTCATACCACTAAAGTCACAATTGAGTTGAGAACTGACTTAGGTACTTAGGGTATGGAGAATGTGCCACGAGTATTTTCTCGGAGACGCGCAGCCAGCAGATTGGGCACGACTTGCCAAGATATTCAAGCCAAGCCAAGTCCACGAGGCGTTCCGTGCTGCTGCTGGACAGAAGAACCAACCAACCACCAAAGTGGTGCTCCAAACTCCAACAACCGACCCGCAGAGCGATTCTCCGTTGTCGTCCGTTCAGGTCATGCCTGCATCACCTCAGTTTCGTTCGGATGCTGCTTACTTGCTTGTCGGTGGCTTAGGCGGCATTGGCCGCGCTGTGGCAACGTGGATGGCAGAGCATGGTGCTGGGGAGTTGATTTTCCTCTCTCGCTCTGCAGGCACTGGACCACAAGTTGAATCCTTTTTGGGCGAGCTGCGAGACCAAGGCTGTGTCGTCAAGGCGGTTGCGGGCAGTGTTGCGATCTTGGAGGATGTCACGAGGGCTGTGAACGCGGCGGATCGACCCATCGCTGGTGTGTTCCAAATGTCCATGGTCTTACGGGTACGTTGATCCTCACGACAGACCTTGTCTCAATCTTACCGTCATCTAACGGATTTCACAGGACAACGCAATACTACGCATGACATACGACGAATGGCGAGCATGCATCGAGCCCAAGATTCAAGGCACGGAGAATCTTCATAAGGCCTTGGCGCAATCTTCCTTGGACTTTTTTGTGCTGTTCTCTTCTATCGGCGGGCTGGTCGGGAACATTGGACAAGCCAACTACAACGCCGCGAACACCTACCTCGACGCTTTTGTCCGGTACCGCCATAGTCTTGGGCTCCCAGCATCGGTCATCGATATTGGGATTATGGGTGGCATTGGGGTTATCGCTAGTACGGGCACCATGCAAGACAGAGCCCAGGCGGCGGGATACCACGTTCTTTGCGAGGAAGACCTCCTGGAGGCCATCACCATCAGCATACACCATTCTCATTTAGGCCCTATGCCCAGTCGAGACGATGCATATTCACATCTCAGCCAGATGGCCCTCGGTCTGTGGTCGGAGCAGCACCTAGCAGACCCTTTGACGCACGTCCTTTGGAAAAAGAACGCCCACACGAGTGCGGCACACAGTATCCATCCAGAGAACTTGGCTTCGATGACACCAGAACTTTCCTCTACGAAATCGGAGTTGGCAACGATAATGAGAATTGCGAAGAGCACACCTGACCGACTGCTGCATGATGAAACAATTGGACTGATCGTCAAGCTGCTTGGGACTGCTATTGCACAATTACTTGCACTTTCCAGCGCTGAAATCGGGCCGGAGGCTGCGCTGGACGACCTTGGGCTCGACTCGTTAAACGCAAATGAGCTAACAAGCTGGATATCACAACATATGTTGGTTGATCTGCCGTTGCCTGATCTCATACAATCGGCAACCATACACGACCTTGCGGACAAGATTGCTGGACTACTGGAGGATAAATTCGGAGAAGCCCAGATATAGTGAATTATATAGCTCGAAACAAGTTACAACGTCTTGTTTATTTGCGCATTGTAGACCTGCCCCTGGGCCAACTTGCTTCTGAAGCAATGTTCTTCCTTCCTGGCCTTTTTGCCCACTTTCTCCTGTGCCGTCCTCCGCAGCATCATCAAGCCATTGAAGAGTTATTTCATTAGAGGAGATGTCAATTGAGATGGGGCCGCGATACGTCTCAAGATGCACTTGGGCATGTTGTAACCGCCATGAGTTTAAATGGAATTCATCTAACGGTGCGCCCCGGCTTTCGATTTATCTCTGAACCAACTCATCGGCAAGTAAAGAGCAAATCCCTGGTTAACGGGGCATGAACACCTCATCTTTGTCGTCACCAAAAGTCAATTCAGAATAATCTGAAGTGGTTGAAGTTTATGATATAGGGTTTAGGAGGCAATGGGCGGAAAAGGGTCCCATTTCCGATGGCACATTTTTTACTTTGTCGGGAGTTGTTTTCAAACCCAAAATGATGGGCCCGGTTTAGGTTAGCCGAGAAGACAAGGAAACCAGGGAGATGGCATTTTGCAGTGAACATGGTATCTTAGGTTAGGTGTTAGAACAGAGTTCTTCCCGCCACTCTGCCGGCATGGGCAGAAAGGGCAAAGAGAGTACGAGGTTCTCGGGGAGGTTCTCGGGGTTCTCAGAAGGGTGGTCTCGTTTCGGAACATTATCGAAGTATTTATCAATCGTTGACTGTTGATTCATGGATAAAATTGCAGCGTGGATACTTTCCTCGTGCTAGGTAGGGCTTGCTAAGATGGAGGCACATCGGGGTTTATTGTCTGCCTACTCTGTATTTGCTGTGATTCGAAAGTTTGGTTAGCTCAACTGCGCCCCCAACCATGGGTTTGGTCCGATTCAGGTTTGCTCATCAAATGCATTTTCTTAGGCCCGAAGAGACCGAGGAATTGGTCTGGCACGCTGGCTTTAGACTTTGCTACCAATGTAAATACCCTTTCAAACGAAACCAAGATACGTTCTCTAGATTATCGTCTAATGCGATAGAAGCCTTCAACTTATGCGATACTCCGTACCCACCCTCCTGGAATGGGTATAGATATGTGCATCGATAATCACCCCGATCAGTGTCACTATAAATTATACGTTTGAAGTTTGCCGAGTAGATCATTTGCAATACTTCGATACTACGCAACGCAAGACCAAGATGACCTCTGGGCCTCCACAAAAACGGCCCCAGGAGGAGTTGCCAGAGATCGATGCGGTGGAGTGGGCAACGCAAGACGTCGAGAAACGCTTTTCTGTTGGCTTCAACCCAGGCCACATCAGGACCAGCGTTTGTTCTGATTCGAGTAAAATTGACGCCCTGAACCAAGCTCCGGCACTTCCAGAAGCAGTGAAGCCTCCAAGGCGCATGGTGGCAGCAACAGTAACAGGACTACTTATCGCCGTGCTACTTATGGCACTTGATGTCAACATTCTTGGTACGTATGACTACACGGACGAATGTAATTTTGCAACATATGTAGTGAACACAAATAACCCGTGATCTGTGGTAGCCACGAGTGTTCCTAAGATTACAACGGAATTCAAAAGCCTTCGTGATGCGGCTTGGTACGTCGCGGCTTTCTCGCTAGCCCGGCTTGCAACTCAGCCTATTTATGGCCAGTTGTATACTCTCTTCTCTATGAAATACACATTTTGCTGTAGCCTGGCTATTGTAATCATGGGTAAGTTCATCATGCAGCGTCTCGTAGATTGATCGGTCATTTTATTCCTCGTTTAGTTAGTAATGTTATACCAGGTTCCACCATTTGCGCTGTCTCACCAAATTCTATGACCTTGATCATTGGCCGAGGCGTTCAAGGTCTAGGGTCCAGTGGCGTGGCTTCAGGTGCTCTAAATATTGGCGGTTACACCGTTTCGAAAGCGAAGATGCCTTTGATGATCTCGCTCATGGGCTCTATGATGATGACAGCGGCCCTCGCAGGCCCTGTACTCGGAGGTGCTTTCACGGAAAGCGTTCTGACTTGGCGATTCGGCTTTTGGCTCAACCTGCGTATGTATTCGATGTAATCCTGTCTAATTGTTGGTTATAGGCTGACCGTAATCTGATGGAAGCACTATCTGCTATTAGTATGGTCTTGGTTTGGATGACTTTCCCAGAGCCTCACAGACCTTCTACCAAAATTCCACTCAGAGACAAGCTCATGAGGCTGGATCCTACAGGTAGCATTCTAATATTGAGCTCCATGATCTGCCTAGTTTTGGGCCTTCAGTGGGGTGGCAATCTCTTGCCGTGGACTAACAGAAACGTTCTTGGATGTTTGATCGGGTTTGGGATATTGTTTTCTCTATTTTTATTACTGCAAATCAAGCAGAAAGACAAGTGAGTTAGACATGGCTTTCATCCTCATTCGTAAACCTTGAGCCCAGCCATTCATCACGTTCATTCAAGAGCGGTATACCTGCGCACGCTAATTTCAAATTGCACACAGAGCTCTTGTGCCTCTTCGCATCGTCACGCAGCGAACCGTCGGACTGGGCTGTATCGCAACGACGTGTACGTATCTGGCTGTCACTGTCTTGGCGTATTACATGCCGTTCTACCTACAGGCTGCCAAAGGCCTGTCTCCGAGCATAGCTGGATTATACATGCTCGCACTGGGGGGGCCAGAGACGCTGGCAACCATCGCTTCAGGCGCCTTGATTACATACACGAAGCACTACGTTCCAATGCTGGTACTGGGCGGAGCAGTGTTTTCTCTTGGCAGCGGCCTCCTGTCGACCCTCACCACCGGCAGCAACGCCGGACAAATCATAGGGTACGAAGTTTTGACCAGTATTGGGCTCGGTTTCGGCGGTCAGGTTCCGCTCACTGCCTTACGGAACGTCCTCTGCGAGGCAGATATACCGATTGCGAATGGCTTGAATGGTTTCTCTCAAAGCTTGGGCGTTGTGCTTGGAGCACCCATCGCCCAATCTGTGTTCATGAACACACTGACCAGCCATTTGGGATCGCGGCTTCAGCCCGGAAATGTTACCAGAATCACCGACCTGGGGGCGTCAAATATTAATCCCGCACATATTGACGCGCAGCTTCTACCGTTCGTGGCACAAGCTTATCGGGACGCCTCGACTACGTCCCTGTACGTGGCTGTGGCATCTGCTGCAATGGCCGGTGCAGCCGGGCTTTCAATGGAGTGGAAAAGACTCAAGACTAAGGAAGAAGAAGACAGTTAATTTAGGCTGTGAGATTCCTGCGGACACTAAATATCGATGGATGCTTAGGCTGGCCAGCTTGGTTTTATTCTGAGAAAGATGCCGCGGAAAGCTGAACAACACTTTAGAGGTGACAGCCAAATGACAACACCCAGATCAGTTGATGGGATTCTGAAAAATCTGTAGATCAATGAACAACGGAAAATCTTTTTATCTTCCGAGCGCTGCCCCGATCCAATTATGATGCTAACTCCACAGGAGGTTGTCCTTCCACTTCTGAAGGTTTTGTTTGCGAGGATAATTCCACTGGCGGCGGCGACATCGTCTGAAGTTCTCGTGTCTCTGGGTTATGGCCGGGAAGCTCCTGTTTGGCATCGTAGCCTGGACCCTTGAAATCAGCATTCGGATCCCCAGAGGTGACCTCCGTCTGGGTGCGGCGAGCCGCAGCTCTCTCCTTCCTTCTTCGTATACACACAAACACGGCGATGCCAATGATAGTAAGAACAGTGAGGACTATCCCTACCACAATACCCGCGATTGCACCTGTGGACAATCCTCCTTTGTCGGCGACCTCAGTTCCATCAGATGGAAGCCGGCCATAAAGAGGGAAGGGCGGATGCTTTAGCTTAAGGGGCCCTGAACTGGGTAGGTCTGAGAGGGAGACTTTTCTCCAGGAACTCCAAAGCGTCACTTCAGTTCCTCCACTGGTGGCAAGATTGTTGACCCAGACCTCTGTTGGTGTACTAAGGTAGCTGACACAGTCTCTGTAAGGCGTGTCGCCAGGAGACACTGTTAGACACGACCAACCTGATGGGCAACACCACGTCTGTAAGAGATGCTGGGCGCTTTCGAGGCTGACTGTTGTGATGCATGCCGTCGTCCAGCCGCTAATACAGGCTGATCCTGGATACGCTAGATTTGGTAAATCCCCTTGTATCAATAAGTCAGCGGATAAGTATTCTTCGTAGGCAGTATTACGCACTTACTGAACTTGTTGCTGACCGGTCTCCAAATATTGTCGTACGTTTCTGGGAAACATTCTGTAGGCAGAGTCGCTGATGCCGTATCCACGATCTGATCTGCTAGGCAGATCACGCCCGTGGTCAAGTCTTCTGGCTTGTCCTGACACCTGATGGCTCGAGGGATATCTGAGCATCTGCCTCTCGGCGGTGTGAATGGTGTTGTCTGAGGTGCGAATGTGTATGATAGAGCACCTTCATACGCCCCTAAAGAGAGGGTGAGTGTCGTCACGAATGCTTCGTAACTTGTAGGGTCTGACATTGCCGCAGCTCGATATGATCGCCGACTTGCGCAACAAGCTTTGAAAGGACTCGAAAAATGAGGCAAGATTAAAGTGCTGCCTGCATGGAAGGAGGAAAGCTCGATCAAAAGATTCGAGCGAGCCGTATCGTAGGAGAAGCCAAAATTTAAGTAGGACGCCGTCTCACGGAAAGCCTGGGCTGAGCAGTCTAAGGCTTACTGTTTCACTACACTAGCAGACACGAGTGCTGGACCAATCCACATTTGCTTTCGATGGTCAAACTCGCTTGTGACAAGGTCATAATTACCTAGCTGCATATGCTGTACGCCCACGAGGCATCCCGCTTGGTCAGGTATAGGAGGCTGACAGTGGAATGTAAACACGAGCAGTCGACACCATGAAGAGAATGCTGACTTGCTTACTTACTTTCCGTGTTATGACCTTATGTCATCATGGCTGGCTTGTGAAAGATGCCGTCCAATGTGTTGAAGGGGGCTGAGCCACAGTGGCGTAAGGAGGGTGTCCAAAGGCTCCTCATCCATAAATTAATAGGGGCGTACTTCTGTGAAGCAATTTGGTTACACATTCAACAACATGACGGGCTGATAATCCGAAGTTTCGGTGGGGATCCAGTCACTTCGACTGAACTTTGCAGCTGGTTCTCATGCGAGCCAAGATAACAACGACGAAACATCAAATATGTATCTGGTAACGTCAACCTTTATGTACAGTGATTGCGCAAATTGTTCGTTTGCGATGCTCGAAAGACACCTATTCTTTCGAAATCGAAGGCTTCTCAAATTACTAATTCAGAAGCGCGCAATTGGTAAAATCCATCCTACATATCTGACAAAGACCTGCTGCCATGATCCCTTCATGACGGGAGCTCTACGGGAGGAGCAGTGGCGTCCATCTCAGAGGGAGTGGTTTGTGCAGATAACTCCGCTGGGCGCGGTGACAAAGTCTGAAGTTCTCGTATCTCTGAATCATGGCCAGGAAGTTCCGGCTTAGTGTCAAAGCCTGTTCCTTTTTGGTCTGTGTCTATCCCCTCAGTATGCATCCGAGTTTGGGCAAGACGCCTTTCCTTTCGCTTGCGTAAACATACAACAAACGTGGCACTACTAATAAACGAAAGAAACACGATCACTATTGCAACGACAATTCCAGAAATAGCTCCCGTCGATAAGCCTCCTTTGGTCCCCTTGTTGTCAACGGTGGGGAGTCGACCGTCCAGCGGGAAAACACGGTGTTTGATCTTAATCTGAGCCGAATTAGGGAAATCGGAAAGTGATGTCTTTCTCCAAGAACTCCACAGTGTTGATTCTGTGCCATCACTAGTGATGACGTTGTTGACCCAGACTTCAGTTGGGGTACTGAGCCAGCTCACGCATTCCCGAAAAGGGGTATCTCCTGCTGAGACCTTCAGACAGGACCATTGTCCTGGCGGACAGCACCACGTCTGACGCAGAGTCTCAGAGCTTTCCAGTGTCATGTCAGACGTGCAAGCCGTAGTCCAGCCACTCATGCAAGCTGAGCCCGGAAAGGCTAGTGTCGGGTTGTCCTCTTATGTTGCAGCTGCATTAGCACATGTCCTTCTTCGGTGACGAGGGATGTATTCTCACGGAATCGGGAGCTGATCGGCGACCAAAGATAATTATATCCTCTCGGGAAACATTCAGTAGCCAGCGATCCTCCCGTCGAATCGACACTGTACTCTGCCAAACAGACAGCACCGGAAGTGAGGTCTGTAGTCTGGCACCTTATGCCTGCGGGGATGGTCCCACATCCACTAGCACTTGGTGTGAATGGGATCGTTTGAGGCATCAGAGTGAATGTGGCGGCCAAATTATACCCGGATTCTCCATATGCTCTAATTGTGATCGTGACCACGGATGGTTTGTAAGTTACGGCGGCTGCCATGATGGTGGCGTTATGGGACCTGGGCCGTTGTGTGGAATTCAAAACCCAATAAATGAAGACCGAGTACTGGGTGGAAATATCGCAAATAACGAAGACATATTTTGATGGAAAGAATGAAAGTTTGGGCCCGATCTCATTTTATAAAGAATAATGTCAAACGGAAAGCTTCAGATCAGATTCATTAAGCCTATAGTTCCACGACTGTTGTAAGACTATTTCTGAGTTACAGCTAGCTCCGCGATCATCTGCAATACATACTTATGCATGTCCATTTGTGTGCCGAAATTGGAGTTATCTAGTTGCATATGCCGTACGAAACTAATGGTGTGGCAACAACTTGGCAGTGCAGGCAAATCCAAACTTGTGTAGTTAAGTCTACATTTGCGATCAGGTCATCCAGGCTTTGTACTACATTGCCGCTGACCTGTACATCGTGGTACCGCACAATTGGGCTTGAGTTCGCGTCCAGCCAAGACCCGCGGCCGCGGAGGCTAATCTTGGGATACCACAAGACATTGTAATCATGCCTGACGGCAGTAGCCTTTTACTGTGTTTGTCATTCATGTATCTATACACCAATGCTCAATCTATTCATCCTCCGCGGTATCCCTCAGACATGTCGAGATGCTCCTCATGCACAGTCGTAATTCTATATTCATACCCAAAACCATTCCTACTCTCTAAGCCTTCTTGACAAGCTTCTCCTTGATCTCCGCCACAACAGCGGCAGTGACCTCCTTCGTCGTCGCCTTGCCGCCAAGGTCAGCGGTGACAATACCCTTGCCGGTGACGCTCTCGACAACCTCCATCAGCTTGTCCGCGGCGTCCTTCTCGCCGAGCCAGGCGAGCATCTCGGCGGCGGTCCAGAAGGTGGCGACGGGGTTGGCGACGCCCTTGCCGGTGATGTCGAAGGCGGAGCCGTGGATGGGCTCGAACATGGAGGGGTTCTTGCGCGTGGGGTCCAGGTTGGAGGTGGGCGCGATGCCGATGGAGCCGGCGAGGGCGGCGGCCAGATCGGAGAGGATGTCGGCGTGCTGAGTGGGTTGTTAGCTTTGATGGTTCATGGTCAGGGGCAGAGGCAGATGGGACGTACCAGGTTGGTGGCGACGATGGTGTCCAAGCTCTTGGGGTTGAGAACCATCCTCGTGGTCATGGCATCAACCAGCATCTTGTCGAGGGTGACGTCGGGGAAGTCCTTGGCGACGTCGTAGACGACCTCGTCCCAGAGCACCATACCATTGCGCTGGGCGTTGCTCTTGGTGACGAAGGTCAGGAGCTTGCGGGGACGGCTCTGGGCAGTCTCAAAGGCGAAGCGGACGATGCGCTCGACGCCGTGGCGGGTGAAGATGGCCGTCTCGGTGGCAGTCTCCCAGGGGAGGCCGCGGTGAGAGCGGCCGCCCTGGCCGGCGTACTCACCCTCGCTGTTCTCGCGGATGATGACCCAGTCCAGGTCGCCCTCGGCGCAGTTGCGGAGGGGAGACTGGGTGCCGCGAAGGACGCGCGTGGGGCGGACGTTGGCGTACTGCTGGAAGGGCTGGCAGATGGCCAGGCGGAGACCCCAGAGGGAGATGTGGTCGGGGACGTCTGCCGATCGGTCAGTCCGGGGGATGATCGCGGAGGCTGGGGAACATGGGGCTACTTACCGGGGGCACCGACGGCCCCGAAGAGGATGGCGTCGTGCTTCTTGAGCTGGTCGAGGCCGCCATCGGGGATGTACTTGCCCGTCTTCTTGTAGGTCTCGGAGCTCCAGTCGTAGTCGGTGAAGTCGAGGTCAAAGGTGCCCAGGGTCTCGGAGAGCGCCTTGAGGACCTCCACGCCGGCGTCGATGACCTCCGGGCCGATGCCATCAGCCCCCATGGAGGCGATGCTGTAGGACTTCTTGGCGGGGAGCGCGCTGGGCGACATGGTGGCGGTTTTGTGAGGGGTTTAGGAGAGAAGACCGGACACTCAGTTATTTGGTGTTGAGGAATATGTGAGGGGATTTGTCTTGCAGCTCAACTTGAGTTTTCAGACTGCTGGGGGGAGGGGTCAAGGTCAATGAGGCTGTATTGAAGAATGCAATGGGAGTTGGAGACACGTCGTGATGGTGTCTTCTTTTGTAATCGGTCGAGCTTCGCCGACAACGGCTAGATCTTCAGCGTGAACGCGAAACATCTTCGGGATTGATGCCGCCAACATCGGGAGATTGTGGAGTTGGCAGATGTGTGTGGTGGAGGCGGCGATCTGGGGTCCGGGGAGCGGTGTTGCAAATGTCCGCGGCCTTTTCTTACCCCGCGGACCAAGACCACCCCGCACTCACTCGTGTGATCCTTCGGCACGGCATTGAGTTATTTCTCTTCACGACTCAACTCACTCAACACCGGCGGCCGCAGCAAGTACTTTCATGCAGCTATTCTGGATCTCGATTAGTTTCAGCGGCGGTCGAATTTTGCAACCTTTCTCCAAAAGATAATAACAGCCGCATTCCGCTCTCCCGCGTGGAACATCTGTCGGGGCTCTTGCGCGGAACCTCTCTTATCTCATCTTCCCCCTCCATCCTGCCTCTTGAGGTAGGTTAAGGTCAGCAAAGCCATGATCGACGCATCCGCCGTTGATGCCGTGCTGCAGCACATCCTGCCGGCCGTGAAGGCTCACCAGGCGGGCTCCTCAACCCCGTTCATTCTTGGCTTGTCGGGGCTCCAAGGAAGTGGCAAGTCGACATGGGCAGCGGCTCTAACGCAGACCCTCAACGCCAAGCACGGCGTCAATACGCGGACGCTCTCACTGGACGACCTCTACCACGACCACGACCAGCTCGTCGCCCTGCGCGAGTCCAACCCGGGGAACGGGCTCCTGCGCACCCGCGGACAGCCGGGTACGCACGACGAGGCGCTCGCGCGGCGCTTCTTCGACAACGTCTGCCAGAGTGCTGGCGGAAGCTCTGAGGGCATCAAGTGGCCTGCGTTCGACAAGAGCCTCTTCAGCGGCGAGGGCGGCCGCGTGCCTGTCGCGGAGTGGGACACCGTGCCGCGGAGCCCGCCTCTGGAGGTCCTCATCTTCGAGGGCTGGTGTCTTGGCTTCCAGCCGCTATCAGCTGAGCAAGTTGAGGAGAAGTGGAACAAGGCCAAGGCAGCCTCCTCAAACAGCACTTCCTCCGACGGAGAAGCGCAGCTGTCGACGACGACGTTGGCGGGCCACAACCTGGAGCACCTACTGCTCATCAACAAGAACCTGGAAAGGTACTGCGAGGCCTTCATGGGCCCCTGGCGCTTCGACGCGTTCCTCCACCTTAGCACAGACCAGCTGGTGAATGTGTACCACTGGCGGCTGGACCAGGAGAGGGCGCTGCGGGAGAAGAAAGGTGCGGGAATGACGGATGCGCAGGTCATCCGTTTTGTGCAGGGCTACATGCCCGCTTATGAATTGTACCTAGACAGACTGACGCAGGAGTCGTTCTTCACTGAAGAGAAGAAGGCTCATGTCCGCGTTATTCTAGACTCTAATAGAACAGTTCTGCGCGTTGAGAAAGCGTAGACTATGAACTTATGAAGCCACTATTCTGTCCCTCACTTGATATCCGTGCCCTGCATTTCCATTAAAGTCCAGAACATCGGCATGTTGATACATGTTACATAGTCCCAGCGACCCAGCAGCTTTTCAAGATCAGTTGACAGCTGCTAGACCAACTCACAGACCTCAACTGACCCGACAGCCTGTTTTACCCCAGATTTCTTCACTCACTACCCACCGTTTGATACGTCCAGGCCACGTTCTCACGACCTAGGATCAACAAAACCCCACGCTCGAGTCTAAACTAGGAGCCATTTTAGCTATCCGGGGTAAGTCAGGCCCACGCCTCTGGATCCGGGCAAGCCTCCACACACCCATCCAACCGGGTTCATAACGCGATGGACCCGTCAACCAACCTCAGCCAGACCAATCTCGACGAACATGTGCTCCTAGCGTAGCACTACCCCTCATGGAGAATGCACGAACAGACCTGTAAACCAGACCCGTCCCCCGCATTCCCCGCAAAGTTACCCCAAATGCCCCGGTGCTGTCTTTGTCCGCTGGAGCTAATCTGGGTCCGGGGGAGCCAGGGTAATGGTCTCATTGTTGGGACGCGAAGAGACCCCAGAAAACACTTGGTCAGAGTGCGATAGCGAGCCAAAGAGCGCTTGACCCTCCCAGAAACATGGCATGATCGAATACAACCCCGTGGAGTTACCCCGGACTGAGGACGGTGAGATCCCTGGTAAAAGTTTGGCCGATCGAGACATACTTAAGAGCGAGCTGCAACTGGCTTCCTCTTCAGTCTGATCTTCTCTTTCCTGAACTCACGGACCAAAGCAGTCTCTTGTTTTCCCCCCTTGCTGCTGCTTGATTCGCCAGCCAACCAACCAGCCCCCTTTCTTTGATCGTCTAAACTTTCGCCCGAACTCCAACATCTCAACTTGCATCACCACGATGGCGTCTGAGAAGCACCACCAGGACCTCGAGTCCAAGCCTCATGACAACTTCGTCGAGATGTCGGGCGAAGACGAGAAGGGCGGTGTGATCCAGGCCGGGGGTGATTACTCTGGTGCGGTCAAGAAGACCAGCGCCGAGGAGATTGCCCTTGTGAGAAAGCTTGATTGGAGAATCATGCCAACTCTCTGTAAGGGAAACTATTGCATCAAACTGGAGGACTAAAACTAACGTGACTTGAACCAGGGGCCATGTACTTCCTCAACTACGTACGTCAAACGGAGAACAGGGGTATACAGTCAACTGACCTTACATCCAGCTCGATCGAAACGCCATTGCCCAAGCCCGCCTCGACGGTCTGGAAGAAGACTTAGGTCTCGAGGGCTCACAATACAACACATGTATCTCAATCCTCTTCGTCGGGTATGCTCTTCCACCTAATTCTCGCAAAACAAGAGCTAACTTCATCTTCCCAGCTACCTCCTCATGCAGATCCCCTCCAACATGCTCATGTCCTCCCAACACATCCGTCCCTCCATCTACATGGGCTGCTGCATGATGGCCTGGGCCGTCGTCTCCGCTTGCACCGCCCTCGCAAAGAACTACGCCGGCCTCGTCGCCGTGCGCTTCTTCCTCGGCGTCACCGAGGCCCCCTTCTACCCGGGCGCCATCTACATGCTCTCCATCTTCTACACCCGCAAGGAGATCGCCACGCGCCTCTCGGTGCTGTACACGGGTAACATCTTCGCGACCTCCTTCTCGGGCCTCATCGCCGCGGCTGTCTTCAACACCGTCGACGGCAACCACGGCCTCAGCGGCTGGCAGTGGCTCTTCATCATCGAGGGCTGCCTCACCTTCGGCGTCGCGCTCGTCGGCATGTTCACGCTGGCGGACAGCCCGCTCACGACGCGCTGGCTGAAGCCCGAGGAGCGCCAGCTCGCGCACGAGAGAATGCTCAGGGACACTGTTGGCCTTGAGGAGAGCAAGGGTGCTATGGCTGGGTTGAAGCAGGCTGTCCGCGACCCGAGGCTGTGGCTGCTTGCTTTTATCCAGAACATGCATCTGTCCGCCTGTGGGTTCAACAACTTCTTCCCCACGGTTATTGGCTCCCTGGGTTTCAACTCGACCATCACATTGGTGCTGACGTGCCCGCCCTACCTCGTCTCCGGCTTCTTCGGCTACATGGTCGGTCTATCCTCCGGCAAGTACAACGAGAGGACGTGGCATATCACGGGTTGCATGGGCCTCGCCATTGTCGGCTTCGTCATCTCCTGCGCGACGCTCAACACAGCCGCGCGCTACGTCTCCTGCTTCCTCTTTGCTTCTGGTAAGTTCTCCATCCCCCTTTCAAAAGACGCCCTTCTAACACAGCTCCAGGCGCCTACGCCGTCAACGCCCCCATCCTAGGCTGGGTCTCCGCAACCCTCGGCTCCACTCCCGAGAAGAAGTCCGTCAGCATCGGCATCGTCAACGTCATCGCCAATGCGTCCTACGTGTACACGGCCTACCTCTACCCCAAGAGCGATGGTCCGCGCTACCTGACGGCCATGGCCAGCAACGCCGCGTTCGCGTTCGCGTGTATTGCCGGGACCTGGGCGCTGCGGTTCTGGCTGATGCAGACGAACAAGAAGCTGGGCGCCAGCACGACCAAGTACGCCTACTGATTGGATCAAAAGAAACGCGGGGCGGAGAGAATTAAGCTACTGGGGCGAATATGGAGCTTAAAGAGTGGTTCCATGGGACGGTTGGCATACCGGCATGAGGGATGCTGCTGTACATATTGATGGGTCAGGAGGGCTTAGATTTGACGAATCATTTAATGATGCTGGCGATTTGATACATGAACATGAGCCATGATTCGGTTTCTCGTGAACTTTGAAATCATTCCTTCTTGATTGTCAACTTTTACCTTGCGTTTCACTCTTCAAAGACATTTACTTGTTTATCATTATTGCCGTGAAGCGTCTTATTCAGATCTAGCCCTGCAGTTTCTACATGATGACCATAACTCCTGGTAAGTTCTGGCGCACATGTACGACCCAGATATCTACTCAAAGCTTTCCTCCTTTTAACGGAACGCCGAATATCCAACCTGCCTAATCTTCACCTCATCGCAAATACGACCACGTAGGATCCACCGACGGATCAAACTGCGCCGCCGCCAAAAACGGATAATCAATCGCCCCAAACGAATTCGCAAACAACTGGTCATACCACACCATCGACTCCTGCCCCTCCCCCGGCGCCCCCGTCTCCGCATTATTCACAGCCGGGAACGACGTCGCCGCCAGCGCCAGCGACAACGGCTGGCTGTCGAAGTTGGGCGAGTCCTGCGGCGCAGTAGCCTGGAACGACTGCGCGCCCGGACTCGCGGACCACGCCGCGAGAGGCGGGCCGGAGGCCGGGGATGCTTGCGTGGGCCACCTGCCGCTCGCATCCTCCAGCCCGTCGCTCTGCGT